CATGAGCATCGCGCGGGCCAGAGCCAGCTTCATTTTCCATCCACCGGACAGCGAGCCAACCGGCTGAGACTGACGTCCTTCGGGTCCATCAGTGAAACCGAATTCCAGCAGGACTGCGCTGATATGTTCCTTGCCCTGGTCGGAAATCTTGGGATCCTTGGAAACGTATTCGAGGATGCTGAGATCGGCATCCTCGCCCTGGTTATGCTCAACAAAGCATGTGCGAACTTCGTCTTGTGGCGGGAAACCTTCCAGCTTTTCATTGGCAATACTGCGCATCAGCGTCGACTTTCCGCAACCGTTGCGGCCACAGAGACCGTAGCGATGGCCTTTCAACAAGCGTAGGTTGGTGTGAGAAAGCAACAACATGCCGCCGTAGGCAAGGGAGAAGTCGGCGTTGACGATTTCGACAGCATTAGGATCGTCCGGCACAGGCTTGCCGAACTTGCGGTGGTCTTCTTCAACAAAGTGTGTCTGTACGGCCTCCGCAACCGCATCTGATTGGTCATCGGCGAGCAGGCCGCGAAGGTATGGACCGATGCAAGCGGGGATGCGATTGTGCATGCGGCAGTTGACATCTTCCCGAACCATACCAGCGATGAAAGTCTTGACCAAGTCGTGGAACTTGGCATCGCCGAAGCCGCGCAGACCGCCATGCTCCTGGATCTTTGGGTTCAAGACGGCGAGAACGTCTTCAGGAGTGGTCTTGACGATAGAACCGGAAGCAACCTCGTTGTCGCCCATGGCCTTCTCGATGACATCGAGAGCGCGCGTGGCCAGTTCCCGGACCTCGGGCAGCGAGGCACGGTCCTTGACACCCTTCACACCGGGCTGAAGCTTAGGGAGGAAAGTACGCGCCTCGGCTGGGTCATGAACCAGCTTGGTCAAATTTTCCACCACAACAACGGTTTGTCGAAGGGTTTCCTGCGGGGTCCGGGGAGAGTTCAGAGACCGTTCAAGCAGCGGAGTCAGAAGCGCCAGCACGGGAGAGGTAACAATCGCGACGAAGGTGGTCTGGGACAGCGCGTGGATCGCATTCTGCAGGGTCTTCTCGGAAGGCTGCTCCATAGTCTTGATGAGTAGCGGGATGCGAGGAGCGACGTCGTCGTTTGAGAGAAGAGTGGTCAGGGCAGTCATCGTCTTGGTGGACTGCTTGGCGACTTCGGCCTTCAAGTCATGCATGCCGGACTCAACAAGGGGAATGAGCTCCTTGAGAGTCTTGCCCATGGCCTCGCGCAGCAGATCCTTCTGCAATTCCTCCTCTTTAGATCCATTACCAATTTGCGCCTTGACGGCCATCTTTTCAAGCAGTTTATAGGCGCCAACGAAGCCCTGCCACTTGCCAGATCCCTTTCCAATGTACTGCTGCAGAGCCGGCAAGAGCGCGTTGACCATCGCCTCGGGGCTGAGTGAAGCGAACAGAGCATCAATAGCGTACTGTGCCGAATCACGTACCACAGTGCCCTTGTCTGCCAGGGCATCCAGAGCGACGTTGAGCACACCACCATCGTGGAGCAGAAAGACGACCTCGCTCAAAGGGTGCTCCCGCGGGAATCGCTCGAACAAAGCGCCAATGATCAACATGGCACTTTCCCGCTTGGCTCCGTTCTTCTTATCGGCCGCAGCCATTTTCGCCTCGGCGACGACATTGTAGTTGAGCAGACCGGCGCAGCCGACGCTCTGGATGAGAAGGTTGGTCAAGGCATAGGAGCCATCGAGGGACTGCTGCGAGGTATCGGCGGAAAAGATGGTGTTCAGAAGAGAGCCGACCTCTTCCACAGTCGGGGGAACGGCGGACGGTGTTTTGTCGACGACGGTGGGCATGGCAGGAGATTCCACGATGTGCGGCATCGTCTAGCGGGGTGGGATAGATTCGAGTGCTGCGCTGGGAGAGGGCTGGAAGACTCCCAGGTGAAAGAAATGTGTGTCTGGGAATCACAACGATGGCAGTACACACGAGCCCGATACTTGCCAGCTGGTCCCGACGCGATAGATATATGGGCAATAGGGAATATGTACAGGATGAACGAGGGCTGATGGCAAAACCCAGAGACTTTTTTTTTGTTTTGGGGGCGCAGACATTTTTGCAGCCAATCAGTGGCCTTGCTGACAGGCATGCTTATCGGCCGGGCTGGCCCAGGCACTCAGGCAGCAAGGCAATCAGGCATCAAGAGTGCTCGTCACAGCCCGTATAGTAAAATGATGGTGACTGGGTTTCTGGCCCAACTTTTCACTATTGACTACGGATCAAAATCAAGCCACACAATAATATGCACAGTTCCTCTCCTATCACCCGCACAGCATGGACAAGAAATAATCGAAAGTATAGGTGCCAAAAGTACGACAGTGGGTGCAAACCAAATCACAAGTTGAAGATGTGCTGGCTGGACGTGGAAAAAAAAGAATGAAGACGGTGGCCTGGACCCTAAGCTCACCTGTCAACCGCGCTCTAACTAACGTAGGTGCTATGGAATTTGCGGTCGACCCGAAATATATATATATCTGTGCAGCTCATGAGACTGTTACAATGAACGATGATTCTTTGAAAAGCATCGAAATAAGAATAAAATCTTATCATAATTGTAAACCCAGAAATTTGTTGCTAGATTGTTGTTTTTCATACGAACATGCAATACACCTCGACCCGACAGACAACGTGAATAGAGGATGTAGCACTGCTGCTGGCCGTTGTGGCTCTATTCAGGCAGCAAGGCCATACTACCCGTCGGGTTACACGTGCTAACGGCTTGGGGTTCCATCTCAGCATCTTTCCGCTCATCCGATCTCAGACAGAGATAAGGCCTTATTACTGTATCCTTGAGTGTTCAGAATGCTTAGGTGAGCTGGAATGCCATTGGGGTATACCACCCGCGGTGGGATGTATCCCTAGATGCCTATGGGGTGGGTTAAACCTCAAGCACATCCTGTTAGAAAAAGGAATAATAATCAGGATCTCTAACTATATCTGTCCTTGCGATCTCGGGCCCAAACCCGATTTTCGGGCTGTTGGGCGCAGGGAATTTGTTACCGCCTGCAACCGGGCCTCGGTAGGAGAACAGACCCCCGCGCTCAACCGAGACGTTTGCTGCACAGTTGATCATCATTTGTTTCTTTCTTCCTTCTTTTCTCCCTTCTTCTCTCTGACTTTATCCTCTCCTGTCGAAATCCATTCCACCTCCTAGGCATCCAAACCACTCCTTCCATACTCTCTCGGTCTCTGCTTCTCCCCACGCCGAGTCTCCCGCCCCCCGCAATTCAACCCCGGACCCATCGACGCACACACAATGGCCCTCAGCCTACGATCCACCCGCCATGCCACCAAGCTGGCCAAGGTGAGTCCGATCTCAATTGCTATATGTGGGTTGGATTTCAATTAATCACTTCTCTCGCAACAGGCCTCGCGCCCTTTCTTCGCGGCCACCCGCCACTACGCAACGGCCGAGCCCGATCTCAAATCCACTCTGAAGGAGGTCATCCCCGCCAAGCGGGAGCTCCTGCAGAAGGTCAAGGCCCAGAGCGACGAGGTCATTGGTGAAGTCAAGGTGGGCAATGTGATCGGTGGCATGCGCGGCCTCAAGGCCATGCTGTGGGAGGGCTCCGTCCTGGACGCAGACGAGGGCATTCGGTTCCACGGCAAGACGATCAAGGACTGCCAAAAGGAACTTCCCAAGGGTACCTCGGGAACCGAGATGCTTCCCGAGGCCATGTTCTGGCTGCTCCTGACGGGCCAGGTGCCCTCGACCGCGCAGGTGCGCGCCTTCTCGCGTGAACTGGCCGAGAAGTCGGAGCTGCCGCAGCACATCCTGGATCTGGTCAAGACCTTCCCCAAGTCCATGCATCCGATGACCCAGTTGTCGGTTGCCGTGGCGGCTCTCAACACCGAGTCTCAGTTCGCCCAGGCTTACGAGAAGGGCCTGAACAAGGCCGAGTATTGGGAGCCTACCTTTGATGACTGCATTTCGCTGCTTGCTAAAATCCCCCGTGTCGCGGCACTTGTCTTCCGCCCTAACGAGATTGATGTCGTTGGGTCGCAGAAGCTGGATGCGGCCCAGGATTGGTCGTACAACTTTGCCGAGCTGCTTGGCAAGGGTGGCTCGAAGAACGAGGATTTCCACGACCTGCTGCGTCTGTATCTCGCGCTGCACGGCGATCACGAAGGTGGCAATGTATCGGCTCACGCCACTCACCTGGTGGGCAGCGCCCTCAGTGACCCTTTCCTGAGCTACAGCGCCGGCCTGCTGGGTCTGGCTGGCCCGTTGCACGGACTGGCTGCTCAGGAGGTTTTGCGCTGGATCTTGGCCATGCAGGATAAGATCGGTACCAAGTTCACCGATGAGGATGTCCGCAACTACCTGTGGACAACTCTGAAGTCCGGTCGCGTGGTGCCAGGCTACGGCCACGGTGTCCTGCGCAAGCCAGACCCGCGCTTCGAAGCCCTGATGGACTTTGCTGCCACCCGGCCGGATGTGCTGGCCAACCCGGTTTTCCAGCTGGTCAAGAAGAACTCCGAGATTGCGCCTGGTGTGCTGACCGAACATGGCAAGGTATGTACATGACATCCTGACGTATTTCTCAATTGACTGACCCTTGCTTCAGACTAAGAACCCTCACCCCAACGTCGACGCCGCCTCTGGTGTCCTTTTCCACCACTATGGCTTCCAACAGCCCCTTTATTACACCGTCACTTTCGGCGTCAGCCGTGCTCTGGGTCCTCTCGTCCAGCTCGTCTGGGACCGTGCTTTGGGCATGCCCATCGAGCGGCCCAAGAGCATCAACCTCCTCGGCCTGGTCAAGAAATAATTGCCGACCTTATGTGAGCGATGAAAAAAGTGATGCAAAGCGAGATGATCTTTTATTTTATTTTCCTAGACTCTTATTCTGTACCGAGGGCCTTGTCTCTGTGGACTCGTGTCCCATTCGATTAGTAGACCATGATGTTGCAATATACTGTTTCTTCTACCATTGCAAAATGAATTGATTCCCAATTAAGAACTACCTGACTAGACACCAACAGACTCATGCTTCGTCGCATATATAACATCTGTGACAACGTCATCTCCTTGATCCCAGCGCTCCCGATATTCGCGCATCAACGTCTCGGCGGGAGGGGCGCATTCCACGAAATTCCGGACGGCCTCAACAGGGAAGATATAATGGAGAGCACAGTAGACGGCAGCACTGATGGAAAGGCCAACCAAAAAGCAGATGTAGTAGAGATGAGTGAGGCCCAGAGTTATCTTAACTGTGGGATTGACATATCCCACGAAGCCAGGTAAAGAGGGTACTGTCCCGCAGACCCACTGTTGCACCGTCAGTTAACATCACGCCCAAGCACATAGAGAACCTACCGCTATCACAGCTCGCCAGTTCACTCCCCACGAGAACCAGTAGATGCTCTGACTGTTCCCGACGAACAGATCGTCGACCTTGAGCTTGCGCCGATTGATCACAAAATAGGACGAGATCATCAGCCCAGTCATTGGGCCCAGGAAGACGGAGTAGCTGCTCAGCACAGCCAAGAATGTCGTCGCGGTATTCACCAGTTTCCATGGATTGCAAGCGACGGAGACCAAGGCAGTCAGATACGCACCGCGACGAATATTGATATACTTCGGGAAAGTAGCCGCTAGGTCAAATCCTGCAAATACATGTCAGCAAACCAGGCCATCAAAGCTGTTCCCAAAAAGGAAAGAACACATACCACCAGACAACGCATTGCCCGGAACATTAACTCCGATCTGCGATACAACCAAAGCAGCACCACCAAAGAAAGCCGCAGCCCTCGATCTCGAGCCACCGTGCTCAATCACCGCACTGAGCAAAGTAGGCAAATTCCACTTCGCACTACCGTACCGTTCCTGCGTTGCCGCCGTGACCAGAATGCCAACGACAGAGCACAGAATCGCATAAATGGGAAAACTGAATACCTGCCCATAAACGGCGTCTTTGGGCTTGCGCGCAAAGCGGGCATAGTCGTTCTGGTTCAGAATGCCTGCTGAGATGGACCCGATGGTACTAATAATTCCGAACGCAATGGTCCAACCATACTCTTGGCTGCTATTTGTTGCTTCCATGGTCGTGCCAAACCCTGCTTTGCCCATGGTTGCTAGGGACCAGATGAGGAGAACGAATTCGAAGACCAGGATTGTGGCTGCGGATCCGTAGAAAAAGTACTTGAGTTTGTGTGGGCGGATGTAGATCACTGGTAGAGAAATGATCATGAATAATATGTAGGCCATGAAACTGGCTGTTGTTGTGCCCGTTGAGGCGGAGAGGTGGTTTGGGATGCGCTCTTCGAGAGAGGGCCAGATGGCTTGGAGGCAGACGTAGACGCATTCGCCTCCTATCCAGGCCTGGAATCCGTACCAGACTAGCAGGCACAGATCGTTAGCAAAATGATGAATCTCCGATTTTAAAGAGTACCGTGGTACTTACCAACGGAGAGAAGGATTCGATTCCAGATCACAAATGCACTGCCGTACATTCCCCAGACATACCGATTAACAACCGGAAATCCCACTACAGTATACTTAGCAATCCGGTGATACACGCAAGAGCATGACTCTATGCGACTCACAATGATAGAATGCACCAGGCAAAGAGTTAAGCACAACCAGAGCTGTAGCGATGATCTGCCCAATAACAATTGCAATGATTGCCTGCCACCACGTCAAACCGAGTGCGATAAGCGAGCTTCCCGTCATGTACGAGGAAATATTCGAATTGCAGAGAACCCCTAAACACAAACAGGAAGACGTCAGTATACTTGCAACAGCAATAGAATTTCCAACTTGCGCACAGTAGTTATGGAAGGTCCAGAACCCCCACGTCCTACGACCAGCCTCAATGGGCTTGATGTCGTTGTTGATCCATCGGTCCGGCACGGGGCCGCCCTCGCTGTCGACCTGGAGTTTTCTGAGGATCGCCTTCATTGAAATGGTTACATGAAAGAGTGAGGAGGAGCAGAATAGTTGGTTCAAGAAAGAAGAAGAAAAGACAGAGCTTTAGGGCTTGCGAGTCATGGTGCACGCGCTAGAATGCCCCAGTTATCTACTCCGCATTCTGGGAGAGAACATCCGATCGGCAAATGGGGGTGAAAGGATTGTGATAACGCACGGAGCACCCACGCGAGGAGTACTAGCTTCAGTTAGCTTTCCGGGCTTATCTCTGGCGCGGAGAAGCCCGGCTCGCATTGTTACCGACAATTTTTTATGGATCTGGGGCGAATGTGTAGCTTGTCGGAGTGTTTGGAGCCTAATTGGTGGAGTTGGAGTATCTCCTCATTCGGTTGAGATAGGACACGGCCCAAGTTGGCAGGTTGAGAAGATCGGTCGCTGGTTGGTGGCTTGTCCATTTAGAGGGACCGGACTTGGCCCGAAAAGAATTTTTTTTTCTGGTTAGATCGAATGCCGTTGCTTAGAGACTTTGATATCTTCGGGCAGAAGAAGAAAGTCTCGCGTCCGATCCATAGGTATGGACCATTAACCCAGCCCTTTTTTATTTTTCAGATGCGAGTATTTTGTATTTGAAAAGCCCTTTGTTATCTCTCAGACATGCCGAACTTTGGTTGAATCCACCTGCCAAGTGCCAAAATCACGACTTTCCTCCGGCCAAGACATTCGGGGTATCCCGCCTGTAATTGGTGGAGTTGCGCCTAGCGTTGGTCGGAGGTGATACCGCGATAGGAGCATGCTTCCTCCCCGCACGAGTTCCGAATTGTGGGAGCGCGGAAAAAGAGTGAGTCAACCGGCCCGATGTAGTATCGCTGGAGCCCGAATAGACATGTCCATTCGCTACCAGCCGCCGCTTTATGGATATATGTCGGGAGGACCCTCAGGACTGTTCAGGGTGGAGCGCTGATCTCCGCGCGTGTATATATTTGCAAAGACCTCGAAGTCGTGTGAACCCCGGACGGAAATATTTTTGCGATTCTTTTTGGAACCCAGTACCTCACGCGCCCTGAAACACCTCGCTATGACACTATGTTCGGGCCCGTACCGTATCGGCGTCGATGTGGGCGGCACCAACACCGACGCAGCTATCATCGATATCGCTGCGACTGATTCGGCGTCGCGCGGAGTCTGTGCCTCAAGCAAGACTCCAACTACCACCGATGTGACGTCTGGAATTCACGCAGTGATTGGAAATGTCCTATCCAAGACTGCAGTCAATCGGCAGGACGTGCTCAGCGTTGCTATCGGAACCACACACTTTGTCAATGCGGTGGTCGAGGCTGATGCTCGACGTTTGAGCAAGGTTGCCGTTATTCGATTATGCGGTCCATTCACCAGACTGGTATGTATTGTACAGGATTTTAGAGCCATCGCTGACTCTGCTGTATCTATTAGGTGCCTCCTTTTTCGGATTTTCCGCCTGCTCTGAAACAGATCATGGGCGGTCCTGTCTTCTACTTGGACGGTGGACTCGAAATCGACGGTCGTGAGATCACTCCGCTCAACCCAGACCAAGTCAGGCAGACCGTGAAAAGCATCCAAGCCGCAGGGATCAAGATGGTTGCAGTTGTTGGCGTATTCTCGCCCCTAGACCACCAAGGGGTCCACGAGGAGACCTGCAAGCAGCTAATGCTCGAGGAAGACCCTTCATTGTCCGTGGTGTGCTCTCACCAAATCGGCGGCGTCGGGCTCCTAGAGCGTGAGAACGCAACAATTCTCAACGCCTCGATCTTAACGCTTGCCCGACGTACCGTGCGCGCATTCTGTCAAGCAATGACCAAATTGCAACTGAGTTGCCCATTATTCCTCACCCAGAATGATGGCACACTGACAGATGCGGCCACCGCAGCAGAGCTTCCAATTAAGACGTTCGCGTCCGGTCCTACGAACAGTATGACCGGTGCTGCCTACCTGGCATCCTTGGACCGCGGTACAAATACGAAGTCCAACACACAAGTTCTGGTCATTGATGTGGGTGGCACAACAAGTGATGTCTGTGCATTGCTTCCATCCGGCTTCCCGCGGCAGGCACCGAACTTTGTCGAGGTCGGTGGAGTGCGTACTGCATTCTCCATGCCGGAGGTTTTGTCCGTCGGTCTGGGTGGGGGTAGCCGCGTGGTATACGATGCCGAACTGGACAGTGTGCGCGTTGGTCCTGACTCTGTGGGCCATTATCTCACCACCCAAGCCCTGGTTTTCGGCGGAGATGTTATGACAACCACGGACATTGTAGTCGCCTCGGGTAAGGCAAAAATTGGGGATTGTGCGAAGGCGCAAAGTATTCCTTCGAACGTGGTCTCCAAGGCGCGGCTGCAGATGAAGAAGATTCTTGAAAGGGCTGTTGAAGACATGAAGGTTTCCGATCTGCCAGTTACGTTGCTATTGGTCGGCGGAGGCTCGATCGTCCAGATGGATCAGCTGGAAGGCGTGGCTGAGTGTATCATCCCGCCTCATCATGACTCGGCAAATGCAGTCGGTGCTGCTATTGCCAAGGTTGCTGGGGAGGTTGACATTATTGAGATTCTGGCCAATCGTGATGAAAAGACTGTGCTAGAGTTGGCGAAGAAGCAAGCCATCGAGGCTGCAGTGGCGCGTGGAGCGGACAGGGCAGACGTCAAGATTGTGGGGATTGATAAGATTCCTCTGCAGTATGTCACGAACAAGGCCACCCGACTAGTGATCAAAGCTGTTGGTCGACTGGCTTTGCCCGATGCTACTGCACCAGTCATCAACGGCACCCAGTCCAATGGGGTAGCCATTAATGGCACGAACGGCGTAGCGGACCATGATGCGGAAGACTCCAGCAACGGAATGTCTCAAAAAGCAACATCGGATGCCCTTGAATCCTCCGTAAAATTCTCGGCCTACATGGATCTTGACGCCTATAAGCCTGACGTGCGAAATGGGGTTTGGTATCTTTCCCCTGTCGACCTTGAATTCATCGCAACTGGTACGGGAGTCCTAGGCACCGGCGGCGGAGGTCCATCTCGACTTCAATATCTCCAATGCCTCGAGGCTCTCCGAAACCCAGACGCAAAAGGCAAGATGAGAGTGATGTCCCCCAAGAGCATGAAGGATTCCGATATCTGCGTTTTCGGGTCTTGGTACGGAGCACCGAGTGTGTCGGGTGAGCGCATGCCTGCTGGACCGGAGATCATGAATGCGATAGAGCATTCGGTCAAATATTCAGGTCATGATCACTTCGAGGCTGTGATTGCCGATGAGATCGGTGGTGGCAATGGTATGTCCACGTTTCCCACGAGCGTGCACTATGACATTCCTGTCATCGACGGTGACCTGATGGGTCGTGCGTACCCGACATTGGAGCATGGTGAGTTTTGGTCCTGCGTTCTTTCGGGTTCCTGGCGAGACTAATGCCAGTACAGGTACTCCATATGTATACGGCGAGCCCATTACTCCGTGCGCTATTGCAGATGGGAAAGGCAATGTTTCCGTTGTCCTGGTATGTGGTAGATTTACAAGAGTCCCGTCTGGTGTGGCCAACATCTAACTTGACATTAGAAAGCCGAATCAAATAAGAGGGTGGAAACCATGATTCGTGCGCAGTGCGTGGATTTGGGCCTGAAGATAGCAGTGGCGTGCACTCCCCTGACGGGCGAAGCTATCAAACGCTATGCCATTCGTAACACCGTGTCTCAGTCATGGTACATTGGGCGTGCAGTGCACAAGGCGAGACGGTCGAAGGCTAACCTTATCAAAGCCATTGTGAGTACACCTGATCTTTATTTCCTTTCGCCGTTTAACACAGTTCTACAGTTTGATACGTCCCCTGGTCGACTATTGTACAGCGGCAAGATCATCGACGTAAAGCGCGACGTCAGCCGCGGGTATACAATGGGACAATGCACTATCGCCCCTCTGAATAGCGATGAACAAGACCAGGGCTCCATTGATAACGGCGCGCAATCACCATCTGATGAGCGCTGCATAATCGTACCTTTCCAGAACGAGTATCTCTATGCAGCGTACGCAGACGCTGCTGACCCTGACGACGCGTCTCGCCACGAGATGATCTGTACTGTACCGGATCTTATTTCTATTCTGGGGCAGGACGGAGAGGCGATTGGATCACAGGAGCTGCGGTATGGATTGCGAGTCAACGTCATTGGAATGTCGGCTCATCCCCTATGGACGGGCGATGCCCGGGGCCTGAAGGTTGGTGGGCCGGAGGGCTTTGGGCTGGATATGAAGTGGAAGAGTCTGGGTCCGTATCAGGAGCCAAGGAGTGTGATTGAGGAGTTCGACAGGGGGACGGCGTAGTTGTTTTCGCAAGGTTCAAGGTACAAACATTCAATTACGTTTATGTCTTTAGCTCTGCGAAATGAAATATTTACTTAACATGGTTACTATTGATGAAGACTTCTTCAAAATCCGCTCGTATCCGAGCGTACACAGTACAAAACCCATGCATCACAGTCGTGCCGTCCCGTTCGAGAGCTTTTCCCACTGCTCCTTTCCAAAGGCCGAATAGCTGTCCTGACCGGCTGCCATCCAGTAAAATTCATCCGCCTGTCCGTGTGGAACCTTGGTCCCAATCAAGGCGGGATCAATTCCCTCGTCACGAAGAGGCACCTTGTTCTGCTTGTGGTTGTGGATGTGCGTGGGGTTATCGACGACCCTCAGGAAGATCGGGACAGCGTATCGGGGCAGTTTGGAACGGGCGAAGCGTGCAAGAGCCCCGTAGTCAAATGTCTGACGAGCCTCCGGGCTGATTTGGAGAGCGGCGCAACCGGCGCGTCCTTCATGGTTTGGCACCGTTACTCCATAGACGTTGGCTTCGAGGACGCCAGGGAATTTGCCAATCACCTCGGAAACCTCCGCAGTGGCACTGACGAATGTCAGTTTGTTGTCTATCAAGCCAGGGAATTATTCAACTTACACATTCTCGCTCTTCCAGCGGAACGTATCCCCGAGCCGGTCCATGAAGTACCAGCGGCCATCGTTCTGACGGCGGAGCGCATCACCCGATCGGTAGTACAGGTCACCCTTCTTGAAGACGTCACGGAGGAACTTCTTATTCGTGGCTTGGTCGTTACGCCAGTATCCTTGGAACGCTTGTTCGCCGGGGATATTGACGAGGATCTCGCCACCCTGTTCATAGGGAGGCCGGACAGCGAAGCCAGTCTTGGGGTCCCGGAGGACGTCGCCGGTCTCCGGGTCAATGGCCACCGGTACAAAAACATTGTGAAGCAGACCACGCATTAGCAGGCCGTGGTGACCAACACTGCCAGCCGTGAAAGGACCCCGGTTGTAATTGAACAGACCGAAAATACCCTCGGTACTGTTGAAGAACTCGCCCACCTCAGGTACGCCGAACCGCTCGCGGAACTGTTCCCAGACGTCTGGACGGAGACCATTGCCGTACATGCAGCGCACCTTGTGGTTCTTGTCCTGGGGCGATGGTGGCGGTGCAAGGAGGTAACGAGCTGTTTCGCCCACGTACACGAAGACGGTCGACTCGGAGTCTCGGACGTCATTCCAAAAGTTTCGGACACTGAATTTTGGGCCGATTGCAACACTCACCCCGGTGGTTAAACAAGCGATCAAAGACATAGCTGCCGTGCCATGGTATAAGGGCATGCAGCTATACCAACGGTCACCGTCGGGCCCTTCTTTGTCTCCCATCGCGCTACGACGGATACCCAACGTAGTATATAAACGGGACATGGTGAACGCACAGCCCTTGGGCATGCCGGTGGTGCCCGAGGTATAGAGAAGGATAGATGGGAATTCACCCGACATATCCACGGCATGCTCCTTGGGCGGTGCCGTAGTGGGGAAAGTGCGAATGTGCGACTTGAGAGAATCATCCAGGGCCACTGGCTTCATTCCCAGCTCGCCTGTAATAGCGTCCCTGCATTCCTCCACCCGCGCCTGGCAGGTCGGGTCCTCATCCACCAGCACCAGCTTGGCGCCGCTGATCTTCAAGCAGTGCAGCAGAGCATCGCCGTTCAGGTTGTAGTTGATCGCAGCCGGGGCGCATCCAATGCTCCATAACGCAATCCATCCAATGATAAACTCTTCTCGGTTCTGCAGGTAGAACGCCACCAAGTCGCCTTTCTTCACTCCCTGAGACAAGAAGTAATGGGCATATTGGCATGCCTGCTCCAGGACATCGCGATAGGTGTAAGACCGGTTGCGCGTCCATAGACAGACCATGTCGGGGTATTTCTTCGCGGTCTCGAGGAAGACGAACCATACATTTCCGCGGCCTCGGCCGACTGCTCGCAGTTAGCATCAATTCCTCCCAAGACAGATGGGAAGCATACAAGCTTGAGCATGTCCACGCTCACTCTTCTTGAGGGCCACCAGGCTCGATACATCCTTTGCGATGTGGAATTTGGCATTCAAGTAAGCTGCTACCGTGGCTCCTCCGGCCAGAGCAGCGGCGGCGGTACCTTGATCTGGACGTCAGTAGTCATAGTCACATCGGGAGCATGTCCACGCACCTAGATCCATGTCTCTGGTGTCTAACGCAGTCCAATGTGTTCTATACAATATGTAAGGAGTGAGCAAAAGTCAATGGTCGTATAAGAGAACGGACCAAGTTGCCGTTTGCCGACCGCAGAAACAGCCTCGGTCCCCATAATGCGGGGAAACAGCATTATCCCTAATGCAGGCATGTAAGCATAATTCTCACCGCCTGGCAGAAACTCGCCTTAGCCGAGTCAAATGAGGATGGCGATGCCGGATTCATGATTTACCTGGTCGGCACACAAATCGTACAACAATGGTTCTCGCCAAACTAGCGTTGGCCATATTGTCAGGTCCCACTATCGGGATCCTTATCTAAACGTCAACTTAATCGCCATCATAAGCATGCCTCCACATATCGAGCTCAATATCGTACTTTTGACGATATACAGACCAGACGGTCTCGGGAACTGCCGGTTATTCTTGAAAAATTATCATAGCACCACTTACTTCATCTTTTCTATTGTGGCTTTGGTATCTTTGCTACCCTCCCTGGCCGTGAGGAGTGGCTGCGCACTACTCTGAGTTCAAACCGACTAGACAGGGGTCGTGAGAGGGGCTGAACTAGCTGCATACATCCCTAAGAATAGATAGGAAAGACACAGATCATGTCAGACCTGCCTTCCTGAGTCTGTAGGACTGATAAGGAACGTTCAGAGTCGTTAAATAGTTATGGCGAGCGCGGTGCCAAAAGCTCATGTAAAGCCAGAAGGATGATTAGCATCATCCATTACTCTACAGTCTAGGTGGAATCAGCAGTCTCACAGGCCCCCACGAGCAGCTGAGCACAAACTGACACTAGTGCCTAGATTCGGTGATTCCCTGCAGCGTTTCCATCTTTAGAAGGGATCTGAATGGTGGTTAGACTTCGGTCTGTCCTTCATCGCACAGTCACATCTGGCGCAGCGAAGGTCAGAATGCCACTATTTTATCCAGGGTATTGGTCCTCCTCCAATCAGATAAATACCCATATAAATACAAGCCTAGGATTCCACTCCTTGGCACAGTTGGCTCGGTATACTTTGCCAACAACCCGCCCTAAGCGCGTCTTAGTCCACACCATGATGCCATACTTAAAAGTTGCTGCCTGTGGCTGAGGTTTTTGGGTGTGGCATAGCCCATTCCAGTCCTCATTTTCTCGAGCAAGTCGAACGAACCGCTGTGGCTCAGCTGACCACCGATCCGCTCTGGGTGTCAGGCAGTCCAGGCATAAAAGCAGAACAATATCTCGGGATATGGCTTTCTGCTCTATTCACTGTTCAATTCCATACCTAACTACGACTTGGCTATTGTCCTTTGACACATTAATATTGTCTTATGAACATTATACCCCTCTTACAATCAATGGAGTCCACTACTTCCCTCATCCTTTCAGATATTATTGGCGTTCATCTCCCAGAGATGGGATCTATATGCTGCTTTGGAAAATCACAAGCAGGTGGTGGGATTCTTCGGCCATGCGAACGAAATCTTGGAAAAGCCAGGATAGTCAAAGCTCGGGAAATCCTTGGGCAATCTCTGACCTGTCTCCAACAAGGTGGTCATACTATCGACAGTTATATCAAGGAACTAGCAAATTTGCTTATTCACAACGGCCATGTATATGATGCCAAATCAGCCATGATTCTCGAATGGAGCGCCAAAGTGAACCGTCACCAGTCTCAGCTGGGAGTTCAGAATGAATACATCTACAGGAGGTCGCCGCAAGTCAACTTTCGCGGCGGAGCTTGCAGTACCTATCATATTGTCCAGAATGCCGAACTTCAAGCCTCGTCTCGCGCGGCGACAGAGGTTTCATCCGTTTCCAGAGTACATGAGGGGGCCACCAATGTCAACCCAGATGATCGTGGTCCTCGTATCGAATATGACCCTCTCACTGACGAAGCCGTTGACGAACCCATACAACTCGCAGATTCGGAAGTCCACAATACTGAGCTTGGCAGTCTTCTTGGTCTTCACGAGGGCACGGAACCCGAGTTTGACGCGGTGTCCGAACAAACTACTAGCAGCTGCTTATCGGGATCTTCTGCTATTCTTCTCTGTATCTGCAGTCTTCTCCAGATTCAAGTGGACAAAACTCAGGTCCATGACAATGCAGGCCGTGTAAGCAAACAAACTATTGTTAAATGCAAGCTCCAGATGGATTTGCGGTTCCTTCGACACTGGTTTGCAATTCTGTCGCCTTGGTTGACCGTGGTGGCATTGCTTTTTATGTAATTGTCTTGTCAGATATTTTGATTTGGGTTTTATTTTCTGGGTTTCTTCGACTTTCCTTTTGTCCTTTTGTCTGATTTTTTTCATATATACCCCTGGGAGATTGGCGATGGACGAAAACCGCGCAGACCAAATCTATATCTTCAACAATGTGCTTTTTTTACAATGAATTGGCCGGACTTGATATCTTATAAAGCAATACATATCATTCTCATCAAAAAATCCGCTAAACTATTCACATAAAGCCAGTCAATAACTGGAGCAAGTGAGCATAGCCTAACAAACACAACCTGGTTTACTGCGGGCCCCCAGCAGGACCGTTGTAGTCCCAATAATTAGCGCCTTGAGAGCTGCAGGATGTACCAATGATACAATTGTACCCACCACCCACGTTATTGGAATTGGGCGAGCGCATGATCAAGGTTCCGCCGGAGGGACTAAAACCCGTGCAGTCATTATACGCTCCATTCTGGACGGTATACGCAGTATGAGCTGTGTTGTACCAGACGCACACAGTGTCGTTGCTGCTACCGGTACAGGAGTACGTATTCCCGGTCGTCCAGCTCACGCTCACGGAAAAGCCGCCCGTAAGCCATTCAAATGCAGTGGCAGTAGCGCTCCAGCCGATGGTATAAGAGATGCTCTCCGTCTGACCGACAGTACAGCTTGTTGCCTCGCCACAGTTGACATTTTCCTAAGCAGGAGATTTGTTAGCTGGCCGAGCTCTCTCACAGACTCCGTTGGAACCATATTGTGTAAGATACTCACACTAAGCTGTGTGTGGAGGTAATTCTGGTGCGGGTCTCCATCCCCGACAATCTGGGTGCTTGAGCTCCATTGACCGCATGGGGCCTGTCGCTTGTGCAGCGTAGGCGGCTCGTCCCTCTGGATTATGTTTGTTATTTCCGTTTCAGGGGCTTTGTTTTGAGCAAGAATGGAGCGGAAAATTGCCTGTAAGCTTGGGGTATTCCCACTGCTGAAGCAGCTTGTTTTATCCCTGCTCCTGATTGGGGTCAACGGGAGAGAAGCAGGCAGTGACACAGCACAGAGGATAAAACTCTCGACATCGTTATATGTTCGAGAGCAAGTAATACCACCAGAAGTCTCGGGATCTTCGTTAACGATATACATCTGATTGCCAACGGCAAGGGTGCCGGCACCATTCTCGTCCAAAGTGGCGGTAATGGGCTTTTCAGCAAAGACACCTGAGTTGAGGATATTTGAGCAAGCATATCCCAGGACCTGAGAAGAATCCTGGCTCACGACCGTAATGTCCATCTCTGAAGTTGCCTTGATCTGCTGGACCATGACATCCACATTCTGGGCCTTCTGCTTATCATGAGGAACGGCCAGGGCAATTGAGGCAAGCCATGGTACGGCGGGAATAGCCTTCAAAATCCTCATATTGGCTAGCAATTTGTGGATGGATTTCAACGGTAATATGATTGAGTGCTGAGTCTGTTTCACTTTGTGCGACGTCGAACTCCCTTTTATATTCCTCCTATGTTCATTATTTTTAGACCCCAAGTTCGGCAATTACGGACAATATAAGAAACAGGAGTTGAGAGCCAAAGCTAAATCGATTGAGCTAACGTTATCGAGGAATTGGTCAAGAGGAAAAACAGAAACAAGATCCAGAAGCAGTTGCAAGGACCCCTTGAGCGCGGACAAAGACACAAAAACGAGTGTCAAACATTGGACCCCAATGTCCACGCACAGGCACCGTCAACCTCCATTCTGTCGTCGCGGTTACCTTCTCCGTCTCCAACTGTTAAGTTCTGCGCCACCTCCGCGTTAGGGCTATGCATGAAATAAACTTTGGCCCCAACTGGAAACCCTCCAATGTTTCGTATTTATCCTGGTCCTGAAGATCCTCACTTAGTCGACAAGATCTTCGTGACGAATTGTGTTGATCGACAGTCAGAAAAACATAAAAGTTGTTCGTGATCCTTCTACCTGCCTTTTTGGGTGCTTACTGCTTAAGCTGGTACAGTAGCCGGTCTAGGAACCGGTCCATCCTCCAGGGCAGCTCTTTGTTTTCCTCTAGCGTATACCCGAGTACGGTCCATACTCTCGGCAAAGACGGGGAAATCGAACCTTGCCGAGATCACATTCAGGGAATCACATAGAGAGAGGGCGGGAGAGAGAGGAAGGTCCCCCAGGGGGGACTTTGAAGAAATTACATCTTCTCAGCCTGCTGCACACCCATTTACCAGGAACGACCTTAGCGACTGCCTCAGTAGACTCGACATCATTGATGCCCCCAGCATTTTCAAGCGCGGCAGTGCTCCTTCCCCCTGGCCCCGGTAATGGCCAGAAGCTGTTCCTTCAGTAACTTCATATGTCTCAGTGAAGCGCCACTCTCGTCGTACACGACCTCGAAGCGCACGTCACCCTGCGCCCGCACCCGCGTCGTGGTGGCTATGGTAATGATCAGGGTAATAACGTCGTGTCCCACGACAGCCAGGTAGTGTCCTTTGTCAGGCGTGTCCGTGTCCCAGTAAACCTTCTGGAACGCATCTTCGCCCTCGCCCTCGCTTTCAGGCTTAGGCAGGCTCAAGTTGAACGTGAGCCACGATATGGGTGACACTTTGGCTAAGGCCTGACGCCATGCTTTGCTGAGCGCCGAGATGTCGAGATACTCAGGGCCGACGGCGTCGCTGGCTCGACCGTCGGGGAAGCGCACCACGCGCGAGCCCGGGTTGCGGCAGGCTGCGAGCATGGCGGGCGCGGCGAGCGGCTGCAGGAGGTGCAACATTGCTTGTCTCGTATGTGGCTGCGACGATGATACTGGCCCGGGTGTCTCGATGGCGAGGTTGCTCAGTCCGATGGAAAGGTCAGCCTCCTGTATCTGACTAGGGTCGGTTATTCGTTGTGCTTCATCGGTGGCCATTGTGGAGGAGACTTGGGTGTCGAGAGGTAGGGGAAATAGGGTCACTGTAGTCTTTACAATATTTATATCTGAAAGGAGTTACCAGCTAGGCAGATACATAGAGAGTAAGACAAGGGGATCGCCACAGCTGACGTAAGGGCTCGAAGTTCTGCTCTAATGTAGGCTTCGATTTGATTTGCTAGAAACATACTGGGTTTAACTGGATTAAGTATCCTGGTAGAAGAGTAGGGGTTGTGCCTCTTCAAGTGGGTCGGAAGAGGGTCTGGGAAACAAATCGGGAGAGAATATGGGCTAAGCTGGCCGGTAGCGGTAGTCGAGTGTAAGCACTCCGAGGCAACGGGCAGGATGACGAATTGGCCACTCTTCATTCTACAGGTATTAGGTACGAGGCCCATTGCCGGCACAACAATAGCCACCATCATGTCTCTATGGAGAGACACGTTCGTATACGTTGAAATCTTTTCGTTAGCTGTCACGCTGGCTACTCTATCGAAAACTAGAGCTGTCGCCTACCTTTGCTATTTTTAATAAATAAGCGACTCTAATTCCTTCACTAAGCACTCCTTACGACCGCTTAACGGATGGGGGATCAACAGACCCGCTGCACGGACCGGCTTAGCATTGGAGCGAGTGCAATTGGCCGATGGAACCCTAGTGGAGCCAGGATGGTTGATGATGCAATTGACCAACGAGATCGAATTGACTCCGTTTAAGCCTCCTAGCAAGAAAAATATGAATCTGTATGGCAGAGGCGGCGAACTGCGCCTGTTCCTGGCGAAATCCGGAGACGAATCCCGCCGATCCTCGGTTGAAGACGGGCAAATAGAGTTAAAATGATTCCGAGACGATCGCCGAGGGAAACCAGGGCTAGACTGTTGGGGTCAACTTTTTCCGCTTGGAGAGTTAAACTCAGCCATTGATTGGGCTTGAAAGATCCCCACCGGATTGTCGTCGGTGAACAATAACGTCGCTGCCCCTCGTCGAGTCATTCTTTTGTCCTTCTCCAGCCACTCTCCGGCATTGTCCTTTCTTTACCCCTCCATCACAATGTCGCTTCCCCTTCGCCGGTCTCTGCCCCGGACAATACTGCGGTCCTACGGGACTGTCCAGGCTCCCCCCAGCAGTGCGGCGCTGGCGAGTCGCATCCCCGCCGCCCTGGCCGAGGCCACCGCGGCCACTGGCCCGCGCACCAACTGGACGCGGGAAGAGATACAGCAGATCTACGAGACTCCGTTGAACCAGCTTACCTACGCGGCGGTACGTATTCATTCACCACGATGGACGCCATCTCTAATTAAACCCAGGGCGCCGTTCACCGACGATTCCATGACCCATCCGCGATCCAAATGTGCACACTGATGAACATCAAGACGGGTGGCTGCAGCGAGGACTGCTCCTACTGCGCCCAGTCATCACGCTACGACACCGGCCTGAAAGCGACCAAGATGAGCCCGGTGGACGAGGTTTTGGAAAAGGCAAGAACAGCCAAGGCGAATGGCAGCACGCGGTTCTGCATGGGTGCCGCCTGGCGGGACATGCGCGGGCGCAAGACCAGCCTGAAGAACGTCAAGCAGATGGTTTCGGGGATCCGCGAGATGAACATGGAAGTGTGCGTGACGCTGGGCATGATCGACGAGAACCAGGCCAAGGAGCTGAAGGAGGCCGGTCTGACGGCGTACAACCACAACCTCGATACCTCGCGCGAATTCTACCCGTCCATCATCTCGACCCGGTCGTATGACGAGCGTCTGCGGACGCTGGACCATGTCCGTGATGCGGGCATCAATGTCTGCTCCGGTGGGATTCTGGGACTGGGCGAGACGGACTCGGACCGTGTGGGCCTGCTGCACACCGTCTCCAGCCTGCCTGCTCACCCGGAGTCCTTCCCTGTGAATGCCCTCGTCCCGATTCCCGGTACGCCTCTGGGCGACCGCAAGATGATTCCGTTCGACCGCCTGCTTCGGACCATCGCCACCGCCCGCGTTGTTCTTCCCGCGACCATCGTTCGTCTCGCTGCTGGCCGTATTGCGCTCTCAGAGGAACAGCAGGTTGCCTGCTTCCAAGCTGGGGCCAATGCGGTGTTTACTGGGGAAAAGATGCTGACTACGGACTGCAATGGATGGGATGAGGACCGTGTTATGTTTGACCGCTGGGGGTACTATCCTATGAAGAGCTTCGAGAAGGGCGAAGCTCCATTGGCTACGTCTGCTCCGGCACCTTCTGCCCAGCCTGATGCCCCTGCTGCGCCGGCCGCAGCCAGCTCATAGATTTACGTGTTCATTGCTAGCTTCCTGACAAAATCGAGAGTTTCAATACCTCTTTCTTTTCCAATTTTGCACGAGGGTGTTTAGACACTGTCAATAGTTTCATGGTTGATGCGTAGACGCACATGTTGGGAGCCATCGACCTGCGTATGAGTGTAGGCCTCGGGCCGAAACTATGATGTAGTTACTATTCCGTTTTAGCATATGCGAGACTATCATCTAGTATTCTTTATATTTGTCACTTCTATTCTATGACTATTCATGTAGTTTCCACTCGTATGTATTGGGAATAAAAATCATCACAGGCCATAGCAGGCTCATCGTATCATCAGGCATCGAATAGCATCACAACAACGCTGAACCACGAGGACTACACACAGCGCCAATTCACCACAGAGGCATGTTGGCCGTATTCACATAATCGACATTACCAGCCACCGACTCAATGCGGTCGTGGCAAGTCCCAAAGATCTTGTCCCACAGACGGGTCTGTTTACCGTAGTTATGACTCTTGCGCCATCCCTTCCGGTGATGCAGATCGTGATCCTCAATGACAATATCCGCATCAAACATCTGAAGCAACCAGCTCAGCGTCGACGGAACAGTCAGGTGCAGCCTCAGCCCGGAGTGTCCAAACACTTCCGCGAAAGCAACGTACTCATGGCAGATCCACCACTCATAGAAGCCCATAGGCAGACCCATAAGCCGGAGACTGAAATAAGTCATCATGGGCACGCCGACCATATCGAAGAATTCCTGCTCGTGGTCTGCATAGGCGGCGAGGAGAGGATTCGGGTGTTTCGTTAGATGGTGCGTGCGGTGGTACTTCCACAAGAAGCTCACGTCGTGCATCAGGCGGTGGTACCAGTAAAACCAGAAGTCGAGGACGATACCATACAGGCCTATTTCGAGGGGAAGCCAGGCCCAGCTCATCTGCGAGGGCAGCAGGGTTTTGTTATAGGATAGGTAGATTGAGAGGATCAGCCGAGACCCTGTCGTCTTATAGAGCGAGGCCACGACTTTTGCGATCCCTACATCGGGGACGCCGTCGCGCTCATGTTTGTCGCCGTCGAGAAAGCCGAAAATGTGGCCAAATCGCCGGAGGACGTGTACTTGGTAAATGACTGTCGCGTTGAATGCCATGAAGTAGAGGTTAAATGCGGCGATCGGGCCTATTGTGCGGCCTGTGTAGGCCATATATGCCTGGTGCAGAAGCAGTGGTAGGGCTGAGTAGAACAGAACCCAGCGCTGAAGCGACCATTGAGTCATGTATGGTATGGGATCCTCTTTGGTGTGCACCGGCACTTCCTTGTCTAGTTCGATCGGATAGGCGTTCATCAGGTGAAGAACCCAGTGGTTGTGATTCCATTCTTTGCGGTCCGCAGTCCGCCACGTGGACCGCATCGAGTCCTTCGATAAAGACGTGGTCTCCATGGCTGGGGTAGATTAGGGTATTTTGCCTCGTTAATCAGTGGCACATATGGCTTTGTTATATAGCACGCTGCGGCGGGCCATTCGGGGCCCGCCGCAGCATGTGAAGGGTAGGCGATGACGCCGAAAGACGCACTGTGTGGATCTACTTTCCCCAACAAAATGGAGTAGATCAGTTGAAGCGAAGATGAAGCGGACCATTGTGGCCAAGATGGGCCCGATCTGTTAGGAACATGTGAAGTGGGCGTGGATCAACCCCGCAAGTTGAGCCTCGGACTCTTCGGATAATGTTATTATTTCTAGCCAGAAAGGGAAAACAGGCTAACTGCTTTCACACAATGTTGCGAGCGAATGATATCTGCAGAGATTGGAGCCTCAAGATAGTAGTTAACGTTCAGTTAGGGTTGCTGATTCTCCTATGTGACACTACTGCTTCTCGGGCATTTTCCTCGTGAATGCCAAGGACGTCTAACACTTTCTCGGATTGTACTTGAAAGCCTGGCACTGCCTGGCAATACTTGTATATTGTGTTCACCATTCTTATGCTTCTCTGAAATGGCTTTTCTGATGACCTTCAATTATGCCCTGTGAAAGTTGAATTATCTGTTGCCAAGAGGGCTGTCTCCATTATGGAGACTCTAAAACCTCCGGGGCGCGATGGAGCCACAGCCGGGATCTACTTACTCCAACAGATCATGACTAGTGATTTTCCGGTGAAAACAACAGTACCAGTTAGCATAGGATCTACCTAGCGATAATTATGAAGTGTTAATGACAAATTATGAATACGGCACTCAGCACATATTGTGCAAACTCGCCTAATTAACCGCAATAGGTCAAGAGGTACACTGTCGCATCTCAATTCACAATAATGGTACAGTGCTAACCGTTTTAAAAATTAGGTGATCTGTATTATCTTCTATTATTACAGCTCCAAAAATTACCACACCCATCATGGAGCCGTCCTAGCACAAGCGGCCCAATCCAAGTACCAACAAACCTTCTAGCCCGTTTCAAAGTGGCACGAAGCCTCAATTCCTGGTAGCGTAAGGTCATGGTCCATATGATACGCAGCAGGAACAGACTCGCCACGTCACAAATAGCCAAGATTGCAAAGTGTAGTGAGCATTCTACCACTAACATACGTAAGAACATGCAGCTGTTCGGCAGTCCCAGATCTCTTCTAATTTCTCCCGGCCCGCTACACAGCATTACTCCTGTGATGGTGGACGTTGTTTATGACTGCCTTGCCGAAAACCCGACCAATATGTCGAAGAGACGGCTATCTTTTATAGGACGAGTTCAACAAATATCATCATCTAGCATCAAACGTGCTCTTTCCCGGGCTGGTTGGACAAAGAAAACCCAGCGGAGAGCGAAAAACCAGAACCCTCAACTACAAGATTTCTACCAGCTTATTTGCTTTTGTTAATGATTTTGGATGTGATAAACGGGTAGGATATAGGTGGACCAGTTGATCACCGCTCGGCGTGGCACCAGTCCAAGTATCTAAATTTCATCGGGGCCAACGCTAGCAGATAATACCAGCCTATGCTCAAGACTATATTAGTTTGTCTCGTATTTTCAAAGGCTCAACTGATGCTGTGTTCTTAGAACCTTTTATTAAGCAGCTTCTCCAATATTGCGGGAAGTGGCCGGAGCTCGAGCAGGTAGGTTTGCGCCTTCCTATTTCGGAATGGCGGCCTGTGTCGTATGCCAAACCTTCTTTGCAGCCCCCTTGAACTGCGCCACTCCAGAGCCAGGATCTATGGCTGAGTTGTCAAAAGATTGTCTTTGTTTAATTGTGATGGATAGATCTAGAAAACGAGAGCGGTGATGGTATGGCGCCCGGCGTAGCTGTCGGTGTTCAGTTCTGAAACCCGCATGTTATCTGATCTATGGCCCATTTGCATTTTCCTCTTCCAGCAATGAGTTGTTTATACTTTCTCAAGGTAAGCTATTTTGGCTTTTTAGCGCTGCCAGTTATTTGGAATAGAGCTGTCTCAGGCTAGGAAGGTTGATGGGGCTGTGCCGAAGCTCTTCTAGATCACGTTTCAACTGCCTTTGTTGGAAACGAATACGACCCAAAGGGGTAAATGCAAACTACATCCACCTCATATTATTGTTTATACTTCTAGATATATATAAAGGATGGCCAGCTACTGATTCTCAGGAGGTAGAATTTACACAAGTACTTTCTATCCACACCGCTTCAAGATTTTCTAAGCAGTTGCAACAATGAGGGCATCTCTATCTCTTCTTGTTCCCTTCGTTCTCCCTCTGGCCGCAGCTCAATGGGGAGGTGGCGGTGGAGGTGGCAGCCAACCCACGACGACAACTGCCGCAACCACGGCTATGAGCAGTTCTTCTTCAAGCTCCACCCACTCTGTTGATGTTGGTAAAGACGGCTTGACGTTTGACCCGGATACCCTCATGGTGTCCCCCGGAGACCAAGTCGAGTTCCACTTCTATCCGGGCGATCACTCGGTGGCTCAAGCCGCATTCAGCAACCCATGCCAACCCATGAGCTCTAGCAGTTTCTACAGCGGATTCTTCCCTGGTAGTACCGAGTCGGTGCGTTTGTCAATTTCACAGTCTGAAAGCCTTTCTGATATTCTACTAGTCTAACGTCTTCGTTCTGGCCGTTAACGACACAAACCCCATCTGGTTCTACTGCGGGCAAGTCGGGCACTGCCAGGCCGGAATGGTTGGGGTGATCAACCCACCGTAAGTGTGCCAGCGGGAGCGGTCGGATTAAGACACTGACCGTTACTTTTAGTTCTAGTGGCGCCGATACCCTCGACGAGTTCAGGAAGGCGGCGTCGGGTACAAAGAGTTCCAACGTGCCAGCCGTGGTCCAGGGTGGTGTTATTCGTGCCGGGAGCGATGACGATGGTGACAAACCCTCTTCCACTAAGACCGCTGCCAGCACGACCCCTACAAATGGAGCACAGGGTGTGCGAGGATGGGCTGATTTCAGTGTCCTGTTCGTTTTGACTTCTGTCGCGGCCTTGTGCCTGACGTAGGTTCTTGTTCTGAGACATGGGGGTTGAGATTGGTCACAAGCGAAACCTATGTAGTGGTTCCTGTACCTAGACTGGCTGATTATTAGTGATGATAATGCAATCATACGGTTTGTCTCGAAATTGGTGTCACCAACCTACACTCTCCGATCGTTTCGCGAACCCTTATGCCAAGATCCACTAGACTATATTTAGAATAGCCCCGGCATAGAAATATTTCTCTTGTTATCTATATTACAGTATTTTACTCTAATTATTATATGACTCATGTCTCGTAACTGTAACTATTGCCAAGTCATGGTACATGTTAGCTAATCAATTTTCCCAGGAAGGGCGAAGCCCCGCACGTTACCGTCATTTGCCTTAACAGATCGCAGAGGAACAAACATCTTTTCATTCTCACCTTTATTCTTGAAACGAAAACCTCTCTGTATCATATTGTGATATATTGCACAGCCATGATGTGCCTTGTCTATCCATTGAACCGCATCATAGATATCTTCGTCCCGTCCTTTATGGTGCTAACTGGAATCGTTTTCGCGGCTTACAACTTCCTAGAGGTTCTGGCCATCGAACGCAGACCTCGTCTAGCATTTAATTTCAAACACTGGCACAGCCAACAGTTCACACTGTTGTGGAAAACATTTGGCCCTTTGGCGTCCAAGGCTCTCAGGCCCACTATATCTCCTCTGGCCGCGGTTGCTAACGGTATTGTTTTGGACATCGGGTATGTAATCTGGATACTTCTATGCAAGCAGTAACCCTTTACTTCTGCAGTAAATGACTATGTATAGGCCCGGTGATGGTCAGAATCTGACCCACTATAAAAGTGAGAATATCATCAAGTTGTATCTTGTTGAGCCGTGCGTTGGATTACACAAGAGGCTACGGGAGAATGTAAAGAAAGCCGGCCTCGAAGATGTTACTATGATAATCTGTTAGTTACTAGCTTGTTTTATCCTTTCCTTTCAAGGCCACTCCCTAATCCTGACATCATCTAGCCTGTGGTGTTCAAAATGTCGATGTCCTTTATGACCATGGCATTACCCCCGCCTCTGTTAATACGATCACCACCTTCAGTGTGCTCTGCTCTGTGCCCGCTCCAGAGGAGACGTGTCGCTTTCTGTACTCACTGCTTAAACCCGGTGGACAATGGGTGCTCGTCGAGCATGTTCTCGCCGATCTGAAGTTTCCTATCACTCGTTGGATCCAGGGTATGTTCGAGGTTGTTTGGCCGACACTAATGGGAGGATGTCATATTAATCGCGACTCGGGGAGCTACGTGAGAGAGGCTGGGCCATGGACGACGGTTGAACTGGGAAGGGGACAAAACGAGTTTGGTTGGGAGATGTTAGGGCACGTTGTAGGTAGGTTAGTGAAGTAGGGATGCTAGTAGAATGAAGCATCGTTGAAGGACATAGTCAATATTGAACAGAAGAGTAGGATCCAACAGAGTAATATTCAGTCGGCGGAAGCTAGATTTATTCGATGCCAACTATAACAGCCCTGTAATGGTTCTATATCGCTTCAAGATTCATCCATATAGGCAAGACGGTATAAATGGAAATCTCGGAAATCTGAGATAAAGTGGAGGTACTCATCATGCAGACTAAGGTTGCGCTCTCTGGCCTTCGGCCGGGCAGTCTTTGACCAACCTTTAAATGAAAGAGCGCGACCGATGGTAGACATCGTCGCTTAGACATCGAGCTCATCCCATAGAAAATCGCCATCTCATCATGATACAAATTAGGTTTTTCTAGCAGATGACCGCAAAGAGTATCCAGAATAATTATTGTGATGCTTTGTGGCAATCTAGCTTTGTTTGGCGGCGCTTTAACGCTGTCAAATAGCCGAATATTAGAGATGATTCTTAAGATACTCCGCTTGCTGTAGCCCGCAATCTGTGCAATCTAGGATATAGATACAGTATCAGAAGAATGCCTGGCCTGTAGATCCTTATTGAGGAGCCACACTATCCTGAAGGAGAACTTGCGTAAACCACCTGTTTCATTGGATCATTGCTCCGACCGGTTGCTGACGACCCTGTCATCGGACAAACCACCGCACTGCCGCCCCCTATTAAAGTCGAAGGAATCGAGGAATGGCAAGCTGAAGAAGTCCTTGACTCATGATGGATCAAGAAAGGTCGAAGACAGACAGCCGAAGCTACACTACATAGTGAAATGGGTTCGCTACGATAGCCCTACTCAAGAACCTGCCGAGTATTTGGATAATGCAAGGAGCCGGTCCACAACTTTTATCGCCGCTATCCCCAAAAGCCTAGGCTCACACTATATCTCTGCCGGTGCCTCGACGGGGCTCGCCATAAGGAGGGGAGTACGGTCTTCCAGCGGGTCTCTTTCTGCTAGGCCTGACTGTAGTTAGTTCCTAACTCAATGTATCTCTGACCAAGCACCCTGACACCCTCGCAGCTTCTGTATGGTGAGCCCTAGACCATATTCAGTAAATGATAATGATAATTATCTCAGAGATCTTCGGCATAGCCACAGTGCTTATCAATCTAAGATGGTTTAAAGCTTAATTGCCTCGAACACGAAAAGTTTCAACTATTCATTGCTTAAAGCGGAAAATGTGCATTGACCTCGCATTAGATCTCCTATATCAGCAAGCCACTTTTCATAATCTGGCCCTCGAAATACTTTATGATGATCTTTTGAACCTGAACTATGGACTTTGACCCCAGTTGGGGCGTTTCACGTAATTGCAGATTAAGGTTTGGCGAGAGACGGCCACACCGCTGTAATAGGAAGGTACCAAACCAATTGTTAAGTGTAACTTACCTGGGTTGCCTAGGCAAGAAACACTTCCGTAGAAAGTACTTCTTTGAGTTGTTCGCGAACTGCCAATTCCAAATAGTTTTCGGCATGCTCAAATAAGTCGTAGGATGGAGGTAATATTCGTCTAAGATAAGGACTTAGTGACTTGGGGATTTAAAAGTGATAGTTTGAATACCTTGTAAAAATTGTCATGTGGGCTGTCAGTTTTCAATTTTAGACAACCTTCCCTCTATGAAATGAGCTCCTCGCACTTCCAAATTGGGACGTCGTATGTGCTAGATTTGACATAAGCTATGGGCGGAGCTCTCCACTTGCCCCACTTAACATCAACAACCACATTCATCACTACAACTACAACACTACCACCCATCTACCTACTCGCCATGGCCGCGCCAACACAGCCCTCCACCATGAAAGCCTGGCTCTACAGCAGCACGGCCGGCGGTCTCGAGCAGAACCTATCATTAGACAAAGCCGCCCGCGCACCACGCACTCTCCGCAGTGACGAAGTCCTAATCGAAGTGACCTCAGCCGCGCTCAACCCCGCCGACTACAAAGTCCCCGAGATGGGACTCCCAGCGCGTCTGGTAATTGGAATGCCCGCCAGCCCGGGGCTAGACTTCTGTGGCCGCGTCGCCGCAACGGGACCCGACGTCACAGACTTCAAGCCGGGCGACATGGTCTTCGGCAGCCATAACCAGCCTGTCAAGTTCGGGGCGCTGGGTGAGTACACGGTTAGTCGGGCGAGCGTACTAGCCCACCTCCCGGAGGGAGTGAACCCCGACCACGCGGCTGCCTTGGGCATCGCGGGCCAGTCGGCATACCAGGCCCTAAACGGGTACAAGCACGTGCATTCCGGCGCGAAAGTCTTCATCAACGGCGGATCTGGCGGGTGCGGCGTCTTCGCTATCCAGATCGCGAAGCAGATGGGATGTCACGTTACCACGACGTGTTCGACGCGCAACGTCGAGTTCTGCCGCGGCCTCGGCGCAGACGAGGTCATCGACTACACCGCTGTCGAGGATTTGCCAGCCGAGCTACGCACGCGAGGAGTGATCTTTGATCATATCCTCGACCACATCGGCACTCCTGCTTCCCTGTACCGCGAGTCGGATCATTTCCTGCGCGAGGGCGGGGCGTTTGTCCAAGTTGGTGCGTCGGCTTTTACGACATTTGCAGAGAGGCTGGTGCGTCCTGCGTTTTTGGGCGGGGGGAAGAGGAAGTATGTCATTTTCTTCTATAAGAATACGCAGGAGCATGCTAGGATCCTGGGGGATTGGGTTGCAGAGGGAAAAATCAAGGTTGAGTTGGATAGTGTCCATGAGTTTGAGGATGCGGTGCAGGCGTTTCAGAAGCTGAGGTCTGGGAGGGCTAGGGGGAAGATTATTGTCCATGTGGGCTCATCTTGATTAGCTTTGCTTCACGGCGTTAGGTGTTATATGATTCGGGGTAATTGGAGAGAATATCAATCAAGTTCTTCTTTATATCTCATTGCTTGCGCTTGAGGAAGGTCAGCGCACCCAGCGCTATGGCGTCCACGCCAGTGCGCAGCGTCGGCTCGATAACAGGTGCGAAGAAGGGCGAGTGATTACTCGGCAGCTCATCCACAGTCCCCTTGGCGACGGCCTCATCCCAGGTCTTTTCATCCGTGCCGCCAAACATCCACATCACGTAAGGCGCGCCCACCGCGGTGGCTAGCAGAGAGAAATCCTCGCTCGCAGTCGGAGGCTCCATCTCGATGAGATTATCTCCGAAATACGGCTGGAAGGTCTCGCGAAGCGCATCGATGGTCTTTCCATCGTTGATCGTCGCAGGCGTCGAGAACATCTTTTTGATAAGAGGTTTCTGCGTCGCGCCTGCAGCCTGGCACTCCGCCTCGATGATCCGGTGGATAGCCGCGCAGACCTTTTCCCGCACTGCGGCATCATAAGTGCGCACGTTGAGCTTCATGTCCAGCTCGTCCGGGATGATGTTAGGGCTATGTCCGGATTGGATACTGCCACACGAGACGACCGCCAGCTTCCCCGGCGTCACCTCGCGCGAGACAATAGACTGCAAGCGCATAACGATCGACGCGCCGATAACGATGGGATCGATAGTCGTCTGTGGTGCAGAGCCGTGGCCTCCGCGCCCGTAGATCCGCACGTCAAAGGAATCCGCGGCTGTGAGCAGCGGCCCCGCGCGGAGATTGATAGACCCCGCGCGCATGCGCCCGACATGTTGCGCGAGGACGACGTCCGGCTTGGGAATGCGATCGTACAACCCATCATCCAGCATCGCCTTCGCGCCATCCAAGTGTTCTTCCGACGGTTGGAACAGACAGATCAGCGTGCCGGACCAGTGCTCACGCGCGGCATGCAATAGAGTCGACGCCGCCATCATCGTCGTAACGTGCGTGTCGTGTCCGCACGCGTGCATAACCGGCTTGCGCACGCCGTCTTTATCCTTGACGGTCCGTGTGCTCGCGTAATCCAATCCGGTTTTCTCTTCCAAAGGTAGGGCGTCCATGTCCGCCCGCAGGAGGATGGTCGGGCCGTCGCCATTGCGTAGAATCCCTACGACACCGTGTCCGCCGATCTTCGCATGTACTTCATATCCCACGCTGCGCAGATGCTCAGCGGCTTTCTGGGCGGTGACCTCCTCCAGCCCGGACAGTTCGGGCTCGTTGTGGAGAGTCCGGTAGATGGCCTCGTAGGGCTTGAGGTCGGGCCGGAAGCGATCCAGCAGGGTTTGTAGTTCGCTTGTATTCGAGGCTGTCGAGCGGTTAGTCAAGATGTTGTAGTTTGATTTCGTTCTTGTACGCACTTAACTGCATTGTGGTTATGGGGGATGCAAACAGAATGATGCAACTCCGGGTGCTCAAAATATATATGGGCTTATCCCCACCACATCGGCAAACTGCCCCAGTCGTGCCCCCGCATTACTCGGCAATTGATACCGGCCAAAATAAAAGTTTGCGACGGTAGCTGTTATAACGGACTGCCGAATTATTGTCCATTCTGTCAAGGTCATAATAATCGTGTCGGGCGGCTAGACACGGAATGAGGATATGTTCACACTGTCGCAACTATCATCATCTCCACATCGAGTAACTGACTAACCCACTCATGCAGCCCTGTCAATGTGGTTGCCTGCAGCAGGAACAAGGCTGCACGATGGCACCATCCAACATTCTGCACCATTTATAATTAGTCTATTTTACAATTCTCACGAGCCGACTAAGATGTAATCAATCCACTCCGCGAACTACGAGGCGGGATCCGCCTTGCGCTCAGACCCTAGCCTAGATACACCAGCCACGGTCATCATTCTCACGGGGCGTTTTAAGGCCTACCATGTTAATTTTACTTCTTACTTGCGGCGCAGCAACATTGCTGCCTCAGTCCAGCCTCTGACGTGATTTCAGCTGGCATGTCCGAGCATGCTATCTGTGTTTTAGCTCTGGCGTTCATGCGCTCATGCTCAACCGACCGCTCCGGCCCGACCGCTCCACCCGGTGGAGTCCCCGTCTCGCATCAGCCACTCATACCACCCACAGCCAAAAAAAAATAAATTTTGATCCGAATACAAAAAAAAGGTCTCAAGATGTTCTTAGGAATAGCCGAACGCGGGGGTCGAACCCGCAGCCTTGAGATTAAGAGTCTCACGCTCTACCGATTGAGCTAGCCCGGCAGGGCTTGAGAGAAGGTGAGGTGGTGGTGCTTCATAGGGCGGGAGGGAGTGTAGTACTTGGGGGTGGGGTGTAAATAAATGACAGTGTAGTTCGGATGATTGAGAAAATGAGTATTGGTTTCACCCGGGTACAAGATGGATGAACACGAGACCAACCATCATAATCATTTCATCCTCCTCGTGTTGTTGCGGAGATCGCTCGCAACTGGGCCATCTGACCAGGTGGCATCACGGACCACCGACCCAACACAGATCATCTTGCGGGTGCCTGGTAAGGCAGATGGAGGAACATAGATAGTTCAGTCGGAGATGCAGACCTAGACTGGCCCTCGTTACGCCCGGGTGCATCGGAGAGTCGGCTCGATTTGTAAGTTCGATATCCAGATCTTTCCCCTGTCAGCTTGTGGCTCGGGCACCGAATCACACGATCAGCGCAGAGACGAGTTGTGGCTTGAGACCTGGCACGCGGACGATGATTGGGGATACGAGGATGATGGCAGAGGCTTGACGAGTGAGAAATACGGGCTTGTGGCTTGAGGCGGAGCGGCCTCGAGGCTGGTGCGCGTGGGATTGGTTGGGGGCCGTTGCAGATTGGTAGGCTGGCAGGTGTCGAGGTTATTTTGGAACACTCGCGATGGTTGAAACATCCATCGTATCACCAAATATGGAAGCGATGGAAAGGGAACCATTCCCCGCGCTTAGTGATGCTAATTGTGGTGGTGTGTATCGGGAGACGCTGGGCCCGCGGTTGCAGCACAAATGACGGAGGGTGCACACAACAAGCCGGGGACTCGATCAAACACACCAGCCACGATGCCATCATTCCCCGAGAACGCAGAGGGTTCGGCGAATGGGCCTCCAGGGGGTTCACCGTGTCCTGTCAGCATGGGCACCAATCAGACCGGGGAGGGGAGGCGAGACTGGCGGCGTTTCTATTCTAGCCCTAGTTCGCCCGCCGCCAAAGCACAGCCGCACGCCTGAGCCTCTAGGCCGCGATCGGCATGTCAACGAACGAACGAAGTATACTTTGTGGATGCCTTGTCTGCTTAAATAGCTCCCTCCCCCCCCAGTGCAAAGCATACATCGTCACTTCCCATCATCCCATCGTTCATCATTCAGCGGGTCCAGATTTCCTGTGACCCATCGAATCTATACCGCGCGTGACCCTCCCATATAGTCACGGTGTCGCCCTCACGCATCACCACCTATTCCCTCCGCCGCCCCTCCTCGTTCTTCCAACCCCAAGAAACAACCCCCCGCCGCAGCGTGGTCCGCCGATTCTTCTCTCTCGGCCGCTCAAACACCATGCCTGCCCCCATCGAACCCACCAACTTCGTCGTTGTCGTGCGCGACCTCGGCGACGACGAGCACTACGTGATGGCGGCCTTTGAGTCCCACGCTGAACACTGTCCTCACTGCGCCCATCCACTACAAACCTACCGCGAGGGTGGTGATCTCTGCGAGCGCGGCCGCCAGTACGCCCGCGACGTTGCCGAGTACCTCTACTGCCAAAACGGCAAGCACTACTCCGTCGTCGACCGCGAGAGCGGCAAACCCAGGCGCGTCAAGCTCCCGCGCGACGCCCTCGCCGTCCGCAGCTTGCTAGCCGCTCTGGCCGACGGTCTGCGTCTACGTGCGCCGGCTGTGCGGGCACCGGAAATCAGCTACGACCGCACCTACCCCGTTGGCCCGCGTCGTCCGGCTGTCGAGCATATCCAGCCCAGACCCAGCACGCCCGAGTCGCCCTCGCGCGCTATCGTTGAGCGCGAGCCTCGCTCGCCCAAGCGCCGCGTTATCGTCTACCATTCGCCGCGTGGCTCGCCCGCCCGAGGCTCTTTGTATAATGCGGACCGCGTGGACCGTGTTGAGCGTCTGTACGAGTCCTCGCGCATCTACCGGCCGGCGGAGTACTACCGCTGAAGGATTCTTGCATGCATTGCCATTCCGATCTATAGAGGATGGCGATTTGTGACTGTCAAACTACCTACAACATTGGACCCTACGCTCCGGTTACTGGACACCCTCGAACCAGGCTGAAAGAAAATCCTCACGGATGGCCTGCGTTTCACGCCAGGCATGCCTGAATACCCGTCTCTCTGGTCCTGGCCCAGAGAGCCAACCCCGCCTTGATACATCATTCAGTCATTCTCATCGACTTGGAATTGAATTGAAGATGGCGGTCTCCCGATCGGGAATAGCTGCGGCTGTGCTGTCTGGAGCAACAGTCGGTGATTGGCCACCTGCTGCAAGGCCGTCTCCAACGGCGAATCCGACCTGCAGCCAGGCCTGTTGTGCATGATTCGGGATTGGATCTGAGTGGTGGCTGTGGGTGACTCATTTGCATAAACTGCTATGTTGGAGAAGAATCATTAGTTATGATATTCCGAGGTGATGAACTGGTCCTTGAGCAGATAGCAATCTATACCTACCATCTATGTTCTTGCCCAGTCATGGCCCCAATGAATGTCGATGGTACGAAGAGACTTCTACAATAATTCGAGTCCAAGTAGGCAGTAACCCTAAAACAAATTCCACCCGTCGTCATTGTCCCACCACACCTTGACTCATCGATAGGGTCGGTAGTTACGCCCTAACTATACTTCCCCACCAAACCCCTCCAGTCCTCCTCCGTCATCTTTTACCCCAACCAACCGATTAGCCAGGCGCCCCTCCCCGAAGTGACTCCCTAACCCATCCCCTAAGATCGCCCTTGGCAACAAACACTGCGTCGCCACCTTCTAATCCGGATTCTTCTGCATCTCCGCGTAGCCCTGACTCTCCAGATCAACCGTGCGCACCTCCTCTCATTTCGTTTCTTCTTTCCTTTTTCATCTGGGAACTTCCATTGTCGAATGGATTTACTTTCATTGTTTTTTCTTTTGATCTGGCTGCCCGATCACAGATATTGCGAAATAGTATCAAGTTTCTGGAGGTAGAATGGATTATATTATTCTTCTCAAATCTTTGGGCCTAATTAATGGGAAAGAAATTTCAAGGAGTGAGTGTTAACACAAGTGAGAAGGTAAGGAATGCACGAGTGATGAAATAATAGGGAGAGAAACAGCTAGAATACTAGCCGGCGAAGAAATCTAAAGCCCAGTGGGACAAAGAGGACCATAGTCCTTCCCATCCAGGTACTTTTGATACCACGATGGACTTCCCACACAGGTGGGACAGTAGAACAGGCCCGTTGGGTCGTACTCCGCCTTGATTTGAGTGAGACGAGCGAAATTCAAGCCAAAGAAGTCCCAAGCCCACAGAGGGTCGTTGCGGTCAGCCTGTAACGTGATGTTAAATTCCAGGATCTAATAGAAAAAAAAAAAAATGTAGGGGCCCAAGAGAACAAACCTCGTTCATATAGCTCCCCAAAAAGGGAGTAAGAGCTCTCATCGCCCCACCCTTGACATAGGTAATATCGTTCTTGACGCTCTGCGCGGTGGCGGCACTGGAGCCATCCGCCCAGCCTCGGGCGACAACGCTCACAATGTACGTAGATCGCCAGGCGGGGTTGAGGCCAGAATATGGGTCTTCATCAAGAACCTTGCCACCAGCGACGAGTTCAACACTGTTGATGGTATATTCTTCCGTTTGGCCAGCCATGACACCAATCGTGCTACGAAGAGCAGTCCGGCTAGCGGTAAGAGCCAATTTGCTGAACATTCGAGAGGACATGGCTGAGTTCGGTGTCCCAACAGCTTGGTGCGCACCAGACATAGCTCGGTAGTAAGATGCGTATGTCGGGAATTCGTACCAAGTCAGCGAGACGAACAAGGACGTGCCGTTGTAGGTCTGCAGTTTCTGGAGAAGCGGCTGGAATGCATTCTGTGCCTCCGACAGCGACTTATCCATCGCAGCAAGCGCATGCACGTAGCCAATCGTCTGATCCCCGAAGAGGACTTGGGGACCATTGATTGACCAAGTACCATAACCGCTGAAGCCGAAATCCATGAGACTGGGATAATCCGTATAGATATCAGTCACAGCCTCCAAGAGAGTGTCTGTCTCGCTGCCAAGAGGCATAATCGCAAGGGAATGAGCGACAACGGGCTTTGAGGGATATCCCTTAACGACCATGGAAAGAACCACTCCATAACTTCCACCGCCACCACCACGGATGGCGAAGTAGAGATCGGAATTCTGGCAAGCACTGGCAGTGACAATTTGGCCACTGGCGAGAAGCACTTGAGCTTCGAGGATTTGGTCCGCAGCGAGGCCGTAGTCATGGCTAGCCGGTGAGTGACCACCTCCCTGGATATAACCGCCAATGCAGCCGACGGTCTCAAAGAAAAACCATTGTTAGCTCGATAGTATCTATTGGGGGAAGCTTGAGATATATACCGGGTCACCCCCTCCCACAACTGTAATATTCCGCGGGAAGACGACTTCGTACACATCCTCCCAGACATAACCGCCACCAATGGTCACAGCGGCACCAGTCCAATCGTTTTGGGCACATTTTTCAGAGGGCACATAGCTATCTTGGATCGAAATGCCGTTTCGGATATACTTAATCCAGATCTGGAGGGCCCCGTAACCTTCGGATCTGAAACAGAAGACGTCTGGTTAGACAAGGGAAAGGAAATTATTGGCCAAGATACTGACTTTCCGAGCAGATCGTGTCCAGTATTCCTGATAACGAGACGGACATTGTTCTTCTGGGCAAATGCCATACCAGCCGCTAACTCTGCTGGTTCCGTTGCGTTGATCGTGTAGACCGGTGCAGGCCCTAGAACACAAGTCCCAGGGGTCTCGCCGGAGCTCAAGTCAACCGGCGGGCAAGGCTCGTCCGTAGGGTAAACATATCCAACTGGAGACAGCTCCTGGAACGTGGAATTGGACCATTGCGAGTAGACATAGGCGCATTCCTCCGCATTTTGATAAGGTCCGGGGTAGCACGAAATCGCTACAGGGAGGTTATGAATAAGCTTCCCTGAGACAGTGGTATTGAGAGTGTCCCAGGTATCAACGGAGGGCCAGCATGCATCATTGGGAGTCTAAGCAGGAGGCGTTACTGAGAGCTCTTTTTTTTGAATGGGCCCGCCTTCTTCATCTGTGGGGTAGGGGAGGAAACATACGCATTTGCAGGAGGTCTGCGAACTGGCATAACCGAGGCTTGCAAGGGCCAGGGCAGATAACACTCTGAACACCATGCTGAACTCCAGAAAACAAGAAAAGAATCTTCAATAAGACAGAAGAAAGCTAAGTAGCAAGGAACGCGAAGAGAATGAAATACTTAAGAGACTACGAAGGCACCATCCTGCGGATGACGGAACACCGAGCATCCGGCTCGGTTCGCGTACAGCGCCAAGGAAGAAAAAGCAGACACGCTTACACTAACCTTAGATTTTATGAACCGTTTTTCAAGGATTGGATTGAACCGACGTCCAGCGATTGGTCTCTCGGCATCTATTCCGTAGTAGCAAACGTGTTGCTCGGGAAAGCAACATTGCTATGTGGTCCGTGCTAAGTTGTCTGGGATGTCGGGATGTACCGCCTTTCTCGGGATTTCCTGGATATAGTTAGAGCAGAGGCGTGGAAATAACAAAGCATTATTGCTACTTCCAAAGTAGCTTAGGGGCTACATTAGTTGGCCACAAATCATGCAATCGAAGGGCAAGAAGAAGCACATTGGAGTAATGGGGCGGGCCGAAACGGGGCTCAGATTTTGACCAACGCCCGCCACATTCGCACGCAGAGATATGATTTGTCCCATGCTCAGGTACAATACTACGGCGGGGCCTCGCTTAGATTTTAGCCCCTCTTCTGTCAAACTAGATTATTGAACTAGTTCAAAATCCCATATTGATTTCTTCCCGTCCGAGTACCCACTCATTGTTTAGTTCCTTTTGAAGGATGGAATGACTGTTATCATTTTAACCTTTTGCTTGACATGAAAGATTGAGATCTGCGCATAGGCGATAAATCGAGTTGATCGATCTGTTGATCGATCTCTCTTTTTGTTTAACAGATCTGAGAGATCTACTTCTTTGACAGATCTTAAAGATCCACTTCTCTAACGTGGCAGAAGTGGCCATTTAATTATTGCGTCGATAAATTAACGGCACTAAGCATACCCGCAGCCCAATTGGCATTAGAGGTACTGAATTGTCCACATGTGCGTCGGTAAAATTTGAACAATATTCATTTCAAATACAAGGATCCTGAAACCTGAAACCGGCTGGCTTTAGTTTGATTTTGCCGCCCACCATTGCGCCCCTCAAGTCTATGAACAGACACCGTGTTAGATTGAGAATAATTTCTCCATTATTACCATAGAGCTGGGTCTGTGTTTCCCATCCTGATCGTATTAGCTGAAAGCTACGAGTCCACCCGGCGCGCCAGGCTTTTTCTTGTTGCTAGCGAGGAAGTTTCTCGACCGGGGATCCATCTTGGCGGGCGTCGACCGTCAGCGCTCTCTCACCCCATGCATTCGAATTTTTCTACCATAGATTAAATAGCAGGGATCTTGTAGAGTGCCACCATAAGCTTTCTGCCCCCTCTTTATCAACCCCGAAGGACGGAATTTGGTCTTTGAAATCATTTAACGATGTCCTCTTACTGATAATTTGCGTACAGCAAATATATTCTTCACAACTCTGCTCTCAACACGATGACGAGTACTTTCGACCCTCAGGGGGTTGCAACGCAGGTTTCCATCCAGGGATTCATTGGGATTACTTGGGCTGGTGCTGCCCTTGGGATAGTTTTCGCCGCCATCCGCATTGCGATCCGTCTGAAATTAGCAAAGCGATTGATGGTTGACGACTACTTCGTCCTTCTCGCATTAGCATTCTTCGTTACGAACGCCATTCTTCAGACCTTGCAAGCACCGCACTTATACTATATGATCCTCGATATGACAGGACCCGACATCGTCTATCATGGAGAACACTATACGTACTACGAATTCGCTATAATCGGTATCTTTTGGTCGGTACTTTGGAGCATCAAAGCATCTTTTCTCTCACTATTTTGGATGATGTCTGAAGGGCTGCCAAAATACCGAAGGCTTTGGTGGGGGATTACCGTCTTTACTGCATTGGCATATTGTGGCTGCTGGTTTGCGTCGGCGTTCAATTGCCATCCGGCATCAAACTATTTCAAATTTGGTATGAAATGGATTTCAGGATTACGACGGCATTATTTGGATTGAAACTTACCTAGGACAGGGAAATGCATAAAGCCGATTGACCAAAGAGGATCTGTCATATCTATCAGTTATAGCACTGCGGTTGACATTCTCACGGATTTGTTAAGTATGGCCACACTGGGACAACGACAAAAAGAATAGGAAGACTGACAGAAAGAGTAGTCATGTCTCTACCACTTCTCATCCTTTGGGGGGCGCGAATCAATACTCGGCAAAAGATTGGCTTGGTCGTTGTCTTTTCTCTCAGCTTCCTTGTAATTGCAGGAGCAATTATTCGAGCGATTGAGATTGTCGGAAAGGCTTATTCGGACCAAGCAGCTCTTGCTGTGTGGGGAATTGCTGAATCAACCATCTGTAAGTCTCCAACACCTCTGCTACCCGAACTAGGAAGGTTGGTCGAAAGCAAAGAGATGGGACTAATAAAAGAGCAGCAATGGTAGTTGGCTGCCTCCCTCCATTCAAATCCCTTATCGCGAGCAAGAAGGGTTCAAGCCAGTACGCATACGGTCCTTCCACCTTCAATTCCAACTCCTACGCTACGCCCTCACGGCCAAAGAGAAAATCTGCCACCGCCGCCTGGAGTGATGCCGATCTGCCACTCCAGGATCGCAGGACATACCAGAATTTGGATGGTGATATGTATGAGCAAAATGTGCACATAAGTGGAAGCCGAGATGAAGGGACTTTGCGGTCAAAGGCCTCTCGTGTGGTAATATCGGAGGACGAGTTCAGGGGAGACATCAAGATGGTGAAAGAATTTGTGAGTTGAAGTATCCTTATTGGTATCCTGAGCAATACCTACGTCTTGAGACCCTTTGATCTGACTGATTTTATAGAGTGTTGTCTCCTCAAAGTAGTCTTCAATTTTCTTAATAGCTATTCCCGTATCTTTGGGAACGCGATCCAAAGAAGAACGCTCTTATGCCCCTCGCTCTTATGCACTTCGTTAATCCAAAGGAACCATTAAGAAAACCCCGACTTTGACCAATGGCCACATCAGCATTCTTGAACCAGATAAAGTACTGTAATATAGCAATGGAGCCAGCTAGTTCTAAATCTTCAAACATATTCTTATTAGTTTGTATGGCTGTTGAGTTACAATCTGGAGAAGTCGGCTTGTTTCCGGGGTTGTGTTGGATCTGGCATTTCGCAGTCCAACGGAAACCTCTCTAGGAGAGGTATCTAGCCCCTGAATGAGTACGGTACCCTAAGTCTTAGTAGCGAACGCATGTTTGATTCGGATTCCCCCCACCACCCCCACACACGCCATATTGAAATGGTCAACTGATTAGGCGTTAGGATGCGGCAGTTAGACCACCTAGTAAATTACGGAGTGGAGAATATACCCTGATAACCTAGAATTGTTTGGTAGATCTAAGCGATGGCAAAATTTCCTGCCTGTGTTTCCCCTTCCTGCCTGTCCCATTTTGCTTGCCCTTTGTTGTTTTCGTCCATACCCTCCTCCTACGCGGTGATTTAATACGTAAAATTAAGTCCGTCTGCCTCTTAAGTATCTCTATAGGTAGTTGGCCGTTAAAATAACTCAATGAGACGACGGATGTCTGCGGCTCTCAAGTTAACAACCCAGACCGTCGGGTTCTCTTTTTTGAAGCCACGCTCGGGTTAACTAGAGGGACTAAATTAGTGGCTGTTATATAGATCCAGCTTCCCGGGTTTAAGACTGATTGGATGCTCGGCAAAAAAGGACACTTTCCGAGGGCTCGTTGGCCTAAAGCGCTTATCATGTTCGGAGCACCTACGGCTTTCAGGCGTCAAAAGATGGGATTTACGCGAACTCTCCAAACTGATCGGCACTTGTTACCGAACGCTCTTATGGCAAAAATCTATTGTCTGGTTTGTTGCACATCCATGGCGCCCTTCCATTCGTCCATGCTTATCTCCTGCATGTCCCAGGTCATGCTCCTGCTGTAAAAGTATACTGTAGGTCGGCATGGCTTTCGTGAGGATTCTCGTATATTTTGCTCTCCACTGCAGTTCTTTTTCTCACCGCCGACTGCTCCAGACTGACGCGGACCTTCTAGATCTTTGATTGTTTCAGGAAATAAGTCGCTTTGCATATAACAGCCCTGAGTCCGAGTGACACATTGCTCTAATCAAGATGAGCTGCATGGATTCTCTAGATTAGTCATAACTGTATGCCTGCTAAGAATCCGTGCTGACTGTCTTGGTTACAGAGGGTCCAAATGTCGAATCAAGTTCATTTCCCTTCCTGGACTTGCCGTTCGAGGCTGGAAGCCAGATAATCACAGGCTCCCACACACTATGCATTAATGTCTGACATATTATGTACGAGTCAGCCAATTAACAGAGCCTGTTCGTGCGAGGATGACAGTTGAATCGAGAATGTTAGTGGCTTCGATGGATGGCTGCCTGTATACATCCCCGCCAACCAATGGGTATCGCCAAATCACATGACCAATGAATGAAATCACGTGCCACGTGACCCCGTTTTGCTCCGTTGCGGAATCTCGAATTTGTGTCTCCCCGTCAAGCATCCCTCGTTGAATCCCAACACCCGCCTGCAAGATGGCCAAGAAATGTGCGTTACCTCCAACTCGTCCTCAACACCAGACGAACCCTCTGCATTCTCAAATCCTCCCCCCTCTCCTTCTCCCATTGCCCAGCAGCAGCGCCATGAATCGCAAACCTCCCAGCAATCAATCAACACCACATCCAATCCATCCATCCATTCAATTACTAAACTAACATGCTCTCCACCCTCCAGCAAAGTCACGAACCATCGCCGTCCGGCTCATCTCCATGGCCATGACGGGCTACTACCGCACAATGATTCGTCCGCGCGTGCACCGACCGCTCAGCATGCTCAAGTACGATCCCGTCGTTAAAAAGAAGGTGCTTTTCCTTGAAGCGACCAAGGGCGGCAAGGCAAAATAAAGTCGGAACCACCCATCGATTCCATCTGGTTTCCGGTTTCTTGATGAGGGTGGTCGAATCTAGTCCACTCTGTGTGTGACTGGGTCGTTCGAAGGGCCAGAGTTGGTTTGATGGAGACGGTTTTACGATTTCCTGTCTATCGTCCATTGGCTCTGCATACGTCAGCACTTCCACTTCATTCTGTCACATCGTGCCACTCGGCGTGAATACCAACTGGAGGTCTTTTGGGGGAGGAACTTTGTTTGAGGCTGCGATTCCTCGAGGAACTACGTGCGCCTCGGCTGTTACGTGTACATTATCAACTCGGGAGGTTTGCGCTGGAGGTACTTTCCCAGTTTGTCGATCCTCCCATGGAGCATCATGTTTGGCGTTTTAGAGATACACAATTTTGGGGTATATTGTTGAAGATAAAATACATTTCTCACTGCACCACTTTCCCTCGTTTTGCTACATCATACCATGCATATTCCTAATTGCTTCCATCATAGCGCAAGAGTTCCTTATGTTATATATCCGTTTGCCTTCCTCGGTAATGATGAAGAGACTCCAGGATGAATTGAAGGTTGCATCGTAATTGTCTCTTCTCGTTTTCGTCTTGTGTTTCCGCGATTCTGATCCCATCAAAGACTCATTCCTCCTTATCAAAGCGGGCGCTGTAGCGTTCACCTATTAAGTGTTAGCAAGTGACTCCGTTCGGGGTTCGGCCATCATACCACGGGACCGACGTCGGCGACGACCAGCGGTATTCTGGCCAGCAGCGTGGCTCTGGCTGCCTACAGAAACCAGATTGCGCGGGCTAACTCTTCGCTCCAGTACATCGGACGCATCTGCCAATTTTCGAGATGCCTTGGGGTGTTGAGCGGCGCCGATATTCGTCCCCTGGGCCGTTGTATGCTGCATCGTCTCCACGCAGATGTTCTCGCTGGTCACAGTCTGGCTTGCACTGACCTTCTGAGAAGCTTGGTCGCTTCTTTTGCGGCTGTATGTGTGCACATGGACACGCTTTGTCTTCTTGCTCGACTGGTCTTCATCCAAGTCTTCCTCGACCTGGATTGATCCTTGCCGCGATCCTTCGGTCGGCTCAGTAGCAGAGTGCTGCTGTCCAAAGCTGACTGCTTTGCGTTTGACCGTGGGATGCTCTGTTTTTGCGATTTCACCGGCCGCTCCAGCAACAGAAGGGCTTGCAGGGCTTCCGATAACCCTGTCAAGGTCACTACCGCTAGATCTCCTGTCAGGCCTTCTGCGTCGCATAAGTGTTTCCTCTTTCAAAATGCTCACTTCGTCCTTCTCTATCGGGGCTGGTGCCGGGACACGCAACGGTGCTGCTTGATTCGGGACATCTGGGGTTGACATGAAAAGCATCTCAAGCTCGGCCGGGTCATCAAAAGGTGAAATTAAATCATCGCTCATTGAATGTCGAGTTCCGATACTCGCAAATGAAATGTTGCTCGTAGGATCGGGGATATTCGAACTCGATTCCGTGTCATTGTTTGCAATCACAGATGGTGACGAATCACGCTGTTCCGATGCGTATACAGCAGCTGGTTCAACGATTGAAGGCTGCTGGGACAAATCTCTGGTTCGCATCAAACCCTGAGCAGAGCTACCCTTGCCTTTGTCAGGGGTAGAGGTAACAATTCGTTTTGTTGAGACCGCGATACCACTGTCAGTTGCAACCTCTTTGCGGGTAGAAAAAGCGGGCGCCTCTCCCGGAGCCTCGGCTGCGGACTGTAGTATGGTCTCCAACTTGCTCCATGTGTGTGCAAAAGACTCCCTTGAGTCTATTGTCGTAAACTTTGCAGCGCCTTCTCTGATGGTCTTCAGCCAACCCTCCCCTTCCTGAACTCGGCGGAGGAGAGAATGTATCTCGGTCTTGGCCTTTTCCTTTCCCATCTCGAGGCTCGACTTGGCTGAATTTGCTGCGTCCAAGTTCTGGTTCACGATTTGCAGCTCTTCATCTTTTTGACAAATCTTAGCTTGAAGACTCTCGAGGCTTTGCAGCGCATGCGCTGCTTCAGACTTCCCTATCTCAGTCTGGGTTTGGAGGCTCGCCTGGAGGTCCGTATTGGCTGAATTTGCTGCATCCAAATTCTGGCCCACGGTCCGCAGCTCTTCATCCTTTTGGCGAATCAATGCTTGGAGTCTCTCAATCTGTTGCGCCGTTTGCACCGTCTCGAGTTTCTCATTCTTCGCCTGCGAGTTTAGGCTGACTTCAAGGTCATGAATAGTTGTCTGCAGCTCTTCAAAATTCATCTGAAGCTGATCACGCTGCCCGCGCATGGAAATCATTTCGTTAACCTGCAAGTCCAGTTTGGTTGCAGAGCCTGAGCAAACATCTTTGAGCTCCTTGATTTGCTGTCGCATTTCTCCAAGCTGGTAAAGTCAGTGTGCGTCTCCTTAATATCTTTGATAGAGGGTGACACGTACCATGGCGTCTTGTTGTCTTCGTTCCTTCTTGGCTTCTTCGGTGGCTTGGACCTGCATAGCGCGTGTCAGTACATGTTCAATATGCCCGACAAAAATCCTACCAAAGCGCCCTCGGCCTTCTCCACTTGCTTTTGGAGCTTGGCAGATTCCTTTTCAAGAGCTTTCTTCTCCTTCTCAAGACCTTGGAGTTGTTGCTTGTATGTCACTTTCAGGTTGTTCTGAGAAACCGTGTTTGCTTTTATCAGCTCTTCGCGGGTTTTTTGCTCGGCCCCTCGGATTTCGTCTTGCAACGCAACTTTTGCACACTCGAGATTGATCGCACGGTCTTCAAAAGCTTGCTTCTTTGAGTTGACATCATTCAAAGACTGTAGAAGCCTTTCTTTCTCCGCTTCCGTGCCCGTGAATCGTGTCTTGAAAGATCTAAGCTCTGCAGATACCTCCTGTAGTTGAGATTGGAGCCTCGTAATCTCAACGGATTTGTTGGAAAGTTCCACATCGAGAGCCGGGTTAGCCGCCACAAGCTGGGCCTTATCCAGCTTTTCCCCAAAGCCTTCCAGCCCACGGGAAATATTGTGCTCGGTGGTCTCCAGCGATTTGACTGAAGTATCGAGTTTGTTGATTGCTGGTTCAACCGCATCCAGCTTCCGTTCAACTCTCTTCTGCGCACTCTCGCTATCAATAAGCTGTCTGAACAGTGATGAATCACTACCCAAGTTGCGTTTGACAGATTGCAACTCTTTAATAAGGCTTTGCATCGTGACAGTGTTGATAACAGTACTTTTGTCAATATCGTTGGAAAATTGACTTGCAATTGAGTCGATTCTGTTTAGCTATCAGTCATTGCCAATGCCCACTTCGGATCCATCACTTACCGAGAAGCTACTTCCTGCACAGTGCTTGTGAATAGCTGAGCATCCGTCCTTTCTGCAGAGCAAGCATCGCGCAACTCCTTGGCCGAAGATACACACTCGTCAAGGGTTTTAAGAACGCTCGCCACGATCACCTTTTCAGAGGCTGATGCAGTTTCAGAAATCAACTCGAGGACTGAACCCAGTTTGATGAGGATCTTCCCCTGGTCATCTCGGACAACCCCAAGTTGTCTTGATTGGCTCCGAGTGTGGTTCTGAATAAAGGTCTCGAGAGTTAACACTCTTTTCCTCTCCTCAGACATTTGCAATTTTGTTTCCAGTCTACTTGCATCCGAGTGCTGTAGATCTTGCTCCAGAACAGCAATGCGTCTTCTCGACTCAGCGAGCTTCTCTCGCTGTCCGTCGATTGTATTTGTGGCCTGAGATATATCGGCCCTGATCTCGTTGATCTCTTCCACGATGCCATCCCTCTCCTTTTCAAGAGACTCCGCAGTTGTCATGAATCTGTCGGAGTGCTCTTTTAACATTCCATAATCTTCACCCAATCCGTTGACGACCTCCTTGAATTTGCCGAGTTTCACTTTCCAAGAATCCATCTGGGCCTTGTGAACTTTTGACTCGGACATCTTCTTTTGCAGTTTGACCTGGCACGCCTCGAGGTCTTCCTTGAGCGATTGGTTTTCGCCTTTGAGCTCTGTATTTTCGGACTCGGTCTGCCGTTGAAGGCTAGCGGAAGCAACTTGCTTTTCCTCACGCTGTCGGATTTTGTTGATCAACTGCTCAAAAAGATCTTGTTCTGTCTTTTGGCTGGTCGTTCGACGTTTGGTCGGTACGCCCTCGCGGCTGTTATGCCGGCGCTTTAAGACTCGGGTATCATTTGATGAGATATTGGATACTCGAGATGAAGAGCGGTCTCGAGCTCGAACGCTGGGCAAACCTTGCTGCTCGACTTGGATAGACCTGAATGAGCTCGGACGAGTATCACCAGGCTTCAATTGTCAACCATACGATTTCAATGTGACGAATCCACACTCACCTCTGTCGCATTGCCTGGTTGATCATTGAAATTTGACAGCAAAGAAGTGACCGAAGTTGTTCCTTTATCGACACTGCCAGCCGGTGGGTTGAATTGCGTGTTGCTTTCAAGATCGCGTGTTTTCGTGGGGCGGCGAAATTGCAAATCCAAAGTGCGTCCATCGACACGGTAATTGCCAGTTCCATGGTGCTCAGGGCCAATCGATGGACTGAATGGGCTTTGACTTTATATGGAAAGGATTGTGAGTATACCAGACTGTAGAGCTGGGGGAGAAATTACCGATCTTCTGCTGCAACAAAACGCTCATTGTTCCCACAGATTCCTCCCTCTGCTGTCGGGTGAGGACTGGGAGCTTTCTCTACGTTGAGGGAGACACGCCTGGCCGAGTTCTGGAGGAGAATACCCTTCCGCTTTTGAGCAGGCCTCGCAAATGAAAAAGCAGAGACATCAATGCCGGAACTTTGAGGGCGCTGGAAAAGCAACGGAGCGAGCCTGTTTCCCGTCGAGGCGGCTTCCTTGTCTGTACTCGTATTCGCAGTGGCCTCGAGTCCTGAAGGAAGTGAATCCTCATCGCCAATGGTTTCCAGAATTCGTGCTGCATTTACTTCCATGGCAGATCGAGAGCCTATCCGAGTGAAGTTGTTGCTGGACTCGGGGTCAGGTGCCTCGCCTGCCATTGTGGGTATGGCTTCGGATTGGCGATGGGCCTAAGTAAATCGATGTGTGCGATGGAAGGAGCAATTGTAATGGGATTTGCAAAATGGCAAAATTGAAAGATTCGCAGCTTAAGGTTCAGGGAAGAGATGGGGTGTGACGAGGGCGAAGGAGGAGGAGGAGGAAGAAGAAGAAGAAGAAGAAGAAGAAGAAGAAGAAGAGGAAGAAGAGGAAGAAGAGGAAGAAGAAGAAGAAGAAGACAGACAGACAGACAGACAGACAGACAGACAGACAGACAGACAACCCAGGAAGGAGCGTCCAAGTAGCACCCCGTGACTGGCACATCTACACTCAGCAGCAGACCAGAATGGAGTCAATTTTGGCAAGAGGAGAATAGGATTAGAGCTAAAGAAAGACAAGTTTGATATAGGAACAGAAGCTTCGTAAAACATTCATTAGCCTTGTTCACCTTCCATCTCGACACACTTTTGTCTCAAAGAAGAGGAGCAGACGACAAGCCAATTTCTTTCCTCGCCGAGAGATCATTATAAAAGAATACGCATCAAATGGTAAATCATTCAAGACACTCAACCTGCCTCCATTGCTCAACATATAGCGTCAGGGTCTTTGCGCTCACGGCCTGGCCGATGGCAGTGTCGCAGAGAGGGATTCTGTACCGGTCGTACTCATCACGACTAACTCCCAGGAGATGTGAACGAAGTCGATTTCAAAGAAACCTCTCAGCTGCCTCGCGCGATTGGGCGAGCCATTCACGCTGTCCCGGGTGGACTTTGTTCGTCTCAGCCAGTCTTCGTATGGCATGTTGGGCATCCTCGGGTGCGTAGATAGACGGTGCACCAGGACTGGCGAACAGGGTTTTATTCTGGTAGAGAGCCGCAGGTGTTCTCACATTAACGCCGCTAGCAAGAGCGCTAGAGCATTCGCCGTCAGATGTGCTTTACAGGCGGAGTGCAAAGCGACTACCGACAATGAATGGGTTGTGACGGTCAGGGATGCTGTGGTTGGCTCCGGTTTGTCAACTTTATCATTATCCACCCAGTCCCATGCGCTGTCGATGGTGTTTTCGAGGAAACTTGGAGGGCCGACTTTCGCCTCGCTGATACCCTTGCCGAGATCATTTACAAAGCACGAGGCCGATTTCAGCAGACTGAGTAGCCCGCCGCCAGAGGTACAGCTGGAGCCCTCGGAGGAGCCCCCTCCCGAGTTGTCCTCGCTCTTGCGGTTCTCAATGTACGTGCGGATCCGGCCGCCAGACTCATCCATCATCGACTCGAGTTCCTTGTCGTTGTGGTCACTTCTCCTTCCCTTGTTGATCAAGTCACCCATGTACCCAGCTAGAACGAATCCATTGGTGGCGATCGCGGCGGCTCCAGTCGTTGAACTCGTTGGGATAGAACTCAACTCGCTCTGCAAGGCCGCAAATGCCATTGTGGAGGTTTCCGTGGATATCTTAGATAGTATTTCAGCTATGGCTTCGGAGGAAGGACCCGACATGGTGGCCAACATAGTGGACATCTCAGCAGCATCGGGAGCATTCTGTAAATCAAAGGACGCCGAAGCCCAGACGTTGGGTTGCTGAGCGGGCGAGGGCTTCGCCGGCGGGGTTATCTGCGGATGAACACCTGAGGTGTCCTTCAACTTCGAGTGGCTCACGGACGGCGAGGCCCCGACCTCGGGTTGCTGAACGGGCGAGGACTTCGCCGGCGGGTGTACCTGCTGATGACCACCTGATGTGCCCTTCAACCTCGAGTGGCTCGGTGATAGGGCGCCATTGGCGGGGTGGGTTTGGACCGGGTGGTCCTTAGTGGCTATTGAGAAGGACTGACTGACAATGGTTGACCACCGGTGGAATCGAAACTTTTCGTGTGACCGTGGCCAATTCTGGTCATCTCTCCCGGCGCATCCCAGACTTTGGGCTTGATGTCCGCGGGATGGACCTCCTCACTTTGCTTGATGGAATGGAATGCAAGGAACGGCGTGGAGCTCGCGGGAACCGTGAAGGTGGTCGTGAGGTGCTGAATATAAGTCGAGATGGTAGGATGAAAGCTGACCGGTATCAGGGTCACCGGGCAGCGAGTCGACGAACAGGTAGTCGAAGGAGTTGAGGTCGATGCCTTCGTCGTGGATCCCTTGCCAGAAGTGATCGACACAAACTCGACCACAGCCGTCGAGCCACTCGGAGCCACGATATCGGCATGGATGGCCGTCACATGGGGATGGATGGAAGTTTCACACTTCGTGGTATCCCCGGTAATCGGGCCCTGGATCGGATTCGATGCACTGCTCCCCTGCAACAGCGGAAGGAGCATCAGAACGGCAGCTTTATAAGGAACCATGGTGGACTGGAATGACTCCAGAGATAAGAGTCGACTTGCGCGCAAGCGGATGCCATCATGTTCCTTCCTTTTTAAATGCAGAAGTATCGGCCGGCCCTCTTTTGCTTCCACCAAAAACCTCCCTCCTTTGCTTCCTGTCGGCAAATCATCATGGTGGAGCCATGGATATAGTTTGAGCAGCACAAAACGCTTATAATGTTTGGTATTCTAGGCATTGTGCGACGATTTCGCTTACGATGCGTTCTGTATTATAAAACGGATCGCTAGATTATAGTCAGAATGCCAGACATCTTCTATCTGGTTGATTTTGACCACATTCCCACCTCCCACGGCAGGTGATGAGTGGCCGATCAATATCCATATGGTCCCACACTTGCACCAAATCCGGCCCCAAGTCCACTGTTGCCAAGACCGCGCCGATTCTCCACTGTTGCTCGTGTCAGGATCTTATTCTTGGCCAACAAGGTTCTGGTAGAGTCTAAAAAGCGACGCTTTCCCCAATAGAGTCAAGAATATATTTCTTGCGTGATAGAGACCTGTCGATCATAACATGATCCACGAGCGCGTCGGCCAGCCCAAAACTATTTTTAGGGTGGCCGACTTGCTGGTGGAATACAGCATGCTCCAACCAATAACTAATCCAGTGTTTCGAGCCCTACACACGTATGGTTAGGCCTAGATCAGGGACTTGATTATTACATATTCTATTTTCAAGCACTAATTCCGAGATTTTATAGTGGTTGTAGGGATTCAAACTTGGTATGTTTTTTTGATGGAGTGCGACTAGGCGGGCTATAGTATGCTTTAGTAGCAACGACGAGTCAAAGCAATAGATCACTTCAGGACATTCTTCAGGGGTAGAATTCAGGGGTCAATCCCATCACCCCGTTCGATTATGAGCGCCATCTAGGCGAGGGTCGTGAGCAGATTGCCCACCCAGACCTTCATTCCTGCTGGGTTAGAGCTATACTATTTGGCTCTGAATCGGACATGCGGTACCGTCGACCAACCAGCTTGTAAATATTCGGGCCCGCAAGTTCACCTTGGATCTCGCGAATGAGCAGGCGAGCCAAGAAGCTCTGCTCCCTGGCTTCTTATAGTATGAGAATGCCCAGCTTTGATTCCGGAAAACATACGTCTACTTTCAGGCTAGAACTCATCTAGTCTGCCCTTCGCTGTTATCCTCGATTTCACCATGTCTTCGACCCTTCCCAACAGTAGTACCGGCAGCAATACCATGTGGCCTTCCGGTACATTATGCCTTGCGGATGTAACTTCGCCCGATGGAGAAACCATCATTTTGCAACCACGACCCTCAGATGATCCGGTCCCCTCAATTGGGCCCCATGGCGCAAATATTTGAACAAGGGATTAGTCTGTTTTTATGTTGCTAGGGTTGCAGAGGTTATTAGCGCCAATACGCCAACATGGGGTCCCTTGGAGACAGAGCTCGGTTTTACCAGCGAGATATTGAATGACAGTTATGCTGCTGGCTGTGCTGCTTTAGGAGTCGGCTCTGTCATCCCGATTCCTTTTGCGCTCAAGTTTGGCCGTCGACTGGTGTATCTATTCAGTACAGTGGTTCAGTTTGCTGTCTGCATTTGGTCCGCTAAGATGCAAACTGTGGGAGACCTAATGGGAATCAATGTAAATACAATGTTTCTTCCGAAGTCTGGCGGAGGCCATCGTCCAAATGACCATTGCGGATCTTTTTTTCGTGCACCAACGAGGAAAAATGAATGTCCTTTATGTCTGGACGTGGCTTCTCTCTACTTGCATGGGTATACTGGTTGCCGGTTTTGTTGCCAGTGGTCTCGGTTGGAGATGGATATGGTGGTTAAATGCTATCGTCTTTGGTGTGACTATTTTTGTTGTCGGATTCGGATACGAAGAGACTAAATTTTGCCCGACTGTTTCCCTCACTACTACAGATGTGCCACTGAACACCACGAGCGAAAACCGGTCGATTGCTTCCAAACCACAAGACCAAGACACCAAGAAAGACGAATCGGAGAAGCTTGAGGGCAAGCCGTCCGCCAAAATGAAGCAAATATATGCGGAACAAGGAGTCACAGACCTAGCCTCAATTAAAACAGCAAATAAAAACCCGACCGACAACGTCACTGCTCTCACAATCAACTCAAATATCCCCATGAAGACATATTGACAAAGACTCGCTTTAACAACCACCGCTGCGTCATCTGGTGCCGCGAACGACTCCTTCTGTCAGCATATGTATCAACCTCTAATTATTTTAATGATAATTCCCGCCATCACTTGGACGGCACTTGTTTATGGCATCTTGGTGGCCCTGGGAGATTAAGCTTCAAAAGGATCTGGATATCTAGCAACGCTCCGTTAGTCATTACGAATACTACAACAATGCTTCTGAAGACTTTGAACGCTATCAAAACCTGTGCTTTAGACATCCAGTGTCCAGTGAAGGGCACACAGAACCTTTACATCTGCGGTGCTAGCGTGCTCCCTGTAGCGTTGGCGGGTTATCACCAGGCGCCGATATATGCATTTGAAGAAGCGGTGGCGGGTATGCTACTTGGTTGGACACGAGAGAGACGCGTCTTCCGCATTCCGTAAACACTGCGCTGGTAGGGATATTGTGGATAGTTGATCAATTCCATTATATATATCATGCTATTGTTTTGTTTTCTGCAACACGAAGTACGAAAGGTGCTTTTCGGGACATATCGCATCCGTAACATATATAATGTGACAACTTGGAATCCGTTCTGCACGCGCTGCAGGAAAACGTCCGATCACACCAATAGAGACAAACAATAATAGTGGTGATGTAGGCGGCGTAGAAGAGGTCCAAGAGCGCAGATGTATTCGATACGTTCAGGCCAAAGTTAAATCAGGGATGAAACAGGCCAGCCTAGTTTTGCCTGTTTCTTTGTTGCAAGTGTGAAACACCACCATGGGGCAAATTCTGCTTATCCACAGTTTGAGACCCGCTCGTTAGTTAGTTAGTTAGTCCAGCCGGTGGGCATCGTCAGACATGATTGTTGTCTAACTTCTCCCGTTCCTGGACAACCCAAGGGCGGTCGGCAACGTGGCAGCCACGAGCGCACGGGATGCCTGTCTGTCTGACTGCAGTAGTCGCGTGGCAAGGTTATTTCACTGCTACCCCTGTCAGCTAGGATCAGGCTTAGGCGACCACTAGGCTCTTTCCGGCCTCTGCAAATAGCGATCGCCCGGCCACAGCACCGAATCTCGTAACTGTTAACGGCGTCGACATCCTGGCTCCGTCTCACGGCGCATTTGGATCATCAGGATGCGTCGCAGGATCCACGCCTTAAGGCGGGTGTGCGAAATGAGCCAAATGATTCACATGGGTCGCTGGTCCACTCCGTTCTCATAGCTCGGTCCCCTTTGCTTCCACGTGGGTCCATGCGGCAGTAGTCTCTGGTAGGCAATGCTCGACAAAAAAGCCCCCCGGGAGTTCTCAAAGAAAAGGGAAAAAGGGCACTAATCTCAAAGTGTCCATGCACGGCATCAGGAGTGAGGAACGACCCTACCAACTGCCCTTTTTGAGCGCTTTCCCGGATCACCTGATTGAAATATACTGCCTGGTCTGACCGCCAGCCTGTCTCTTTCCCCTTTCCACGACTTCCATCCAAACACCTGCGAGACATTCGAATCTCGCCTGAAGAAACTGCTTCCCGCCTTCGGTTCCTTCTCGAACATTTGTTGCTCCTTCTGTTCCACGCAGATACATATTCTTTTGCCGGACCCCAACCGCCTGCGCTTAACTCTACACTAGTTCCCGGGCTCTTCCACCATTCTTTCCGAAAAATAATATCCCCGGTCAATTAATTGTTCTGCTCACCTCGAATTTGACAACCACTCGGTGTGCTGTGCAATAATCTCCCTGCCTTGACTCTCAGGCCCGTCGACGAAGATCCCAGTGCCTCCGCGCGCCTACCCCCGCTCCACGAAACCGCCCCCTCGCAAAAGGACTCCGATGGACATCACGATCTGAGCTCATCATTGCCACTCTCTTCGTAATTGCTCTTCGCTCGTGATTTCCTCAAGTCCCTGCAACAAGTGGGATGTCGCTAGGAAGTCACTAGTCGAGACACAGAACTTTTGGTCAAGCCTCTGCCCCGCAACATGGGTAATTCTCAGGGGAAACCGGTGTCCTACACCGATGCAGGTATGTTCGGGTGGGAGGTGCAGAAGAGCGCACGCTCGTATTCTTCGAATTGCATCGCTAATCGGTATTTCCGGGCCTCTAGTCAACCTCAACCATTTCCGCCTCCTCCGCGTGGTCGGAAAAGGCGCTTTCGGAAAGGTCCGCATCGTCGAGAGGAAAGATACAGGCCTTACATTTGCCCTCAAGTATATCCGCAAGGAAGAAGGTGAGTGTGGAATGTCATGGACACGGGTGGCCGCATCTAACGTCTCCGCTAGTGGTACGATCGGAAAGTGTACGGAATATCATTCGTGAACGGCGGATGCTCGAGCATCTGAACCACCCATTCCTGTGCAATTTGCGCTATAGTTTTCAGGATATGGAATACATGTAAGTTCTACGACACGGGGAGAAATGTGCGTCTCTGACAGCGATATAGCTACATTGTCGTCGACCTGATGAACGGGGGTGATCTCCGGTTTCACATTTCGCGAAAGTGTTTCACGGAAGAGGCGGTGCGATTCTGGATGGCCGAGCTAGGTTGTGCGTTGAAGTACATCCATTCTCAGGGAATCATCCATCGAGACTTGAAACCGGACAACGTGCTGTTGGACTCTGAGGGCCATGTCCATTTGGCAGACTTCGTATGTGACGCGCCCATGTCTTACCTTGCGGGAACTAACATGCCTGTCTAGAACGTGGCGTCAGACTTCCGACCGGGCAAGCCGCTCACGAGCAAGTCCGGGACCCTGGCTTATCTGGCCCCAGAGGTGTACGAAGGAGTCGGTTATTACAATGAGGTCGATTGGTGGTCATTGGGTGTCACTTTTTACGAATGTATCTACAGCAAGGTATGTTGCTTGGTCTCCATTACTTTGTGTGGTTTTTGACATCTGTGTTTAGCGACCATTCGAAGGACGCAGTCAGGACACCCTCAGCGAGAACATCAAGAAAGCTCAACCGAAGTATTATGTGACCAATCCGGCAGTGTCAGTCGCATGCCTTCGCGCCCTGGGCGCATTAATGGAGAAGGATCGAAGCAAACGAATTGGCGCTACTGGCTTCGAGACTTTCACCAACCACCAGTTCTTCGCCGAAATCAATTTTGACGCCCTCCAGCGAAAGGAGATTCCTCCCGTGTTCGTTCCATCCAGTGACAAAACCAATTTCGATGCCACCTACGATCTGGAGGAGTTACTTCTGGAGGAAGCGCCATTGGAGGCCAGAGCTCGTCGACAGAAGCCACGTGCGGAGCTGCGAGAGGATGCTACGGCCAAAGAGATTCGGGATGATGAACTCCATCGCTTAATTGAGACCATGTTTGAGCCGTTTGACTACACGCTTGTCAACTACCAAGGGTATGTTTGCACTGGAGAAAAGCACCGGGGTAAAATACTGACTCCTGTTTACAGAAACGCCGCGGAAGCGATTGCCGCCTCGACGAATCCCGAAGATATCCTTCCAATCACCCAGACGACCTCCCACACCCGCCAATCGTCAGCGCCGGAATCCCAGTCCAGGGGTTCCCCACCACCTCCACAGGTGCCTCCGAAGCAAGCCCCTCCGATCAACACCAACGCTGAGAATCTCGGAGCCAAGGAGGCCACAGCGCAACCCCCCTCGCCCTCGAGCCAAGCATCCGGTTCTCCAACACCTGCGCCGTCCTTCCACCGGCCCTTCCAACCCCCCAACAATAACAACGGTCCTCGACAACAGCGCGGCACACTCCGGAAACCGAGCAAGGGCGGCGGAGTGCAAATGGTTCTTGAAGAATCCGGAAGCTGGAGCGAGCTTGCGGACCACAGCTCCACTCTTCCTGCGGAAGGGCTGGACGGTGCTGGAAGCAAGGGCAAACCCGGAAACAGTGGTATGCTCTCGTTCTTGAGTCGGAAGAAGGGCCGCGATCGCAGCCCCAAGCCGACCGAGCCGGGCGTTTTGGGCAAGGAAGGTGCCCGACAAATCATCAGCTGAAGCTGTTCGCCATTGCGGTTAGCGGGTGAACATACGGATGATCTTGCATGTTTTCTTCACTTGCGCGTCGGTTTGCGCTCCACCGGACCCTGGTTCCCACCCCTCACTCATAGCATCGAGTCTGCGAATGCAGATTCTGCCGAGGGCCTCTACCGTTCAATTGCTTGCCTTTTAAATCAAATTCGGCTTGCCGCCTTTCTCCCTCTTTTTGGGTTCCGGAGATGCATATCACTGCCTTGAGGCCTATGACCAAAACACCGGTCTGGGTCTGCCACCTTCATCTCCGTTCACTCACTCACTCACCTGTTGGCTATGCTCTGCAAGAAGGCACATTGCCAGTGTTTTATATCCTTTCTTTTCTAGATTCCCCTGGTCGAGCCAGAATTTGATGTTGTTCTACTGTTTTCCTTTCCTAGCGGAGTGGTGCCAATACTCAACCACTATATCTCTTTGGGTTATCCCCGTCCCGCCTCCCGGGGCAATTGTCACTCGGGCGCACCGTATATCGGTTTCTTTCCTCTTATTTGGATTTACAGACCCACGTTGAATGATGAACATGAAGTTCTTTCGTTGTGATTAGAAGGGTCGGGAACTTACCACTTTTTGCATTCTCCGTCGGGTGTGGCATTTGTACTTAATCGTGGCCATCTTCCGCCATTTTCCTAGCATAGTTCGGTCTCTCTCCCAATACCATATCATGTATACAAGAGTTCATTGTGGATAACTGTGTAAGTGTGATGATGAAGAAACCTGGCGGCTCCAGCTGGTTGCGCCGCAACCAATCCCTCTTCCACCCCACAGGGGAACCAACCACTAAAGACGATCGCCAAGCACGGTAACTCTCTCCAGCACGAGCTACATGCATCGACATAACACCTCGCATTCATTGACCGCGAAACCGACTCGGCTATTATCGCGCGGGCACCTCCATTGCGGCGTGTTTACATCGAGCCCGAAACGGGGCCACGCGAGTTGTTGGGGACCAAACAAACAGGGGGTTTGATGTGATTATCGGAGCAACGATAATCATAATAACTTCCACGACTCCAACAACTGAACGATACATACGATACGACCGTCTCTCCAGTCTGATCGACCAAGCTCAACAAACAGCTCACTTGCACCGATTGCGATCCCGACGGGCTGACCCAGCGCACTTCCAATCCACCCCGAACACTGACACGTTTCGTTCGCTCAAGCCGCAGCATTAGGCACCTCAAGACCACCACCACACCTCCTGTCCATTCAAATCGCTTTCCATTCCAGAGGCACCACGAGGGCAAGTGCCGCGAGGATCGGCCCGCGCCCCGTCGCGCTGCCAGTGACATTCCAGTGCCTATTTGGGCTGATCGACAGACAGCAGCGCACCTAGCATGCCGAGTCAATCGCGCAGCCGAGATCGGTACGGCGGGGAGCGCGAACGATACCGGGAGCGAGATCGCGCGCGGGAAAAGGAACGCGAACGCAGACGAGAACGCGAGCGAGAGCGGGAATACATTCGCGGGCGATACGAGGAGGCCGATGATGGAGAAGGTGGCGCGGCGTCGAGTCCCAATAATGCCACTGCACGCGGGGGACGGTATAATTTTCCCAGGGAGTCGGGGCGTGATTCCTACGACTACAATGCAGATGATGGGTACGAGGAGGAACGGCGACGAGAACGGGAGCAGCGACGGGAGCGCCGGAGGCAACGCGATGAGGAGAAAGCGTACAATGAATCCGTGGAGGAAAGACGGAGGGAAAGGTCTAAGGCGAAAGAGTCGCCTGCTACATCGCCGATTAAGAAGAGAGATCGCGAGCGGGATCGCGATGGACATCGCAGGCACCGCGGGTATGAGGATAGGGAAGGCAGTCCGGCCAAGGACGTGCGGGATAGGAGATCTCGGCCTCGAGAAAAGGAGCGCGAGAGATCGCGAGATGCGGATGCCGAAGACAGACGTCGGAGACGACGAGAAAGAGAACGAGACCGCGAACGGAGCATTGAGGCTGCGGCGGCGGCTGATGTGGCTCGAAGACAGAAACATCAGAGCAGCGAGTCAACGAACAGTGCGTCGCATCTGCTGAGCGCTGACGCGCTAGCCCGCTTGACGTCTGAGCATGACGAGGTGGACCGGCGAGAGCGATCCCGTCCGCCAGATGATACCCGCAGAGAGCGAAGACAGCGCAAACGCGCTGCTCTAGAAGGCGCCGCTGGGGCTGCCCTTGGTGCTGGGCTTGCTGAGGGGAGGTCGAGACATAAGTCCGGGGCCCGGGTTGTCTCCGGGGCGTACTTGGAGGAGGGGCGGAGCCCTGAGATGAAGGTCCGTCGTCGTGGAGCCACGCCTGTCATGGATTCCCGGTGGAATAAAGAAGGACCTTGGGAGACTGGCTCGGATCCAGGCGATGGAGGCCCGCCGGCCTGGAGATTCTGGGCTGATTGGTCCAGGAAGAGGCGAATATGGATGGGTGGCATTGCGGCTGTGGTCTTGCTGCTTATTATTATCATTCCGACTGCGGTAGCTGTGTCAAAGAAGAAGCACAGTTCCAAGTCAGACTCGTCGAGCTCATCTGATTCCTCTTCGAGTTTCCCTTCTAACTCCAATCTGGACGGCATCAGTGAGGACAGTATCCCGGTAAGTTCACTATCAAAGGGTTGTCATGACTTTTGTGCTGATTGGTATTGCGTTCAGTCCTACGCACAAGGTACTTACTTGGACCCTTTCACCTGGTACAGCACCGATGGCTTCAATGTCACCTTCACCAATGAGACCGTGGGAGGGCTTTCGATCATGGGCATCGACTCAGCATGGGACGACTCAGCCCGACCAAACGACGAAGTACCTCCTCTCAACGAAAAATTTCCTTACGGCTCGCGCCCGATCCGCGGAGTGAACCTGGGTGGATGGCTATCCATCGAGCCTTTTATCGTGCCGTCACTCTTCGAGTCCTATTCGTCTTTGGACGCTGTGGTTGATGAGTGGACTCTGAGCCAAGCGTTGGGGGGCACTGCATCAACAACAATCGAGAAGCACTACGCCACCTTCATTACTGAGCAGGATTTTGCGGAAATCGCAGAAGCAGGTCTTGACCATGTCCGCATCCAGTACTCATACTGGTCGGTCAAGACATACGATGGCGATCCCTACGTCCCGAAGATTGCATGGCGCTATCTTCTCCGAGCCATTGAGTACGCGCGCAAGTACGGACTTCGCGTCAAGCTTGACATCCATGGAATCCCGGGCAGTCAGAATGGATGGAACCACAGTGGCCACCAAGGCTCTATCGGGTGGATAAACGGCACCGACGGGGAATTGAACGCCCAGCGCTCTTTGGAGATCCATGACCAGCTATCTCAGTTCTTCGCGCAGGACCGATACAAGAACGTAGTGACGATCTACGGGCTTGTCAACGAGCCACTCATGCTCGACCTGTCTGTCGAGAAAGTCCTCAATTGGAATGAGCAAGTCTCCCAGCTCATCCGCAAGAACGGTGTCACTGCCACTTTGGTCTTCCATGACGGGTTCCTGAACTTGGGCAAGTGGAAATCCATGTTCAAGACGCATCCGGATAACATGTACCTCGACACGCATCAGTATACCATCTTCAACACCGGCGAGATTGTCCTGAATCACACGGCTAAGGTGGAGCTTATTTGCAACAGCTGGTTACCTATGCTCCAGCAGGTTAACAGCACAACAGAAGGGTATGTAACTCACGCGCCCAACGATCACCACTTTGCCATTGAGTCTAACTAACCTGTTGACAGATGGGGTCCAACCATATGCGGCGAATGGTCCCAAGCAGACACAGACTGCGCCAAGTACCTCAACAACGTGGGCCGCGGCACACGCTGGGAAGGAACGATGTCAGTTACCTCGTCTACAGCCTACTGCCCCACCGCCGACACGGATGCGGGTTGTAGCTGCACAGATGCCAACGCGGACGTCTCCCAGTACTCGGATGTATACAAGTCATGGCTGCAGACATACGCCGAGGCACAGATGTCTGCCTTCGAGTCTGCGATGGGCTGGTTCTACTGGACGTGGCATACGGAGTCTGCTGCGCAGTGGAGCTACCGTACCGCGTGGAAGAATGGGTTCATGCCGAAGCTGGCGTATCAGCCGTCGTTCAGGTGCGGTGATACAGTGCCAGATTTCGAGAGCGAGGGGTTGCAGGGGTACTACTGATATGACGATACGTATATACTTTTTCTGCTTTGAATTTTGGTTTGGATGTACATACTCATACCATGTGGTTTATCACTCTTGTTCTATACTTGCATTGTTGATAGAATAAGCCATTTACATTTACCATGATCACCGATGTTGATTTGCGTAGATCTTTGGTTAGTACTGATATTTATTTCATTTGAACCTCAACACCCACCGCTTGGAGTCCTTCACCCGTTTAGTAGTTCGTTAGCCACCTTCTCAGCAGTCTATGATGTAGATCGATGAAACCAGCCGCCCTGCTCCCACTTCCCAACTTGATAGATACACGAATTGCGAGTTGCATCACACCTAACTCCACCAAGCAGCACATTGATGCGCTGGAAATCAATCGGTTTCATGATCCAGCCATCGAACCCGGAATCAACATAGCTCCGCCGGTCCTTCTCCACCAAAGATGCCGAGACAGCAAACACGGGTGTCCGAGCGTGACTTGTATTTGCTTGTATTTGTTCTTCGTTCTGACGGATCATTTTCGTGGAACCTACGCCGTCGACGATGGGCATCTGCGTTAGTACATTGAAATGTTAACGAAACCGTAGATAATCAGCGGGTGGATTATAGAAATGGACTGGAATTTCCTCACTTGTAGATCCATCAACACTGCATCGAACGAACCGGGACTCTCTCGATAAACAGAGGCGCATTCCTTGCCGTTTCCTGTCATGTGCACGGAGTGTCCGAATTTCTCAAGTCTCTTCCGGAGAATTGTACTATTGATCGGGTCGTCTTCTGCGACTAGGACATGTAGCGTGCATGGAGAGGTCTTTGGTTCGAGGGCTGTGGCGGGTTTAGGTGAGTCTGTTTTTGTTTTTGATGTTGCGGGCTCTGCTTGTCTAGCTGGAACCTCTTTGGCGGGAGGTTGGGCCTCTTTGATATCGAGCTCGGAGGGGTTATCTTGCTTAGGCGACGAGGATAATTTCAGCCATGTTTCTGGTGTTGTCTCGGTTGATTCTGGGTTTGGCAGTGGGGTCGTTTTCGAAGTTGACTTGGATTTTTGTGTGGATGCGCCTGACTTCAAGGAGATATCAACATTCAGAAAGGGCTTGTCTTTGTCATGGAGACGGCTGGCTTGATCATTGTTGTCGCCACAGAAGCATGGGATACCGTTCGATTCCTGGTTGGGCTTGTGGATCGTCTGAAAATTGGCTCTGGAGAATGGCTCCTCTGTTTCTGGTTTGGCTGCCTGCTCGTTGTTTGAACTATATGATGTACCCGGACTGGAAGAAACATTTGGAGCAGCCGGGATATCCTCCACGGAAGGCAACGGGAACTTCAGTCTAATCTTGAAGCAGCTTCCTTTCCCTTCTTCTGACCTCAAACTGAGCTGTCCATCCATGTTTCGAACAATCCTAGCAACCAACGCCAGGCCCAGTCCGAGAACGGTTTTCGTCTCCGAGGACAGGTCGGGAGAGGGCTTACAGGCGATGTTAGGGTTCTGCATATAGCCCTTGTTGGAGACCTGCTCAAGCTCACAGAAGAGTGCCTCCACGGTCTCCTGAGACATGCCAGAACCCGTATCGTGGATAGCCACCTCGATGGCAATATGTCCGGACTCATCACAATCCAAGAGCACGCAAGACTCAACTGTGACAGCTCCCGTAGATGTATGTTGGATGGCATTGCTGATCAAGTTGGTGATTACCTGGCGGACACGTCGTTGGTCACCCAGCACTGGAGGTAGGGCAGAGTGTTGGACAACCTGAAGATCCACATGTTTCTGCCTTGCTTCTTCCCAGAAGATATTCGTTGCCTCAGACAGGGTCCCCGTGAGGTCGAATACTTCATCTTTGATGAGCTTCCGGCCGCTTTCGGCATTGGTAAGATCAAGCAGATCATTGATGATGTATATAAGAGACTTTGACGCGGAGTGGGAGCGCGAGAGATTCTCTCTTGTTTCTTGGTTGAGGGACCCATCCAGTACGATTTCCAGGTAGTTGATTATGGCATTTAAGGGCGTTCGAATTTCGTGTGCTGAATTTGCTAAGAGGAGTCTCATGAGCTGGTTGTTCTGCATCGCTGCCTCTTTTTCTTGCCATATCTCCGTGAAAGTTCTGTAAAGCTGGGAGAGGATGGATGCTTTCCCGAACTCTGCCGCGGACCATTCAGCTGCTTTCTCTGATAAAGTGACTGTTGTTTTTACGTCATGCTCGCTCGCATCACGACAGCTGGCTGAGTTGGCTCGGAAGAATATAATGAAGTCGGTCCCATCGGCAGACAGGGGGGTATAGAGGAAGCCAGCAAGATCATGGAACCCTGGCGAGTAACTCAAGTCTTGAAAGTCCACTGTGATATCAGCGGACCACAAGACCGTATTCAGCTGCTTGGCCCTCAAGTATTCAACCAGAGCCAGAACTTCTTGAGAGTCCGCCGGTTTGCCAAGAATCTTGGTTTCGGCCATTATAGACGCAGCGGCGTAGTCTGCTCCAAAAAGTCCGAGCAGATCGCCAGATGGGGTACTGACGTGCGATGAATCTCTGTCTGGAGAGACAGCGGCTTGATCTCGCATTTGAAACGGAAGTGTGTATGAGAGACGCTCAATGTTGCTCGAGACAGCTTCAGCAATGAACCAGCACGTTTTTTGGACGAGCGGGTGGAGTCTTATGCTCGCGTCGTAGGACTGGCAGGATATCAAGCCCCACAGCTTGCCGAAAACATTAATGTTGATGGATAAGCAGGCATAGGTAGGAGTGCCTGCAAGGTGCTTGGAGGGTGCGGAGGCGGCGGAAAGATAGGTGTGTTTCATGTCTAATGCGGTTTTGTTCGTCAATGCTCTAAATACCAACTCCGCCGGTTCCGTTGAATTGCAATATGAGAAGCATACGTTATTGCGTAGATATGAATTTTTCAGGTTATCCGGAAAAGTCGATTCAGGGAAATGAACGCCTTCGTAGGAGTCCAAGTTGAAGGATGGGTCGACTGCTTCGGCCACGATGATTCCATTTCGATCCGCGTCAAAATGGTACATGGTCACCCGGTGAAATTTCGTCAGTTGCTGGACGGCAGAGATGGTATTATGGACCAGCAGTTCCAATGTTTGAGCACTCGCTATCAGTTTTAAGATTCTGGGAAGGGTGTTTAGGAGTTCTGTAGATTGTAAAGCTCCGCCATCACCCAAGCTTGGTAAGGTCGTAAGCGGTTCGGTCTTGCTGTACACCTTGTCTGAAGTCTCGGAAATCGAATGTGAATTCTTCATTTCTGGGTTTCCCTCCCTGTCTACTGGAACATCTGGCTCGAGCTCACAGATGATGTAGTCTTGAAATGCTTTGTTCGTGTGCATGGTACACCACAGGTTCCGAGTACCGCCCTCCGGGGTGATGATGGATAGACCAAAGACCTCAGCACCAAGCTTTTCAACATCATAGTCGTCGCTCAAAACGAATCTAGCATGATCCAGGAAAGTTTTCTTCTGTGAGGAAAACAGAACGTTGCAAAATGATTCAAGCTCGAATAGCTCATCCGCAGCATAACCCATGATATCTCTGGAGTTGTTGCTCACAATTTGGACGTTCAGATTATCGCCAGATTCTGATACCACTAGTAGTGCCCCAAACGGCTGTATGGTAACAGCACTATCATCCTCTCGCGAGTGAGAAACTCCGTTTGTGCACTCGTGAGCAGCCAAGACTTTTCCGCCTTCGCGAATGGTCTGCTGAAGTTGTGTTGATAGACTGATAATGTCACTAGAGCTGCGATTGCAGGCCGGTCTTTCCTCACAGGATGATGCGACGGTCTGGAAATTGGAAAAGGAAGGAGGTCCGGGCGTTGAGCATTTGACAGGTGGCGAGAGAGTACTCTCCAGAACAGTCTTCCTCTGATGCATACGGGACAAATAGTCCGGTCTTTTGGAGATGACTGGACCTTTACCGGCGTCTTTTTCCGGGGAGCTGTCTGTCTGGAAGGGTCCTTTTCCATCTTTGGCAGTGCTGTTCCAGAAGGCGTCGGAAAATGGCGAGATGGGGCTTTCCAGCTTATCTAGCGAAGGTGTCTGTAATGCGGACGAGGGATTTGAGTCGAAAGAAACCACTGAGCGAATGGGAAAAACGCGCTCGGCCGTCTCGCTTCCCAGCTGGGGCAGTTTCAGCTTCGAAGGAACGAGTTCGGATACAGATGGTATCTCTCTCTTTGTGTCGGACAGAATACATATCGACGTTGGTACGGACCACGTCCGGGCAAGAATTTGTCTGTCCTCGAACGATTTATCGTCCTTGTCATTTTGTTCGTTGCAAACGATCGACCAGTTGCCGCATGTGCTGGATTTGGAGGATGTATTCATGGCTCTTGTTGGTGTAGAAGAGGAAATAGCCTTGTCAAACAGTGTGTTAGTCGTTCGCTGAGCCGAAGTCTGCCTACACTCTAAAGGGACAAAGTAGAGCTAATAAAGCTTACTCTTGACAGCAAATAACGAGAGACCTTGCAAATGACCTGCTCAAAGAATATCCCCAACAAGCTGATATCAAAAAAGATTAGAAAATCATTGACGCAAAGGATCAAAGGAGATGTTGATCTTCCCCGGGGGAGTATAATCTCTCGCCTCCGAGTACCACAAAACCCAGGTTGAAAACATTCCCTCACCTCAACCCAATAGCCTATCAGCACCGAATCCAAACACGAGAATGCTTCTCACGAGGCGCACATTCTCGGTTCCTTCGTCCGGTTCGCCAGGGACTACCACCGGGAGTGGGAGCGCTAACGTTGAGCCGGGAGCCCAGGACCATGGGGTACGATGGGCGAGACCATTGCGTGAATGGGATTTCCCATGTCAGTCTTTGCAGGACTGTGGATTGATCTAAGTTCTAAGATGTGGAGTATTGTCCACCCCAGAGCTTGATGGGATTAAGGTAGAGACTAGGTTTCGCTAGGCGCGTTCGACATACATGGACCACCGAGACTATCGATGGGTCTAGACGCGGAACAGCCGGAGCTTGAGGTACGCTTGCTTTGCTTAGAGTTTGTTTATCTCCAGTTTATTACTGTTAAGGTTGCTGTTACATACTACTATGCATACATAAAGGAGTTCTGTGGAGAGCCGAAGCCATCTACGACTGTGAAACTCCTATTATTAACAACCATCATTCCTCAGATATAGAGCAACGTCACTGATTGAAATGCTAATTCTCCCCTCGGACCACTATTCCGATCAGTCTCATACCCAACCCTGGTTCGCCATCCTGTGCCACACAATGGCCCTACTTGTATCTGACTCGTGGGCCTCTTTTCCGATGTGGTGGGTGGCTGACCATGCAACCGTGACACCAAAGCTTGGTTCAAACGCGCAATACTATGTCAATATATTCTTCAGTTTATTTGAAGTAGCGTGCAAGGGAACTGCGAAGATATTTGCCAAATCCGAGCTTACTGGTAGCTTTGCGTTTGCGGCTGAAATGCATTGTAAGGTAGAGATAAACACTTAGATACAACTTGCTGTCCAGTCTAGCGGAAACAGACTAGTTACCCAATAAGGTACCCACGGATATTTAGAGTAGCAAGTCATGAGAATTCAATTGTATAGGTACGCCAAAAAGGCCGAAACAGAAAAATCTACAACCAAAAACTCCCCCAAAAAAACGGTGTACTATGTAACAATAATCATTAAATCCTGCAACGTCACTGGAGCCGGCAACGTCCATACATCAGACCGTAGATCGAGGCTCGACATATTATTATTATTCACCAACGCCGGCCATAAACCGAATCATCAGGCCTCGCAGGGGGTCGGTGCGGCTGCTGATACGGACGATTGCGATGATCGCGGGATGGATCAGACAGCGCTGACGATGGTGGTGCAGCGGCGGGAGGCTCGTCCGCCGAGCTCAGCAAGCGAGTCGGCTGCTTGAAGTCGAGCGTGTCTTGTCTGCTAGTATAGCTGTGCTCGGCGTCGCGGCCAAAGAGGGCCATCATGTCGCGCATGGTCAGCTTGCCAGCCGCCGACTTGCCTTCGAGCGTCGCGTTGGCGAGTTCGCGCTTGCGCTCCTGTAGATCGACGATGCGCTCTTCGACTGTGCCCTTGATTATCATCTTGTAGATCTTCACGTCTAGGGTTTGGTTCAGGCGATGGACGCGATCGATAGCTTGTTCTTCCACGAACTGAAGGGAACGTATTAGTTAGCTCGTCACTGGTTGTATGTGTAACAGGGCACTTACGGGGTTCCAGAAGGGCTCGAGAATCACAACGCGACTGGCCGCAGTCAGGTTAAGGCCGAGAGCGCCCGCCCGTAAGCTGCATAGCAGCACGCGGGTCCCGCTGTGGCTTCGCAGCTTGTTCAGGCTGGCCTCGCGGTGGTCGTTTCGCATTGCTCCGTCGTACCGCGCGAACCCAATGTTGGCTCGTTTCAAGAAGGGCTCAATCTTGTCAAGCATCGAGGTGAACACGGAGAAGACAATAAACTTGTAGTCGGCGGACTCGCGGTTGAGGATTCGCATCAGATGGCGGATTTTGGTCGACGGAAGTATGTTGCTGCCATCTCCTGGGTCTTGATAGATATCTTCCTCGGAATCGGTCTCGTCCTTGGAGTCGGATTCATCCTCGGAGCTGTCCAGAACGAACGGTTGACTCTTCTTGCCAGTCGAAGAATCAACTTCATCCTCTGTCTCTGAATCTTCAGAGTTCAGCCATTCGCCGCCGCCTTCGGCGTTCTCGTCGTCCGATCCTCCAGCCTTGCCGAGATTTGGTGCCTTACGCTGGTCCTCTGGAACGATCCATTCGGCCTCGTCTTCGTCGTCACTGTCAAGAATAACCCTGCGGTTCTTCCGCGAGCGGGTAGGCTGGGCTTCAGAATCTGCTTTGCCATGCTTGTGCACCTTCGTCTTCGACTTGTGCTTCTTTTTGGCCTTGCCAATGAAGTCTGTCTTCAGATCAGCCTCGCACTCGCTGCACCGACTAGTGCCAGTCTGGGTTTCCGCCGGGCTGAGCTCCATCTGACACACATCGCACTTCTTGGTGACAACGCTGAGAGCCCCAAATAGATCCGCCACAGAGTCTAGATCGTCCTGCTTTCCTTGACTCTGTTGGGTCCCGTTCTGGAGGAGAACATCCTTATCCTTGGCCAGATCACTCTTGACCAAATCAGGATGATTGCAAGATTGGCGAAGACGCAGCAGCAAGACCAAGGCGCCGGCATAGTCGAGTTTGGAACCGCCCATCATCTTGTCGAGGCTGTTCTCAGTGCGTTGTTCCAGCCGCTGATAGAAGTTCAATTCACCGGGCATGAATTCAGCCTGTACTTTAATGACCTTGCGTTCGGTGATCTGGAACCCGTTCGAGGACTTCTTCTGTTCTTCACCAGACTCCGATGATTCAGACTTGAGATTGGCGTTGAGCTTCAGGACGTCCTTGGTACGGCGCTTCATGAAGGCTTTCAAGTAAACCTGCAGGCGCTGGATGGCTAGGCCCCCGCGTCCATTAGCCAAGGGTCTGCTGATCTGGTCCCGCCAGGCTGCCAAGTCATCGAATGGCTTGATGCGGAGGAATTTGATCAGACTTTGTAGCTCGTCCAGATTGTTCTGCAACGGTGTTCCGGTCAAGCACCAGCGGTACTCGGCGTCCAAGGCGCAAGCTGACTGTGTAGCCTTGGCATTGCGATTCTTGATCGTATGCGCTTCGTCGAGAATGATGCGGTACCAGGTGACGGAGAAAAGACCGGACTTTTTCGCCTTGTCCGAGGCTGAGGTGGCCGATTCCGAGGTCAAAGTGCCGTACGTAGTGATCACCACGTCGTAATCGTCCAAAGATCCGGAGGTCTTTGCGCGGTTGGTTCCATGATAGAGGCAGACGCGGAGCTTGTGGGTCTTTTCCACTTTGGCATCAATTTCAAATTCCCATTGCTTGATGAGGGCTAAGGGGGCCACCACCAAAGTGCTCTTGCTGACTTTGGCAGATAGCTTCGGCTGGTCTTCATCGTCGTTGGAATTATCGCTGTGTTCGTGTTTTGGTCGGCGGTTCCTGAGCATGAGGGCGATAGCTTGCACGGTCTTACCCAGACCCATATCATCTGCGAGGATCCCGCCCTTGGGAAAGATGCCTTTGGTTGTCCTGCGGCCGGTCTCCTTGTCGCACATCCATCTCACGCCCTCAACCTGATGGGGTAGAAGCTGGACTTTCAGCCCTTCGACAGTAGCATCTTCCTCATCATCATCATCATCTTCTTCCTCATCGTCATCTTCGTCGGCTTCAGCGTCGAGCTCCTCTTGTTCCTCGGCTTCCTTATCCTCGATATCGTCTTTGAGTGTTTCCTTGGCGTTTGGGGCATCATCGGCCTCCTTTTCTTTCAATTCCTTTTGGTCCTTGACTGTGACACCCTGGAGCTGATCTACCAAATCATCAAGATCGGAGGACTCATCCTTCTTCTCGATTGAACTCTTTTTCTTCTTCTGGGTCTTTTTCTTAGTGTTCTTTTTCTTGCCCTTAGAGCTCGAACGAGCCATCTTCTCCTCCTCCTCATCCTCAAAAGCACCCTCGAGCAAAGCCTTGATGTTCTCATTCGCCTTGGCCGAATCGACGTATCCATGCACATCCATAGCACCGAAAGTAGACGCATTATTGGTCTGCCTCCCGGTCGGGAAGCTGTCGTCCTTGGTCAAGTCTATGAACTTCTGGAGATTCTTCGACGCGTTGGACATCTTCGGAGGTATCGGCTGGGACGTGTAGATAGTTCTGGCGGCGCGGGGAGTAGTCCAGGTGACATTCTCGGGACGCTTGATTTCAGTCGCACCCGGAGGGACTCCTGGTCTCTGGCTGGTATATTCTGCTGGCCGGACGGGCTTGAACGGATCCCAAGGTTCGCTGCGCTTCACGGGCGAGGTGGGATTGGCGCCCGGCGGGGCAGCTGGCCGATAGCCTTGAGGTGCGGCATTCTGAGAACTGCGATATTGCGGCTGTGAGGTGGACACGGGCCGATGGTGTTCCGGGCGCGATTGGTTTGATTTCGGGACATTAAAGAGGTGGTTTGACCGAGGCTGCGGCTGGCCGAGTGGAGATGGCTTTCCGAACTCAGGTTGCTGTACGTGGGGAGCCGGAGGCTGATCGTTTGGACGTCGCGGGGTGAGAGGGTGTTTTGGCGCATCGCTTTCTCTCGCCATGATTGCCGTCTAGTCTAAAGACCTGGGTGTCGGTGTGGCGCGGAGCGTGAGTTGGCGATGGGGTGGCGAAGTTTTTAAAAAGTACCAATCGACAGGGCAGTAGCGACAGATGGATCTGAGATGTGATGATGGGAAGAATGCTCTTAAGTGGGTGTCTTGTCAGCCCTTGCGCATTTGCCGCGCGCAAAAAGTGCGCCTCCCGAACCCCGTGGCCGTTTCTGCTCCTAAAGGATATCAACCGTAAACACTCACTTCAGATCAAGGGTTCAAGACACTCCACATCGAGTACTGTGGTAAAGGAGTGGGGTGTGAAAGAGTGTGTGAAAGCAAAGAAGAAGAATGAAAGAGCGAGTTGACGTTATCGATAACCACCGATTTGTTTGGGGCGGAGTGGGTCTGATGCCCCAGCAACGGGTTGATGCCTGAGTGCCTGAATAACTATACCGGTGTGCTGTTATTGATGTCTTTTCTTGAGTGTTGATCTTATGCTTCTCTGTCTGCAATAATGATATACTCATGGTAGATTCTTTGCGACAGCTCCAACGTCTGGAATATGGCTTGTTATGGAAGACCCAGGGCTAAATACTATGCACTATCCCGCGAACTATACCGCTAGACTCAACAGACTATACGCTTGCTACCTGTACGACCCGTCAAATCTCCCCAATCACGCTCTTGAGAATCTCCGGCACGATAACACCCGCATCCCCCTGGAAGAACCAGTCCCCCTGTTCCAGCCCACTGCCAGGGAGATCATCGGGATCCATATTGATCACCGCGACACGAGCACCCCTGTCCCGCGCCTCATCCACATACCCGGCAGCAGGCCAGACGCGCGAACTCGTGCCGATAACCAGCATCAAATCGACCGGAGGCCCGGCTTCGATCCAGTTATCCACCGCCCTCAGCGTGTCAGCGGGTAAGCTCTCCCCAAACCAAACGACTCCCGGCCGGAGCAGACCGTTCCTGCATTTCGGGCACTGGGGGAGATCGGCCGGTGTTAACTCGGGGATGGGGTTGCGCTGATCGGAGATATCGACTTCGTGTCCTGCTCTGCTGTGGGAGAGCGCATTCTGCAGCGACTGGGACGCTTCTGCGCCGGTCTTGTCGATGGTGGAGGGGTCGGGGTGCGCGGTTTGGGATGGGATGGCCAGGGCCGGGACGATGGGGTCGGTGAAGTCGTTATCCCGGGAATAGTTGCAGTAGAAGGAGGTGCATTTGATATTGAAGAGCGAGCCATGGAGCAGGTGTAACTGTTCCGGTGGATGGTGCGCTCGCTGCGAGAGACCTGTAGAAAAACACCGACAACACCGAGTAAGTCAGCTTGCCACGGAACGGGGGAGACAAGAACAAATAGTCTGGTCAGCACCATCGACATTCTGGCTCAATGTGATAAAATCTTTATTCCGTCGCGAGAGCTCCGCGAGCGCGAAGTGTGCTCGGTTGGGTTCCGCCTTCAGCGCCATGTGTCGCCGATAGCTGTAGAACTGCCACACCAGACCCGGGTTGGCATTGAAAGCGCCCGGTGTCGCCAGGGAGGTGGCATCGTAGGAGCGCCAGAGGCCGCCGGCGCCTCGGAAGGTGGGCAGGCCAGACGACGCGGAGAGTCCAGCTCCGAGGAGGGCGAGGATGCGTTTGCAGCCTTTCAGATACTCGGAGAAGGACTGGAGATCGGCGGCGGGAATAGCTGCTGAATTCATCGTCGACAACACTCGGATGGGTGGTTGTTGAAACCAGGACGTGGTGAGGAAGTGAATGAGTTGCTTTGTTTGTTTGGTGGGGGATGACGTGGGGTCATCACGGCCACTGGTTTATCAGAAAATAGTCGACAGTCGTTAGAAAGAAATAACCCACATTACCAATCCGACAACAGAAAGAAGACAGAAGGCAAAAAGGAAGAGCCACAAAAGTGACTTGGACTATGTACTCTATATTCGTGTGGTAGGATCGCTCCCTACGCCGCTGCAGCGGCATTTATAACGTCCTTGTACCAAAGTTCCAGAGCCGAAACAACAGTCAGAATCTCCCAGGTCTCGCCCAATGTCCCGGTGAGTCCTGTGCCGAGGAACGCAAAGTGAAAAGCTTTGGTCATGCTCAGCGATCTATTATGGGCGAGGATCGCCACGATTTCCAGGCCATCGCTTGAAATCCCCGGGTGTCGTTCTTTTCGGCTCCCTTCGGCGTTGCTCTCCGGCCCCGACAGCCACACCAGTTTCCAGCCATAAGAGTGACCACTGGCAAGCTCCGAGATTTCATTGCCACGACTTTTGCGCCACTCGAAACGCTCTCGCCCGGCCCCTTTACCAGCTGCATTCGTTTCAAAAGTATATGTCGACCGGTGGTTCTCTATACTCATCTCTTCTACGATGGCATCTCCGTGTGAACCTCCGGGCCGGGGAGGAAGAGTAAGGATCATGGGTCTGACTCGACCCCATTTGTCGGTGTGAACCGTTGCCAGGATCGGGTCTTTATCACTTGGCCCGTCATGTAGAGTGATCGTCGGCTTGTTGTGGAACATATTGGCATGAGTGGACGCTGCGAAAAGTTTGTCCTCGGCGGTCGGGCCCAGGTGGAAAGTGCTGGTCAGTTTCCATTGGAGATAGCCGTTCATGGATGGCGGGAATTTGACAGTCGCACTTTGTATCGTCTTCGAGCCGCTGGCTGTCTGGTGATACGCGGGCAGTTCATCCTGCGCAGTCGGCCCGGGGCCGCCCTGGTCGTGCTCCGAATAGGGTGGTAAGGGATCCATGATGGCTTTGGGGGCAGGGTCCAATGCTGCCAGGTATATGACTCTGTGGCTGCTAGTAAGAGCAGCGACCATAGCCCTATTTCATGTCGAACCAGACATGAGGCTAAGGTGACCTAGGGCGGTACACTAATCCCATTTAGGTTGATTGTGCCGCCGGCCCCAAAATTAGTGCGAGAAAGCAAGAATCATGCTTAAACGATGCAGCCTTGCGAAAATGCCTTGAGGAACTTGGTTTTCTTTTTCAGCATGTAGAAGGAAAAGGTCCATTTGCCTCAACGAACTGTTCAATTAGTTGTGCTGCCTTTAGGAACATAGTGAAATCTTCCAATGTTCTATATTGCTACGGACGGTAATAAGATCAATTAGGCTTTTTTTTCTACATAAGAACGCCACCTACTTAGCAGGTATTAAATTCGCGAACTATCTCCACGCAGAGGTGCTGTATGCCTTACCCGAGTTAGCTAGCCACGATAGGTAATAGATACTTCTTTCATGAACTCTATTCATTTGGATTGTGGGGTCGAATGCCATTCTAAGTTCCTTGATTCGGCTATGGGGCTCAGCTCTCATTCAGGGCACAGCGGTATATACCACCTAATTGGGTGCAATGCACTGCCTGCCATACGTCACCTAAGCCTCTTGGCCGATTCGACATCTGAGGAACACTTTGTCCCCAAGTATAAGTAGCACTGATCATGCCGGAAGTCAGTGGAGATTGAGTATCCCTCAAATCTCACACTCCTCTTTGAGACCATGCGAGTCCTCAAAGCCGCTCTCGCACTTCTTTCGCTCTACTGCATCCCTGCAGTCCTAGGCAGCCTCCCGGGCCCGTCTTACCCTGCTCCTCGGGAAATCAGCTGCGAATCCAGCTCGGTTACCGCTAGCTGGAAAAATGTCAGGGCAACGTTGGACCAGACCCTCAAGGGTGGTGGAATGGGTAAATTGGCCTCATCTCTGCTAAAGAACACCACCTTCTCAATGGGTATGTTCTCGCTCTACGACCAGGGCGCCCATTCCATGCAGTACCACCACACAGCCTTAGCCACCCTCAATGGCACCGTAGGCGCGAAAAAGGTTGACGGCAGCACCATCTACCATGTTGCCAGTATCTCCAAGCTCATCACCACCTACGCGGGCATGATCGAGCTGCATGAGAATGACTGGAACATTCCTTTGTCAGATATTTTCTCGGGCTTCAAGGATTTGGTGGAAAAGACGGCCGAGAATTACGATGCCGTGCAGGATATACAGTGGGACAAGATCACACTCGGCGACATCGCGGCCCAGATTGGTGGCATCCCGCGCCTAGGCATACCGATCAGTTCGGACTTCGTGATAGCAGCTCTGTCGAACCCCTCCGTCCTAGATACCTGGGGCCTGCCGCCCCCTAACCTGGCCAAGGACGAGGCCCAGTATCCCTGTGCCAAGTACCTAGCATCTGGCTCATTTGCCAAGTGCAGTATCGAGGAATACGCCCAAGGTATCGCTTCCAACCCACCTAGGTACCCGCCTGCCACCAGTCCCCTCTATTCCGACAGCGGCTTCTTCCTCCTCGGCGGGGCGCTGTCTAACCTGACGGGGATGTCCTTGGATGAGTTGTACCGCAAAGCCATTTTCGAGCCCCTCGGTCTCAAGAGCACCTTATCCAACCCGCCCACCGAGCCTGCAGTCATCGCTCGCACTGTTGTCCCCAAAAATCTAGCTACTGATTTCTTCAATGTCCCCATTACCACTCCTTCTGGTGGCTTGTACTCGACCATCAATGACCTGTCCAAGATCGGCGTTAGCATTCTTAACTCAACACTCTTGCCTACCGATAAGACCAACCGTTGGATGAAACCGGTCTCCTTCACCGCAGATCTCCGCTATGCCGTCGGCCGTCCATGGGAAATCTATCGATATGTGCACCAAGACACGGGTGTGGTCACAGACATCTATACCAAGCTGGGTGATTCAGGAGACTATTGCGGCCTGCTCGTGCTTGTACCAGATTTTGAGATCGGCTTCACTATTCTCGGCGCCAGCTCCACAGGTGTTCACACGCAAGCAGTGCAACTTGTCGCCGACCTCCTCACAGACTCTATGATGCCCGCTCTCATGACCCAAGCCCGTCACGAAGCCGCTACCAACCTGGCGGGAACCTACAACCCCAAAGACAAAGGCCTGAACACCACTCTGTCCCTGTCCGTTCCCTCGTCATCCAAGTCGGCCCCGGGCCTTGTCATCACGGAGTGGATCAGCAACGGCACAGACATCAAGAACATCCTAGCCACAACTTTGATAGACCTTGTTCCCCATGTTCCGTTGCCACCGACGAACCCCGACATGGTCAGGCTTATTCCAACAATTCAGGATGTCGCAGCTTCGGGTCAGATTGCATTCCAAATGGATACAGTCAACCCTACCGGGCCCGTTAAAGGCCACCTGTTTTCCAAGATGTATGATGTGGGAGACTGGGCTAGCACAATCGACCAGCTCACTTACCAAGACATACCTATCAACGAGTTCGTGTTCCACCTTGATAAGAAGACAGGGAAGGCATTTTCTGTGACGCCGAGTGCGTACCACGTCGAGCTCGAGCGGAGGAAGTGAGAATTAGTTAATGCACTGGTCGGATTAGCGGGTCCGGTGGCCGTCAGAGAGCGGAGTTGGTCACTCAAGGGCTGATGAGATTGGTGCGAGGGAAGATGGGTGCGAGTGGCCACTCTGATCTTAATATATATTTTCTTTGGGTACATCTCCCGTACCTCTGTACGGTTTAATGAGTGTAAATTAGACCCACACAAGGTCTTTTGCGGCGGAAATCAAAGATTACCTTCGCGGTATCAAGTTACCATTATTTAGCTGCCTACACTTGCTTTCAAGTTGTGATTAATTGAGGGTTGCTAAGTGAAGGAGAGGCAAAGAGGGAAAAGGGAAGAACTAAAAAAGTCTTCTATGTACTCTCGAATATATATACCTGCGAAAACAAAAACTATCATCTTCGGTTAGTGCTGTTCCTCCGCGGGCAATTGCACTTTTACTGCACCCTCTGCAAGGGCTTGGTTCTGTGTGTTCTTGCTGGCGATGAAGGAGTTGATATATTCCGGCACCTCTTGCACCTCGTTCTCGGCGCTAGGGATCGGCTTTCCAAAGGTCTCCCAGACCGGAACCACGCCAGTCCAGACACGGCTGGTGACCTCGCGATTATCCTTATCCTTGCGCTCATCCGACACGCCTCCATCACGGATCTTGCCGCTCCCATCAACAATCTTGACCTTGAGGATGACGGTGGACGACATCTCCGCCTTGTCGGGCGGCACCCGCGAGTGGTCCCAGCGGTCCTCAAGCACGGAGTTAGTGACCAGCTTCATGGCCCAGAGCTTCTCCTGCTCGTCGGTGACGAGGGTGGCGTACCCGTGCAGCACGGCTGAGCGGTAGTTGTAGCTGTGTGAATTGGGCGTGAGGGATAGGATCAGTCCGTCGACTTTGCTGGTGGCCACGCAGATTGGCAATCCCTCGCCCTCGGAGTTGCGCGCCAGATTCATGATGCGCGAGCTGACGTAGCCGTGCAGATAGCACTCCAGCGGCTCTTCTATGGTGGCTGAGGGATAGTCGAATGATCCCATCTGCCCGATCATGGGCAGGATGGTCGGGAAGGGGTCCTCCGGCCCCGGGTTGAAGGAGACATGGAGCACCTGGGAGGAGTTGATGATGGAGTGGATAGCACCCAAGTCGTATGTAGCTAGCAGTACGGTCTTAGCGGGTGAAGTAGTTTGAGTCAAGCGGGCAACCTACCACGGTGGTTATAGCGGTTGACCGTGTTGGAGGACCGCTTCGGGTATGTTAGTGTTCGTCCCATGATTCCTGTTGCGCTGATGTTTTGATCGTGAATGACAATCAACAATCTGGAGACACGCTTATTTAAAGGACGGCCGGATCACGATAGGTCCGTCCGCCGCGCGCAGTTGCTTCCCTTTCCAGCAGGTCTAACCGAGTCGCGATGCTTCCTTCCCCGCGGTGGCACAGATGGAAGAATAAACCTCATGAGTCAGATCATGATTATTATTATAATCGTATTCCGCCTCTGATCATTCGCCCGAGAGAAGGAGTTGTTCAATCTACATCTTGGACTTGGGAATCGTGATTGGCCCTCACCGCCGAGCGGCCGATAACAACTTTCTCCGTCGACGATTAATGATTGTGGTTGTTGGACCAGCACAACCACCAACATGACGTGCAGATCGCTGCTGCGGTGCGCCCTTCGAGGTCGCTTACCTGCATCCTCTCGCCCGATATGCCGGAGTCTTGTTGCTCACCGAGCTCCTTTTCGGTCGTATGCGACATCGGTTCCGGCCGCGGACCTCAAGTTCGGCCAGCCATTGCACGAGACACACCCCCATATCCTGAATCCCGGAGAACGTACGTGCTCTTCGATTCCCCCAGCAACACTGCGCTCACTCGACTGACCCGCTTGACCAGTCACGCCCGGGATAACAGCCCTGGAATATGCCCAGCGCCGTTCCCGACTCGCAAATAAGCTACCCAAGGGCGCAGTTGCGGTGCTGGCCGCGTCAGAGGTCAAGTACCGTGCTTCGGGCATCTTTCACGAGTACCGACAAGAGTCCAATTTCTATTACCTGACAGGTAAGGGCTCGCGTGCGCAGGACGGACAAGGAAAAAATATTGATGTTCTGTTATCGACAGGATTCAACGAACCGAATGCTCTGGCGGTTATAGCGAACGACGGGTCCGGCAACAATCACATCTTTCACCTCTATGTGCGCGAGAAGAATCCCAAGGCGGAGCTCTGGGACGGAGCCCGGTCCGGCACTCAGGCGGCCGTGGACGTCTTCAATGCGGACGAAGTGAGAGATACCAAACCCAGATCACACGGCAATAACTGACCCGAAGACGGCAGACCGGAGATATTGAACAGATCAGTGAGATTCTTCCGAAGATCCTCAGCGAAGCTACCGAGGTTTTCTCCGACATCCCTACGTTTGACGGCTCGAGGTCGACTCTGCATCGCTTTCTGTACGGACCGACGGTTGCATCGGAGAAGCTGAAGAAATTCGTCGACCACCGTAAGGTCAAGCCGCTGAAGGGAATGCTGAATGAGATGAGGGCGTTCAAGAGCGAGAATGAAGTGGTACATATGCGTCGACTGGGGCAAGCGTCTGGCCGCGCCTTCACCGAGTCCATGCGGCATGATTTTGAGGGAGAAAAAGATCTGTGCTCGTTTCTGGAGTACCAGTTCAAAGTAAATGGCTGCGATACCAGCGCATTTGTCCCCGTCGTCGCTGGTGGCTCTAATGCCCTGAGTATTCATTACACGAGGAATGACGATCTCCTGCGGGATGGAGATTTGGTTCTGGTTGATGGTGGCGGCGAACTAGGTGGCTATATTTCCGATATCACCAGGACATGGCCCGTCAACGGGAAATTCACTGGGCCGCAACGGGATCTCTACAACGCTGTGCTCAATGTCCACCGGACTTGCCTCGCTCTATGTCGGGAAAGCTCGAAGCTTACTCTGGACAAGCTGCACGGAATTGCCGAGAATGGGCTCAAGGACCAACTACAGCAGCTTGGCTTTGACGTCTCAGGAACTGTATGCACCATACCCTCCCACAATTGTTTAGCTGCTAACTGCTGCCAGGCGATGACGACTCTTTTCCCGCATCACTTGGGACACTATATTGGTCTGGATGTCCATGACTGCCCTGGCTATTCCCGGGGGTATGAACTGAAGGCGGGCCAATGTATCACCATCGAACCGTTTGTCTCCCTCGTGCTGCTGCTGTAATACAGTAATTAACTGATCCATCGCAGCGGTATCTATGTCCCCGACGACGATCGGTGGCCTGCACACTTCCGCGGCATTGGCATTCGCATCGAGGATAGCGTGTGTGTTGGGGACGACCATCCGATTGTGTTGACTACGGAGGCAGTTAAAGAGGTATGTTTGGGAGACTGGGTTTGCGTGGCATATACTAACTCGAGCCAGGTCGATGACATCGAAGCCCTGCGGTCATAGATGATTTGTACAGTAATTACCCGATGCCCTGCATTGTACTATAAAGCAGCGTTTTTGTAATTGAGGTGAAATGGTCATGTAACGCCGGTGGCTGGGGAGTGTCCGGCGTGTAAAGTCATGATAAAGCCATTTTTTAAATATTTAACCAAACGAATCAATAATACAAATATCCAAACAATCAATCAAAAGCTCCACAACAGTCCGTCGCGGTGGCAAGAATGCACTCGCAGAGGTGATGTTCATGCTTCGCGCGTGGTTGTCCGGCGCACGAGCAAAACAAACTCGGGCTCCACCACACGACCTTCCGCCCTCTCTTCCTCTTCTTCCCTTCAACTCCACCACACCTCACCTTTTCCTCAGTACTGAGTCAATAATGCCCACCCTCTAACCTCGCCCCCCGAGCTCTGCTAGACGTGTGCCATTACATGTCGCGTGCTCGACCTCTACCCACCCCCCTCTTTGAATCTCAATCCACCACTCTCTCGACGCGTATTATTCCCCCCAACCAACCACTCACATGGCCGCTGTATTCATTCCTCCTTCGCCACAGCCCACCCTGAACATGTCAACTCGCCGACCGCTCGCCAATGTGCCGAATGCCACCAATTCTCCCCACAGGTCCGGCCTCGTGCCTGCCAAACGAGCTCGACCAACCCAAATCGAGATTCCCTATGGCCAGCCCCCGCCAAAGAAGCAGGTGACGGAGACGGATGGCCGGTCTCCTACGCGGGCCAAGTCCGTGTCCACAGCCTATCAGGGTGCGGAATCGAGGCAGCTCTTCGCCGCGCGGCGGTCCAACAACGCGACGCCTAGTGCCTTTGAGAAGAAGCTCGTTGCTGCTCGGGATAAGTATAGGCCGCCTCAAACGAAAGCTGCCAAGACGGAGAAGCCCTCGGCGGAGACGCTGGATACAATTCGTCAATGGCAGAGACACTACCGCAAGGCGTTTCCTCAGTTTGTCTTTTACTTTGATAGCATCCCCGAGGACGTTCGACGGAAATGTTCTCGCCAGGTTACTGCCCTCGGAGCTGTGAGTCTTGCCCTTTCATCTTCTTATTGCCCTTGGTGGCCCTTTGTGTGGATTCGATGGCATTGTTTTTGAATTGTACTAACAACATTCCAGCAAGAGGAGAAGTTCTTCTCGCGTCTAGTCACCCATGTCATCACATCGCGTCCCATCCCCCCCGAGGTGGTCAATACAAGCCCGACCGAGTTGGAGGCAGAGCTGGCGAATGGAGATGGCCACATGCAAACGGTCAACCCATCACTGTTGGAAAAGCATGGTGACTTGCATTTGCATGCATCCCTGAAAAATGACACACGCCGTGAGCAGGGAAACATGGATATCCTTCAGAGAGCCCGACAGATGGGCATGAAGATCTGGGCGCTGGAAAAATTGCAGCGTATGATTGCCACGATCAATGACAGTGAGATCGGCGGCCAGCATGATAGTGCCGCTCGCAGTAAGGCTGCTGGTGGGAGTACCGCGCATGGAAAGGGGGACAATGACCTCTCTCGAGTCCTGCGCCAAGAACTGTTGAATGGACCTTCGGACCGTGATCCCTTGGCATCGATGGAGATGATCATGTTCAAGGGCTCATTCATCTACATTCACGATATGAACGAGAAAACTAAGCCAGTTATGGTCAAGGAGTATCCGCGGGTTCCCAGACGGCAGGATGGAATTTGGCCGCAGTTCAGAAGTGCGCCTCTGGGTAAATGCCCTTTCATTGACGAGCCTCCAAGCAGGAAGGACTACGACAGTCACCGAATCCGTGAACACAAGGAGAAGAAAGCCGCCATGCGCAAAACCCAGGAATCTCGAGGCACCACGGAAACCAAAGCGGCGTCTCTCGAGCGAGCAGCAGGCTCAAAGGCCAACGATATGGCCAAGCCTGACACCAGCGGAAGCCAGGAACTCCGCATTTCGCCTCCAATTCAGGCAGAGATGCCGGCAAAGCTCTCGCTAGACGGCCACGAGCGAAAGAGCTCTGAAAGCTTCATACCACCCCACTTCCCCCGGACCGGTCCCTTCTACACTGGTCGTGAACCTGCCGCATCTGGTGTACAACCGTCCAACATCACGTCGGCCATTCGCTCTCAGATGATCTCCTCGACTGCTGCAGGACCTGGGGCCAAGGCGGGCTTAAGTAAGGAAGTTCACGGCCTGCAGCGAAAGGTTCTTGAAAAAGGTGCCGGTGGTCCTCCAACGGGTTCGATGGCAGCTCCTCAGCGCCATGTTGATGGATCCGCAACGCAGCATGCTTCCAAAGGCAAGAGCATCCAACAGGGCAAGAACGGCTACACCAATGAGAAAGAAGCAACTAGGACGGATGGCAATGGGGCGAAACGGCCACGGGAAGAGCGCAAGAACAGCCAACAAACCCAGCAGAAGAAGCCTGAGCGGAAGAGAGACCCGAAACCCGGATATTGCGAGAACTGCAGGGACAAATTTGATGACTTCGAAGAGGTACGTCCACTGTCATGATTTCCGATGTCCCTATACTAATCTATCTCAGCACACCCTCACGAGGAAGCACCGCCGGTTTGCGGCCAACTCGAGCAACTGGGCCGAGCTGGATGCATTGCTCTTTGATATCCAACGGCCTCTGAAGGAGGAATACCAATTCGATGGTTAGCTGCACGCTGTCGTCGAACCGACGGAGTTGCAATGCCATCGAATTTGCTTGCATAATAGCGACAACCTGGGTATTATCCAGCCATTCATCTGCCGCATTTACTTTTGGAATTCCCTTTGTCGTGCCCTTTCTTGGAAAACATTCGGAGTTGTTCAGTCACACCACCCTCGGCTTCGACGTCCATGCATCTTGTGGAGTTTTTATTTTCCTTTCCTGCATCAACACTTTGCGATTCCCCATACGGAAGGCCTTTGTTTCGTTTAACCACCGACTCTCAGCCGAGATCGTTCGTTCGTTACCCGACTCCATCTCACATCTCTCTGCGTTGTTCTTTTTGGTATTCGACTTCGCATCAGCACAAAACCATTCGGCAGAAAACCCCTTCCATACTGGCAGTCATCGTCAGCTGGGAGGCCTTTTGGATTAATTACCAGCATATTTTTTTCTCGTATCTTCTTCGGGGGTTGAATCTACCGGATCTGCCTGTTGTTCTGCTCATCAACCATGGGAACGAACCAGACAATGATCCGAGATCCATTGCAGTATGTCAACGGCTATAATTGACAACCAACCATTCATTTTCGCACTCGTGTGTTCACCCGATGCATTTTCAGCACTGGTCGAGCGTGATTGATTCGAGATTGGAAGCATTGCTTGCATTGCATCGCATTCGCGCGCCTGTCTCGGTTTCTTCCTTCATACAAATTCCCCCTTCCATTGCGGTCCTACGGGACACCAATATTTGTCAAATTTGTTCTGGTGGTCTTTCTCTTTTCACGTTGCACGGTCGGTGTCTGTTCGGGCATCCTTATGTCTGCCCGGAGCAAGTGGCTTTCTTCTTTCTTCTTCCTTCTCGTGACATTACATACCTAGGACGAGTACGCATTTATTCGGTCCGGTGGCGATCTGTCTTGTATACGGTGGTATTAATTGACATTTGTTCTATTGTGTGTGTGGCGTCTTGTGTGCTGTAGAATCAGATCAACATAGCCAACTGTATGTGCTGTGCTTCATGGCTGCTGTGGACTTTTTGTAATGTAGAAGCTGGTTTCTCCAACCACCAGATCCAGACCGTCCTCGGTCTCAAATCCCCTTCGCCACAGTATCTTCAATATGGAACCCGGCATATTCTTGTAAACAATCATTCTATAAGCAGGGATATCAAAATATGCATACGCAAAAATACATCAAACAAGTCAACATTCACCCACCACATACCATCGGCATATCAGTCCGAAGATATAAGCTTCAGATCTCTCGTAGTCATCGTAAAGCTGTGCTTCTCCCCCGACACATGCAAAGATATTTCCCACACCAGCGAATTCTTATGCCTGATGCAATACGTGACAAAATCCGGGTATAGTACGGGACATCTTGAGTGGCCTGTTAACGAAAGATTTTTACTGCCAGACTTCAACCCGCTCCGATGGAGTGTGAGCTGGAACATATTCCCCAGATTGATCGGTTTATCGGCCTTGCCGTCTGCGGTGTATATTTCCAAGGGCGATTCTAGTGTCTCTAGCGCCTTCCCAAGGCCTAGATCATGGGATGATTTTTGCGTGTCACTGTGTAGATCCGTGTTTGAGAAATTGCCGGGACAGCAGATATACGTCCAGCTAGAGAGGGACATTTTGACCGAGGTGATCTCGATCCTCTGTGAGACGTCTCTGATCTCTTCACTAGTTTTTTCGGGTACTGGCTCAATCTCGAAGATAATGGGGATTGGTTCTGGATTGCCAAACTGAATGACTTTCGGGTAGGTGATGATAAACTTGAAGCAAAATTCGGGAACCTTGGACGACCCGAAGGACTTTTGCATCTTTTGCTTGAATGATAGACCCCTATGTCTCATTCCCGGAACGAGTCGCTGGCTCTGAATTAGTCGTTGTGTTGACGTCTCCGTCAGCTGCCCGATCAGGTCGACGCCGCTCTCCAGCGGGTGTCGAAGAGTAATTGGCCAGGTTGCCGTGACGGTCTTTAGTTCGCTGCCATACCAATATCTGAGCTGAGCGCTGAGATAGTACTCGATAAAGGAATTCGACTCACGGCCGTAGCGGTTTTGGCTCGATGAGAACGTCCCGGGCAAGACATGACGAACTGGGTGATCTTTGTCCAGCGGAAGGAAACTGATTTCCTTGGTAAGACCCCTGTTGCGATTATCAACGGGCTCAGTGGGTATTTTGACACAGAAGGGCCAGCTAAGTGGCCCGGCAACGACGCCCCCGGGCTGAACGCCTTTCGGGAGATGCAGCGGTCCCTTGAAGAGGAGATCTTGTTCCAAGCCCAGATAGGAATATGCGCCGGTGTAGTGACGGGCACTGCCCTGGTTACCCTTATCGATAATCTGCGTCACCGCGCGGCCGATTAGACCTACTTTGACGATGGCTTCTGGCGATACGATCCCTTCCTTGCGCACTAGGTTGCCGATGATGGTGTCGCCAGGGGAATATGACCAGTTTGGGGGTTCGGCTACGTCGAATTTGAGTGCATCGTTGTCTGTTCTTATGGTGCGGGTTTTTTCGCGGATGAATAGGGGTAATTTCCCCCCGCCGTTGAACATGGTTGTACAGAGTAGGGATCTGAGTGCTGGTGTCAAGTCAAGCAAGGCTTGTTATATATGTATGGGTTTGGGGCCAAATGATCTGCACGGTGAGGTCAGTGGGAAGCCTCAACCGCCACGTGAGGCTACACATAGTGCGCCAATAGCAAACTAGTAGATGTATATGCTTTTTTTGTCTATGAATGGATACACATATCAATATCGAATAGCCCTATCGTAGTAATTTCGACTCCTCACACGTACGATCATCTGCTGCGTGGCGGACCTGCATACTAGTGTGGGTTTCTCCACATCTGGTGAACCGAGGCACGGCTCCACGGCTTTTGATATGGCAGACCTCCACCTCACCCCTACGAATACTTAACCTCCTATCCTCATCCCCCACCATCATATTGATCCTCTCCATCTACGATAATAATGGCCACCCCATCGCGCGCCCTGCAGGCATCCGCCCTGAGCTTTGCCCTCCTCTCTATCGGACACACGGTAACTAGACCCGCCACCTCCACATTCACAGATGCCCTCCATATCCACCCGCGCTATTCCATCTACTAACAAATCCTCCAATCCTCTAGATCAGTGGCAAAGAATGGCAATCCGACCCACGCTTCAAGTCCCTCGCGCGCACCAAGGCCTGGTCCTGCGCCAAAGTCGGCTGGTACCAGGGGAGCGCTTTTTTGTTCATGACCGGTATCATTCACTACCAATGGTCCCATAACCCGCAGGCCCTCCAGGACCCGCTGAACAGGGCCATTGCTGGTGTTGTGAATGCGCTGCTGTGGGCTAGCTCTACTTGGTACTTCAAAAATGGGGTTATGGACAATGCCTGGGCTGTTGGGTTGTCTGCTGCATTGCAGGCTTATAGTGTTGTGAGCAATGCTTTTTAAGCTAGGGAGGGCAGGGGAATATGGTTAGAGTTGTCCTGGGTTTCTTTCGTTTGGTATAGGGTAGTGCCTATACAAGTTTAACCATGTAGTGAATGGACTAAGGGAGACTCATGTATATGCGTGTTCGTTGGTATCTGTCCTACCCTTTGAGAAATATTTCGTCGTCTGTTTAGAACAGAGATAATTAAGAGCTACCAGTCGTCCCTCGCTTCTTCCTCCGCTGATCAGTCCACCCAATAAACAATCCCACATCCGCAACGACCGCGCGCGGAACACCCCCTAACGTCCAGTTCCTCTGAACCCACTGCGGGATCGACCCACCAGCGTCGGAGGTTGTCGCCATAGTCCACTGTACATGGCCGGAACTCGTAGTCTCCGGACTAGAGCTGTCCTGGGTCGAAGAGCGGCGCGACATGACGCGTTCTACGCTGGCGTAGTTGGCAAATATTGTTCTTCGCGGCACGGTGGAGTGGATTTTTTGGTGTAGCTCTGTCGGTGTAGAGGATGCGTCCGGGTGTAATGGTATCTGGATGGTGACGAAGCCTGGTGGGCTCTGCTGCTGTTGCTGCTCCTGCTCGGTGTCTAGCTTGTTGCTGGTTCTTGCGGATATTGTTAGAGAGAGAACGAGCGCGGCGCGATCAGCGCGCCTGGGTGGAAGGTGTGTGTGATCAGATTGACTAGTTGGATGACAGTGTTAGCAGACAAAGAAAGCACCATACAGAGAGAAGAGCTTCGACTTACCCTCCACTTCGAAATCCGTGTACATGACGCCCTCGACCTCCAACTCCGTCTCCAGCTCTGGGCCCTCCCATTGTAACAACCTCTCCACACCCGTCACGCTGGGCGTATACTCCATCTCATGCTTGGCATGATCTTGCCGCAATCCATCCTCGAACTCCTCCCAAGACGCCGTGCCAGACGCAGCTGAGTCAACGTGTTGGCTCTCGCGACAGACCCAAAACTCTCCCTTCCCTGGCCCGTTTCGAGCTTGATTAGAGTCTGAACCTGCGGGCTTTCTCCATCCGCGCAGTAGCTTTACTTTTGCGTGCGATGGCGGCGAGGAACGGGGTTTCGAGTCTGCGGTTAGGGTGGAGGGGATGGTTGTGTCGAGAAGCGAGATGGCTTCGCGGAGGGCGGTGGTGATGAACTGGGATAGTTCTGGACGGGATGGGTTGGGGGGAAGAGATGGGTGAGCCGGGAGGGAGGTGAAGAGGTGTGGACTGAGTTGGATGAGAGGCATTGCGAGTGGTTGTTGGGATGAATGAGAATCAGAGTTGACGTAGTTAGGTCCGGGGGGATCGACAAGGGGGCATTGATGTTTAGTTTATCAGCTTATCGTGGAACAAGCTATCGTGAACTACCCCCAGGGCTGTTGCTTTCTATTATACAACCTATGGTCTATAAGCAGCGCACCCCCGGTCCCACACTGCCAGTCTCGAAGATCTCGACCAGTCCCGCGCCCAGGGCTTCTTCCAGCACCCAGCGAAACTGCATCCCGTACAACTCTTTCCACTTCTTCGTCTTGCCCGGCAAGACCCCCGCAAATTCTCCTCGCGCTCTCTTCGCCATGTGGAAACTTTTCTCAGTCTCCACGGCGCCATCCCACCGGTCTTTCAACAGACTCAGTGGTGCTTCCGCTGAGCTGGACCGCTGTAGGAGTGTCAGCAGGTGTGCGCGACCCGCCCCTAGCAGGCGGAGATAGGTGCCAGTGTTGGGAAGAGACAAGAACAGGGTTGCGGCGCGAGCCTGGGCGTCGGATTGTACGGGTTTGCCTGTGACAGGGATTGACTCGCTTCGGCTGGGGGATGGACTCGACGTGGTTTTGGGCAAATTGGGTAGAGATGCGATGCTCAACGAGCCTTGTGTGAATGACGACGAGGACACCAGGAACCCGGCGCGTATCAGCGCCCTATACTCGTCTGGCGTAAAGACGCTCTGCGAGATGGCGGAGCTAGTGCCGATGCGATTGAGGATATCAACGAATTTCTCTGTGCATTGTCAGATCCGATGCCTACCGAGGACAACCAAACATACTCACCCTTGACTGAGGCACCCAACGCAGAGTTCCCCTGTACCAGCTCCTCCCAGTCCTCGGCCAGAACCAAGCAATCGCCTAGTCCCGCAGCGTCACCACCACGGCCAGGAACAATCAAGCGCCGGACCCGACCCGACTGAACCAACTCCACAATCTCCCGTTCGACCTGAGTCGGCGCATCGAGGAGGGTATGCACGTGGGCCACCGAGGCAAGGGGTGGCAGCGAGCGGCGCAGGTTGAGGACTTCGGCGATACGGGTGCTGTTCATGCCTGCTCGGGTGGGCAGCTCGTCGAACATGCCTGTCCGGATATACTGGATGGCTTGCACCACATTTTGGACCGGTGCTGTCTTGGAGATAAATTGTGAGCTGCCTTGGTCCGGCAGGGGTTCATCGACTCCCCAGTCAGCAGGCTTCACACCGGCCCCGCTGGAGGTGGGCTTGCGGCGGGCATGGGCAGCAAAGGGCGAGGAGCGGGCGCGAGCAGTAGAGGAACGTTTCTTAATACCAGAGACAGGAGCAGAAGTGAGACGCAGGGTCATGGCCTGGTGGTGATGAAATGGGGATGAGTGTAGGAGGAAAGTCGCATCGGATGCGGATAAACACGGGCGGGGGGCGGAAATTACCGTCACGGCCATTTATGATGATGGTCAGCATAACTAGCAAGGTTAGTTAACTAAACTTAGTTACGTGGTTATTATTCTTGTCTCCTGATTTCTTTCTGGTCTGGACTCACTGTAGCCGTCATCACTCCACTCGCTCTACTTTCCCATCATTGTTTGTTCAGGTAATTGTTCTAGCATCTTCCCTGCTTCCTCGATTGGCACATGACGTAGTTGTGAGAAAATGGCAGCGCTGAGCACCTCGAGTGAGTAAGCACCATTTATTCGCTCCCATTCCCCTCCGTTCTGTCCATCCGAGTTTGCGCTTCCCTTTCACGGCTGGGGCTATATTCGCCATGACCGTCTTCATCGCGTCGCTGTAAGTTGCATCCAGATCTTCCAATTGACCTGCCGAGGGTTGTTGATTGACCCCACGGAACTACACAACAGGTTCTTGCCATACACTGTCAATTTCCATGTCGCCAACTCGCGCAATCATCGCCCGTCGATAACCCCATCGGTGGCTGCTACAGCTCCTCCTACGGCCGCCAGACCCCCCGCCCAATCCGCCACTTCTCATCCCGCTGCAGGCGCCAGTTTGTTTGAGAAGAGCGATCCACCAGCACCGCCAGGTCTTACCCCCGGTGCAACCACTGATCATGAGCGCATCTTCACAGCTAGCCTTCACCAGGCCGAGAAGGAGAGCTCGGGATATCCATTTCCCGCAGTGAAAAACGAGGGAACCCCACTGCTCACCGAAAGCGAGGGCCATTCGCCGGCATGGGGTGCGACAACGTCACTTACCCAGCCAAAGCCACAGACAATCGTGTCTCCATCTCCCTCCATCTTGAAGCACCAGGACCCAATCGCTCCGGTGAAAGAGCCTGTGTCGCTCAGAGCGCCCGGGGCTGAGCTTGCACCACACCTAGCCTTGAAAAATTCCGCCCACCATAGTCGCAAAGAATCATTCTCCAAAGTAGACTGGACTGTGGAAACTGCGGAGCAAGGCAACGGTGGTCTGCGCAATGCGGTCCGCTCGGCAACGGACAATGGATATATAAACGATATGATGTGGGTGGGCACGTTGGGAATGCCGACAGACGCACTGTCACCGTACACGAAGACTTCCATTGCAGAGAAGCTGCAGGATCAGTATGGATCTGTGACGGTGTTTGTCAATGACGGTGATTTTGATGGTCACTACACCCATTTCTGCAAGACCATCCTCTGGCCGGTCTTCCACTACCAGATTCCTGACAACCCAAAGAGCAAGGCGTACGAGGATCATTCGTGGATCTACTATGTCAAGCTCAACCAGGCATTTGCAGATCGCATTGCCAGACAGTGGAAGCGAGGCGACTCCATCTGGGTGCAGGACTATCATCTCTTGTTAGTCCCCGCCATGCTCCGGAAGATGCTGCCCGATGCCCAGATCGGCTTCTTCTTGCATATCGCCTTCCCGTCATCCGAAGTCTTCAAGTGTCTGGCTCCACGCAAAGAACTCCTGGAGGGCATGCTGGGAGCCAACCTACTCGGGTTCCAGACTGACGAGTACTGCCGCCACTTCCTACAAACATGCAGTCGCATCCTGTGTGTGGAAGCTACCAACGAAGGCATTCAGATGGAGGACCGATTCATCAATGTGGGCACGTTTCCAATTGGCATCGATCCAACTTCCTGGGACAAGCGCCGCCAGGCTGCAGACGTGGAGCGCTGGGTCACGACAATCTCCAAACGATACCAAGGGAAGAGACTGATTGTCTCTCGTGACAAGATCGACTCGGTTCGGGGTATCCGCCAGAAGCTTCTGAGCTACGAATTGTTTCTCAACACCTACCCGGAATGGGCAGATCAAGTCGTTCTCATCCAGGTCGCAACCAGCACCACAGAACAGCCTGAGCTGGAAGCGACCGTCTCCGACATTGCCATGCGGATTAATTCCACTCATTCCACTCTCGCCCATCAACCGTTGGTTTTCCTCAAGCAAGATCTAGCCTTTCCGCAGTATCTCGCGCTCATCACCGTGGCGGACGCCCTCATGATTACCAGTCTCCGCGAGGGAATGAATTTAACCAGTCATGAGTTTGTTTACTGCCAGGATGGCCGCTACGGCGATAAAGCATACGGATCCTTGATCCTCAGTGAGTTCACGGGAAGCGCCTCGGTCTTTGGAAATGCTGCGCTTCTGGTCAACCCATGGGACTACCGACAGTGCTCAGCGGCTATCCACACCGCGCTGACCCGGGACCAGAAGAAACGCAAAGAGGTGTGGGACAAGCTGCATAGTGCCGTCCTGCAGAACTCGACCGGCAACTGGGTCAAGTCGTTCAGTGAGACCCTGGCTCGGGTGTGGAACGAACAGTCATCGCGGGAGATCATGGCCGTCCCTCGGCTGTCCCTTCCCCGGCTTGAGGAGCGGTACCGGCGTTCAAGACGTCGACTTATGATCGTCGACTACGAAGACACGCTCGCGTCGTGGGGGTCACCGCGCAGCATCATTCTCACCACGCCTCAGCGGGCGATCATCACCCTGACCGAGTTGACCGACGACCCTGCGAATGTTGTTTATGTGATGAGCGCACGCATGCCGGAGGAGATGGAACGCCTCTTCCGCGTGGTCCCCAACCTGGGACTCATCGCTGAGAACGGGTGTTTCGTGCGCGAGCCCAATGCCGACAAATGGACCGATCTCGCAGACAAGGCGCACATGATGGCTTGGAAGGACAGCGTTTCACACATTCTTTCCTACTTCCAGGAACGGTCCGAGGGCAGCTGGATTGAAGAGCGGCACTGCTCACTGGTGTTCCATCATGGATCCGTGCTGGACCGGACTGTCGCGGCGCGACTTGCCGCCGAGTGCGCGGGCAATATCAACGACGCTTGCGCCAGTCAGGGCGTACACGCCATCCCCGTGGGAGGGGCTCTGGTCGTCGAGTCCGTCCACACTAGCAAGGCCTCTGCGGCTGAACTGGTGTGGCGCCGCTGTCTCGAAGAGGACGGCGGAGATACCACCAAGCCAGACTTTCTGCTCGTAATAGGTGATAGCCGTGAAGACGAGCCTGTCTTCCGCTGGGCCAATAAGCTCGAGACGGCCAAGGCAGTTGACTATGCCATGACGGTGACTCTGGGGTCGCGAAATACGGATGCAAAGGCGACGCTGACGCAGGGAGTGACTGGTAGGTGTTCAGAGTGATTTACCGTTGGTCAGGAATGCTAATTGTAACTCCAGGTGTTCTGTCTTGCCTGCAACAACTGGCCAATCCAGAGGTGGTTACGGCCACGTTACCTGTGCGGTAATCGCTGCAGACAGTGGGATCGGTGCGAGTACGTGAAGACGATGATGCTAGAAACGAGATCGGGAGTTCTTGGGTATTGGGCTTTTGCGATGATTTGATTTCGGTTTTCTTCCACTGGTGTTTATTGAGGATAGGTTATACACGGACATACAGCAGAGTATATAGGTAGTTTGTAGTCTTCTCTCATACAAAAATTTCGGTTTCACGGTGATACTCTCTCCGATAAGATAAGAATGAATTCCGGGGATTCTCAACAACAGAATGACTGCCGAGGTTCACCGAGCATGCACCGAGGTGATCGTGATCATACGCGGAGAAGTTGAGAGCTTCAAATCATAATAATTCTCTTCTCTCACCACTTCACTTTTCGCTCTCTACCCTCTACCCACCATGTCGCCCTCTCTCAACTCCGTCTTCGAGGACGCCATCCGCGTTACTCCCCAAGGCTCCAACAAGTACGGAGCCTACCTGCACCCTGAGTGGTGCATCGGAACTGGTACCAACCACTACACGCTCTCCCCAATTCAGTCCACCAAACTAACAAACACCCACTAGTCCCCCATGGTGGCTACACAACAGCGGTTCTATACCGCCTTGCAACAACGCATTTCGCTCACGCCCATCCTAAACAATACTCCAGCCCCGCCAAGCCAATCTCGCTACAACTCTCCTTCCTCCGCCGCACCGCCTCCGGGGCCGCAATCTGCGAAGTCGAAGACGTCAAGCTGGGCCTGCGCACCAGCACCATCCACGTGAAACTGCTCCAGGAATCCGAGAAGCACAGGGGCACCTACGAAGTCAAAGTCGCGGGCTACATCACGGTCAGCCCGCCGGACGCGGAGGTGGGGATCAGCGCTGAAACGGGCTGGATTCCACACCCATCTGCGCCGCCTGGATCGGGGCCCAATGGGAAAATCGACTTCGCGGCCCTGTCGAAACGCGGCTCCGACGGCGCCTGGAAACTCCTCGAACCACCCTTCCCGGAATTCCGTCGCGCAGCCGCCCAGCTGGAGCTATATGGCCCTGGCAAAGGAGAAGCGCAGCAGCGGCGCACGGGGTCGATGGCTATAGACCAGTGGGCGCGCTTCCGGCCCGGCGGGGACACCAATGCGCGCTGGACCGATGCGGCGGTCGTGTATCTGCTCGACATGTTCCCCATGGCGCTGGACGGGTTCGATACCGTCTCTGCGACGGCAGCGGCTAAGGCGCAGGGCGCGGAAGTGTCTGGGAACATTGCGAAGTTCTGGTATCCGACTGTCACGCTCAATATCGATATGAAGAAGCATCTCCCTGCTGAGGGGGTTGAGTGGCTGTATAGCCGTATTGTGACGAAGGTGGTGCGCGATGGACGCACGGATCTGGATGTTACAGTGCTGGATCCAAATGGTGAGGTTATTGCGTTGAGTACACAGGTTGGACTGGTTGTTAGTGCCAGTCGGAATTTGGGGAGTAGGAAGGTGCAGCAGAAGCTGTAGTATGGGGTTGTTTACACTTGTATAGAGGATTGTTCGGAATAGAAACAAACCGGTTTATAGTGGTGTCTATACTGTGTACTGTATGTACTGTATGTAGTGTCTGTAGTATGTGCAGCACCTCAATCTTATATACATGAAGGGAAAAAATCATCTCTAATGCTCATCCCCCGCTCAAAGCTTAGTATCCGACGTAACAATCCAAAAAGCCATCGCATCGGCCTTCACCACCTTCCTCTTCGCCCACTCCAAATGACCGCCGGCACCCTCCTCATCCTCCTGCACCGCCTGAGCCCGAACCCAGAATTTCTTCCCCATGCGCCCAACAACTCTGCTCCGCACAACCAGCAGCGCCGGCGTAACCACCCGCTTCCGATACCGCACATCCAGCTGCACCGTAAAGGTCTTGCCGCGTGGGTTCTTCTCCACATCACTCTCGCTCTCGGCAGTCGTCGGCGCTGATGTAGCTGCCGCTAGAGAGCTAGAAGCATGAGCCGCAACAGCCAAGGACATCGCCTCATCAATCAGCGTCGCCACAATTCCTCCATGCACGGTAGCCGGATGACCAGATAGACCCGGCGACCCGAGATCAAAAATCATAATGATATCCGCCGGGTTGACGCCCGGCGTGGGCTTTGCGGCGTTCGCCGCATCCTCTTTCGTCGCGGGCAGCCATGTAGGAACCTCGTTTGGTACGGGGGTGAGTTGCGTTCGTTGCAATGTGACCAGATGCGGGATTGTCTGCGCTGTCCCGAGTGTTCCGGCGAAGAAGCCGTCTTCGCCGGTGCTGGGCTTGAAGCGCCGTGAGTCTGTCGGGATGGCGGTGTAGTCCGATGAGGAGATGAGGTTGTTGGCCCAGGGATTGGTGCGGAGGTGGGCGATTTCGGAGTCTGGGTCAGCCATTTTTGGGGGTCTGTGAGGAAGGCAGGAATGGGGAGGAGATCAATTGGGTTTCCCGCCTCTTTTTACGTTTTGTAGTAGTTCGTTCGGCCACTCGCTGCGTATTACCTCGGCCCATAGATCGGAGCGGTCACGTGTATTGAAGGTCACATGATGTGGTGTGCCCTGAGCCATCGATTAGTATAGATCGGATGGATTGGAAGTCAATTTGTCGATGTTGGATACGGTAGATTATTTGTGCCTGGATTGGTATATGTGAGGGCACGCGCATGTTCCTGGGACGAGTATGTATGCGCTCGGCGATGACAGCCGCAAGGAGGTGTTTATCCTGCCGATGAGGAATGGGCGAGGAATGTCAAGGAGTGCAAGTTGTTTTAGTGAGACAGGAAATTATACATAATCCCTGCGATCAGGCGAGTAATTCAGGATTAATCTCGAGAATGTATAGTGTTTCTGGCAGCGGAATAGGTGATAGTATAGCTAGTACGACCGGTAGAGGAAGTATGCGACACAGGGCGTTACCCTGGCAGATATGTGTAGTCCGCACAGGGAAGGTGCGACACTCCATTCCTGCCTCCTTGTTGTTGTTCTAGGTCGTTGCTCCTGCTTCTTCCTTTTCTTCCTCTTTCTCTTCTTTCTTTCTTCTTCCTTCTTCTTCTTCTTCTTCCTCCTCCTCCCACCGTCTTCCTTTCCCATCCCTCCATACTCTGCATCCATCTACCATCCACATCTGCATCCACTCCTTCTCCATATCCATCACCATGCGTTCTACCATCTTTGCTCTCTCTGCCCTGGTCGCCTCGACCGTGGGCCAGAACTCCACTGCCTCCTATAACACCCCGGCTGGCTTCAACATTGGCCTGGTCAAGACCGATGATCTGAGTATGCCCTGACCTTTTCCTCTTCTGTGCATCGCTGACCACCGATTCACAGACTCCTGGTGCCTGGGCCAGCGGAATACGTGCCCTGAAATCTGCAAAGGTGACACCAAGCAGAACTTCTGCGATCCTGTATGTGAATCCAACCAGAACTTTCACTCTGTTGCTGACTCCTCCTTCCAGGCCACTCTGAAGTACCAGTGCGTGTGCGGTGACGGTTCTGTTCCCGACGTTTCTTCCTACGTCGAGACTGTCCCCTTCTACGTCTGCCAGGCCACCTACGGCCAGTGCATCGACTCTCACCCCAATGACGCCGAGGGCCAGCGTGCTTGCAAGAAGGCCGCCAAGTGCGGCAGCAAGAACGCCAGTGCAACTGACACCACCGCTTCGTCCTCGGTTCTTGGCACGAGCACTCTGACCATGGCCACCTCCACCGGCTCCAGCAGCAGCAACAGCGCCAAGGGCGGATCTGTCTCCTCCGTGGCTGCTGCCAGCACCACCAGCAACGCTGCCGTGATGGACGGTCTGCAGCGCTACTCGACGGGCCTGCTCGCGGGTGCCATGTTCGTTGCCATGCGTCTGGTCCTGTAAGCCTTTCGGATGTGTCTTCCGTCTGGGTCATCTCGTGGTCCTTCCTTGTTCTATCCACTTATCTCCACGCGATGACGGTTTCGTGCTGGCTTTTTGAATCGATTCCCCCTCATCCCTTCTTCGAGTGCATGTCACTGAAGATGTTGCCCACATATCTATGAGCGAGGCCGCTTGTCTTTCCCTGTCTTGTTGTTTTTGCAGAGGTATTTGTCTACGCCTGATGACGTTGACTGAATTATTCTCTTAATCATAATATTTTTGAAATGCGTGGTAAAAGTCGTAGTTACTAAGTGTCATTGGTGTTGGTGGTGGTTGAGTCTCTCGCCAAGACTTTGGCACACACTGAAATTTCCCACTGATCGATACTCGGGCTCCACCGTCAAAGAAACACTCCTTCCTTCTTTCTCTCTCTCTCCCTCTCTCTCCTTTACTCTCACCCACCATCCACCCCATCATGCCCGCTCCGACCAACACCCTCCTCATCGAGGGCTCTTTCTCCGAGCTCGCCGAGGAGTTTGCCCAGTACATCGATGCTCTTCGCAAGCCCGAAGGCGCCACCCTCCAGTCTGAGATCGCCCCGCTCCTCCAACCTCTCCGCGAGCAGGAACAGTCCGAAAGCGAGCCCGATCTCAAGCAGCGCGATGAAGTCCTGAAGAAGCTTGTGTCGTCCGCGACGGCTTTGAATGGCGCCCCGGAGAAGGGTGAGTGTTGGATGCTTGGTCCCCCGCCGAACGACAGAAAAAAAGAAAAAGGAAGACTGACCATTTCAATTCAGAAATCACATCCTCCTACAACCTCCTCGTGCACCTCGTCCACCAGTCCTCCGACCCGGACGTGTTTCTCCCTCGCATCTGCACCTACCTCGCCAAACCCATCACCACCTCGCCGCAGTTCGGTCCCACCCTGGCCATCTCCATCCTCACCACCATCTTCAACACCCTGTCCACCAACGACTCGAGCCGCTACCACGTCCTGCTGGCAATTGTCGCCGTGATCCGGCAGTCCGGGTCCGGATATGCTTTTGAAGCACTGAAGCCGCAGCTGGCGAGCCAGCTGGAGACATGGCTAACAGCCTGGGAGCTGGACAACGAGGAGGCGCAGAAGTTGCACTTGGCAATCGCGGACGCCTCGACGGCCGCAGGCGATGACGAGCTGGCTCAGTCGCACGTCGTCAAAGCGTTGGAGACCATCCCCGCCGCGGAGGCTAGCCAGCCCGCGGCCCGCGAATTGGCAGTGCGCGCGCTCGCCTCGGCGCTGCGCCGTTCCACCGTCTTCGACTTCACTCCCCTGACGGCTTCGGATGCCGTGCAGGCCCTGCGCTCCAGCGACAGCACGCTCTTCGATCTCCTCGAGATCTTCACCTCCGACACCCTCGACGCCTACGAGGCCTTTGTCTCCGCCAACCCGCTCGCCTCGATCTCCAACGGCGTGCTCGCCGACGCCGGCACCGCCTTGCAGACCAAGATGCGTCTCCTCACTCTGACCTCGTTGGCCGCGTCCACCCCGTCGCGCTCCCTCCCCTACTCATCCATCGTCTCGGCGCTGCGCATTCCCGCCTCCGACGTCGAGATGTGGGTCATCGACACCATCCGCGCCGGCCTGGTCGAGGGCAAGCTCTCGCAGCTGAAGTCGGAGTTCCTCGTCCACCGCGCCACCTACCGCGTCTTCGGCGAGAAGCAGTGGGCCGAGGTGCAGGGCCGTCTGATGGTCTGGCGCCGCTCGCTCGAGGGCGTGCTGGACGTTGTCCGCTCCGAGAAGGAGCGCTTCGTCCGCGAGGGCATCCAGGCTGCTGCTGACCAGGAGGCGGCCGCGACCCAGGGCAAGTTCGGGGATAAGGCTCGTGCTGGTGGTGACAGGCGGCGGAATCCCCAGCAGCAGCAGTCGCAGCCACCAGCACAGGCACAACCGCGCGAGGTTGAGGCTAGTGCCGAGTAAGAAGGCGATTTCTGGTATGTGCATGGATGGTGTTTTTTTACGTGAAGAGAGAAAAAGAACCAAAAGCAAGGCCACTCGGAAGATTATTTTTTTTTGTAGAAAAGATGGATGTCCTTGTCCTGTCCGCGGTTGGGAAGTTGGTTATTTTGGGATCCCCACGAGTTCATGTCCTGTCTGTCTTGTTTATGCGTCCAAGAGGAACTACCCTTTTTGTCATATTTCCTTGCTGTTCCTTTTTTTTTACTTCTATAGGAGAATATCAATTCTTAGACTTGGACAGAGTTTCTATTAACTATAAATGGGCGAAGTTGGAGAGAACAAAAGAAAGTCTACATTCTATAGCAGATGTCCACGCAGCATAAATTGACAAATATACCACACCCACCTCACAGGGGTTGCAAACCGCGAGCCTCAATACCCGCCTTAACACCAGCATAGACCTCATCCACCGAGCCAGTCGCCTTCACCGTAACGACCTTATCCTGCTTCTCAAAAGCATGCACAACAGGCATGGAGGTCTCCACGAAAGTGCGGAACCGCTTCCGAATAGACTCAGCATTGTCGTCGTCGCGCCCACTCGTCTCGCCGCGCTTCAGCAAGCGTGCCTCCATGACCTCCTCGGGGCAATCAAGGAAAAGCACCAGCTCAGACGGACAAACAGTGTCCTCAAAGAAGACAGCCTGGTCCAGCTTGCGCGGGAACCCATCGATCAGGAACCGGGCCTTGTGGCCCTTTTCCGCGCCGGGGGCACTGCCCGCCGCGAGGCACTCGGCCATTGCGTTCGACAGCAGCTTCACCGTCACTTCCATCGGCACGATCTTGCCTTCCCGGATGTAGGTCTTGATCAGCTCGCCATACTGGCTTCCCTCGCGCACCTGCTCGGCCCGCAGCAGGTCGCCGGCGGATAAGTGCACGAAGCCGTAGTCCTTCTCTAGGTTGGCGGACTGCGTGCCCTTCCCGCTGCCTGGTCCGCCGAGGAAGAAGACCACTGCCACATCCGCGGTGGAGAAACGCGGGGTCGTGTTGGTGGAGGTTGTTGGCGGGGTGGGCTGCGAGGCCGGCAGGGCGGTGTTGGTGTCGACGGTGACGTTGGCCATTTTTTGTTATTTGTGTTGTGTTTTTGTGTGGGGGATGGACGGTGGTGAACCTAGTTCGATGATGATCGGGGGTTCTTGTTGGCTCCTGTGCGTGATTTGACTAGGAGGACGTAGGATCCTGAACCGAGGCCGATGATGGCGAGGATTGGGAGGATCTTGAAATGCGAGCGGTTGGTATGGGGGGAGTTCGAGGACGGAGGGGGTGGTGGTGGTGGCGGGCGAGATGGGGTGCTGTAGGCCCGGCGGGAGAGAGTGGTCAATTGGATTCGACCGGACAGGAAGTGAGATGCAGGGGCAGTCTGGCGGGCAGTAGAGAGGAACATGGCGAGAGGAGGGAAGAAAAGGAAGACCCCGTTTTTGGTGAGGCCAGAAGAAAGCGGGAGGATCGGGACGAATCCGGTTAGCGTGATTATGTAGTTATCTCTGTTGATTGGCATCACTTGTGTCCTTCTACTCTGGACTATCATCACTTCACCGCTGGCAACTACCTACTACAGGCGGGCAAATCCCCTCTGACAACATGCGATCTCGTGCGTGTATTCTTTACGTGCTCACCGATAGCAGCACAATCGGGCATCGGTGGCCTCCTCTCTGGTAGATCTCACCGCCGCCAAGAGCATGATTCCTATCATGCCTCGCTACACGGCCTACCTAGGTATCTACCTAAAGTTCACCGAGAGCTGCATTAATGATGCCACCCAACACAGATGAGATGCCATCCCGCGAGAGTGTCGGGGTGCTTAGTCGGCGACTGCTCTTTCCATCTGGATACACACGCATCTCTGTTGTTTGCTTCTCTCTCTCCTCATCATCTTTCTAAACATCACCTTCTACCAACATGGCTGATCGAGGTGTTCCTGTTGGTCCCGACGGGGATATTTTCTTTGATCCCAAACACCACAACCACCATCATGAGGAACACGCCGAGGGCGACTTTGAATACCTGGTGAACCTCAAGGCTCGTACTGCTTCTTCCAGTCAGCCCTGCTCCCCCCACTGCCTGGATGAGTACATCTGCGGCATCACCAGTCTCCCCAGCCCTGATGAGTGGGAGTGGTTCAAGAATTCGGATCTCGAGCACACCAAGCAAAACGAGATTGCTCGCTTCGCTGCTTCCGAAAGAGCCACTCTCTCCCCCGTCCTGCAGAAGCCAGCGACCCAGGATGGTGTCCTGACTCGAATGGACCTTACTCCCGAAAACCTGCCGTCCCTACTGCAGCTGCCCGGAGAGGTCCGCATGAAGATCTACAGCTACCTGTGGAACTCTTATCGTGTGTCCATCGAACGCAACACTTCCATAAGCCCCCGCTTCAAGCTCACCTACAACGAGCTCGGCAAACGCGATCCGAACACGCACCAGCTCTATCATGGTACCTCCTGCCGGGACCTGTTTACGACCGGGCTCATTTTCACCTGCAAGGGCATCTACCGGGAAACGCTGCAACTCCTCTACTCCAACACGCATTTTGTATTCTGCACCATACATAGTGCGCGTCGATTCCTCGAAACTGTCACCCCCGATGCAAAGGCGGCTATTAAGCACCTTGGGCTGCGAAACACGACGTACAACGAGCCCTTCCTTAATGAGCACCGCCCTTTCAAGAGACGGAGCGATCTCGCCTGGTCAAAGGTCTGCGAGCGCTTCGCCAGAGACTTGACCGCGCTGCAAACCCTTGATCTCGAGGCGACCATCCTTGGCTGGCCGCTCCCTCTGCGCGTGGACGGGTCGTGGTCTCGTCCGTATATGCACTTTTGTGGATTCCGCGAGACTGGACGCCTGACCTGGGTGAGCGTGAAGCTGAGGCTGACGAATGCGGTCACGTTGGATCCGGTTCCCTCATATGAGGCCCATCCCAGCTTGCTTCCGCAAATTGCGACCGAGCTGGAGAGTCGATTGATGACCAAGGAAGCTTTTCAGATTCGCCAGGATGCTCTACTCGCGGAGAAGCTGCAGACGGAGGAACCTCCGCTCAAGGCCAGGAAAGTCCTCCGCCTTGTGATCCCGCCGACCATTCGACACTCAACTGAACGCCCTTCTGTTTGACTGGAGGCCCACTGGAGAATAGGGGGGAAGATCCGCATTCTGTTGCTGTTGCGCTTGGAAACGCCTCATCATCGACGGTTTGTCTTTACAATTTCCTCAATGTTCAAAGAGAGACTCGATCGGGTTTACTGCTTAGGCAGTCCCTACTACTAGTTAACTAGTTACACACAATGATCATGCAATTACGAATTAGTTGCTAAGAAATTTTAGCTTCTTCCTTAGCAATTCTTGCCAAACTGTAGCTATTGTATCTATTTCTGAATAATGTGATCATTCACACACACACTTAGAACAAATACAAAACTACTTATTATTTGGTTAGCTAACTATGTCGGGTCGCCATTATATCATGATGAGTTAATGGAAGCTTCACACAATAAAAAAGATTGACCACTTGATTATGATCTTTCCAATTATTTCCTCCCAAGAACCTATTGTTGATTCCATTGAAATGTCAATGAATACATTGAATCTTCGGAACGGTGGCATCCTGGCCGGTCTTCCCTATTCAACCAGTGAATATGAATATCGGGGAGCAAAGCACTTCTGGAAAACCATTGATGCAGAAGTGAATCTACTCGACCATGATAAAACGGGAGACAGGAGTCAATATGTAATATTTACACATCTGCCCGAACAGAAGTTCCTGGAAGAGATTGACTCTGAGGAATTCAAATTTTTCGATTCCTATGATCCCGAATTCGAAATTCTTTTGCTCAAAATGCCTACCAAAGCTCATGAACTACTGAGCGAGGAGTTTGCCGCTGAGCTAATTGCAAAATTCGCCCTTGAGGGCATGAACGATGCTCGACGCGGGTTGTTTCAACTGGGACACGCCCGAGTCGACTTGCCTTCGCGGCGGAAGGAGCCCGACAAGTCGTATCAGCCAGAAACACTCCCGGCAGGCCGCACCGACCACTTCCCTTCGTTCATAATCGAGACAGGGTTTTCGGAGTCCCTGGGCAAGTTGCGCAACAATGCCACTTTGTGGGTGACCGAATCCAGTGGCGATGTGAAGATCGCTCTCCTCATGTCGACTAGTAAGAAAACGAAGGGCATCGTATTCGAAATCTTTCAGCCCGGCCACCACCGCTTCACCCGAGGGCACCCTGCCAGGGTAGTTGCCGAATTGAAACAAAAGGCAACCGTCAAGACCGACAAGGATGGCCAAGTCGTGGCCGATGGCCGTCTCAGAATCCCATTCGAGGATCTCTTCCTGCGGCGCCCTATCTCGCCGGAGAAAGATCTCATTTTCTCGGAGGGTGACTTGATCTTTATCGCAAGGAAGGTCTGGAGTTCTCAATTCTGAGGTATTCCGACATCATATCATAGAGAGATCCAGAGCATCATCTTGTTAGTATTGTATCAATCCCAGTATCGTTTACGCAGAGGGTATGTTTTCCAGAATTCCTATTCTATTTCATCTTGTTCTTTCCGTCTTCTTAATCCGAGCGGAAGATTACGTAGAGGGATTCGGTCTGCGCAAGGAGAACTCGGCTCAGGGATTAAAATGAGTAAAACGAACGAAGTGCATACAATATTAAGTCACAAAGTAGATAGGGACCGTCACTAGGCGTTGTAGTAGTGTAATATCTGTCTCCCACACCACCTTGTTTCTGTTAAATTAGGTTGTAGATAGATAGACTGTGGAGATTGTCTTCACAACTCAAATTTCTTTCTCTCCACTCCGTGTGGATCCCCAGAGAGAGCACATGAAGCAGGTATTGGTCCTCGTTATTTGAATCGTTCCGGAATAATTAAGATATATGATAGACTTTGTCATACCTTCCTTCCTATATCGTAGAGTTCCACGATTGTTGATCTACATAGAAAGAAGTATATCACCTAGTACTAGCCAATCAGAAACAGACAGTGACAGGCACTAAATATCAACGACGCAACAAACTAAATAAAGCACGAAGGTAGAACCCTTAGCCGACGCCCGTCAATACACAACATAGCCTCCTGCCATAAAAAGACCACCGCCACAAATAAACTCTACGGCCTGCAAGGTCGCCACTCTCGGCCCCCGCACAGACAATTAGGTAAAGGGGGAAGTCCGAGAATACGAGAACGTGGCTTAAATCTTATTATTAATTTTTTTTCCCATGAACTCTAAAACAATTACGTCGTGGTACGGAGGTGCTTTGGAGGTACTCCGGAGTCTATTATGACATGCCCTCCAAACAGAGGACTTGTTAAAATCTCATGATTCAAGGCACTGATTTGGAGGGCTTGTAGCCTGGTTCAAGAAAAGAGGGTGTAACTTTGGGAAAGCAGGAAATGACGGGGGGCCTAAAGAAGTGGTAACGAACGAACTAACCAACCAACGATCTTCTCCGAATCATCATAATGATCGTCGAGCTGCACAGCGAATAATAACCAACCAGGCCGGGTTCCTGTTTTCAGGCAGTAGTGTATCAATAATAGTCAGCGAGGGTACATTAATAATGTTGTTCAGTTCAGATGATTAATTATCCCAATAACCGGAATCCGAGCTCAAGGGGGTTGGTTATGTGTCCCTTCCTTACTAGGCGCAGATCAAAGGATCCAGATAGGCAGGATGCCAAGCTGAAACGGTTGTATGCATACCTAAGACAAGAGAGGTTACATTATTTTCGTTTAGCGGGCGGCCCCCAGAGATGATCTCGGAAATGCGCTGAAGAAACCCCCTGCGGGTGGATTATTGACATGGGTAACTACTGTAGGAACGTAATGGCGATAAGGCAGTTAGGTAAGATGTGCAACGAGTCCAATTCGATTATGCAGTATATACATGGAGTTGTCACGACGAAAAAATAAGAAGGAAAGACTCTTAAGAGGGTGTGTCAGAGAAGGACAGTATTATACAGGGACTGGAACTCTTTATGGTTCCTGTGGCCCCAAACAATCAAGAAACAACCCCAAAGAAGCAAAAAAGCATACAGTAGCAAAAACAACGCCAAATGGGGTATGATATGCATGAACGATCATGACCGACCTGACAGTATATACCCACACGCTCAGCTCCTCTGGGTTTTTCTTTCTTTTTTTAGGAGTGTTTTTGTGTCATAATTGTTGGGTCGGTGTTGGTACGTGGACCCCGAGGCAGTTGGACCCAATGTCGGCAGTTGTGAGGGCGAGGGGCGTGGCGATGGATGATGATAACGTGAGGACAATGACAACACGATGCGGATGCAAGAGAGCAGATGATGCAAGGGATGCTAAGTCATGCAGAGAGACGGGAAAAAAAGAATCACTCGGGGCGAGGCGATCTGGCTCCGTTATCCAGAGAGCGAGCCTCGTCTAGAGAAAAGGAGCGAGCATCATTCACAGCTCGGGCTTCATCCATGGGTAAGCCCTCATCGTTAGGGATGTGATGGTATGCACGATGACGGCGGTAGCGAACCATGCGCCAGGCACCGTAGAGCGCACCGCCCACAGAGCAGACCACCAGGATAAAGATCAAGAAGCCACCAACGCCCTTGATCACTTCGTAGGCCTTGTACACGGCCTTTGTGACCTGCTTAGCATCGGCGTACGTGCTGCCAGACTTGGCGCCGTCCGACATGCCATCCATGCCATCCATCCCGTCGGTGTCCGCGGCAGGCGAATTACCCACGTTGGCTTTGATGAGCTCTGGGTCATCGGGCGCGGGGTGGTCCGAGTGGCCCTGCCAGCCGGAGCTCTTCCAGTGATCAGGGGTCTCGGTGCGGTGCATCTTGGAAGTGCCCATCACCGTGCCGTTGAAATCGACCGCCTCCGCAGAGATCCAGTCCATAAAACCATCCACAATGTACATAGTCTCGAAATCAACCTTGTCGGCATAACCAATCAACACCTTGTCACCCCTGTCGTACGCCTGAGCGTAAAAGTTCCACCCGGCGACATCCGTAGCGCCGTTCCAGCTAGCGTATACGATGGTCGTCAGATCCTCGTCGTTAGTGCCGTAGACAGAAGACACCACGTCTGGCGGGGTCAGGGGCCGACCGATAAAGGGAAACTTGTAGGCACGGTACGTCGAGTAGCGAGTCGAGGCAAATCGGGCAGTTAGTAGGAGGTCGCCGTTAGGGGCATGCTCAGTATGGTAGCCTCGCTCACTCCAGCCGATAAAGACATTGTCGTTGGGGAGCAGCTGAACGTTACCACGCAGACGGGTCAGACCGCCGTCCGGGCGGTTGATGCGGCGAATGACCTTAGCTGACATGTCAGTCTCGTCAATCTCTACGACGAACGCGCAGGAGTGATCCTCGTCGTTGCCGCGCTCGGTGGATGCGTTGTTCATAAACGAGATGACGTGGTGTGTGCCGTTGGAAGAGACAAATTTGACGTCGTGCTGGAAGGAGAACGTGAAGTTGATTTCAAAATCGCTGTCCGCTCCACCTAGGCGCCAGATGATATGACCGTCCTTTCCGTCGATATAGTAGAGAGTGTTGGTATAACGCATCGAGATGATGTAGTTGCCAGCGTTGTTCTTATCGACGGCGTTGATGTGCACATAGTCTGATCCTGGCTTGCCAGCCGGAGCGTCCCAAGCGTGGTACATATTAGACTCGTGCAGGTTAACGCGGTCGAGGGAATCCCATTCATGAAGAACCTCAGATGTCGCGATATCGATTTCGACAAACCCGCCTGTCTGCAACCAAGTCTTCTCATTGGGCCGGTCGAAATCAGACAAGTCCTTCTCCTGCGACCGGTACGTGCAGGCCACCGCCGTCTTACCACCTGGCAAGATGTTGAACTCGTGCATATTGAAGGCAGCGAGGTTATTGGTCACACCGACCTCATTCTCGATTTCATAATGATGGTTCAACACCATGCCGCTCCCTGGCGTCGAACCTTCAAAATCACGCTGCCAGATGAACGACAGGCGCGGGTCGCCATCCATGTGCCAGACGGCCTTGAAATCGAACACGTTGAGGTTATCGGTCATGGGCGACCCAGCCCAGATAAGGATCTGTGGCACGATGTGTCAGTCAGTCGGTCCGACGTGGCGGAGAAGAAAAAAAGGGGAAACATACACCATCATTGTCGTAGATGTATGGCCCAATCTGATATTGTTCGTATCGCTTGGTCGGATGTTCGGGGTCGATCTGGCCATACGGCGCCACGAACCAGTAGCCTTCGGTCAAGCGTTCCCGGTCTTTGATTTCAGTTTCGAATTTCATTGCCCGCACGTCGGGAAGCTGGACACATAAATCAGATTCCTGCCAGGTCATGAAGAATGTTGGGCGCGGCCACTCACCGTCATGAACGACATCATGTCCGCATCATTGCGCTGTGCAACGGCATTATGCACGAAGGGCAATGACAACAATACGCTGAGAAACATCATGATGGCGGTTTGAATGAGTGGCTAGGAAGGAAAATCTTCCAAAACGTGTAAAAAAGGGAGATCAAGAGGCAAGGCAGGGGGGCCAAGAGTGGGTGGATTGTAGGAAGAGAATGAGCCCTACGCGGGGGCCGGTAGTAGACAAGGCGGCCTGTCGTCAGGAGGGAGGGGGAAGGAATGATAGGGGGGAGGGAGGGAAAGAGAGAGAGAAAACGAGAGGGATGGGGGCCTCGCGGCTGAGCTAGGGAGAGAAAAGGCTTGGACCAAAAGATAATCACACTCCGCCTCACCAGCCAAGTAAGAGCCAAAAAAAAAATTGGGGCAGACAGGCGACGATGCGAGGCGTCGCGGCCCCCGGCCGGCCCACGTAATTGGGGTGATAAGTATTTTGGACGGCTTGGCAATGTTTCGGGCAGTGGAGAAGAGGCGAAGCCCACTAGTTAGTGTTGAGGACTCTGCGAGAGCGGAGAGGCAGAGAGGAGCGAGAGTTCCTCTCGTATCGGTCGAGCGAATCACTCGCAAGCCGGGTTCCACAGCCGCTGCGCGTGGTTGGGCCGCTCCGTACCTGCGAGCCGGCCGGGACCCATCCGTCGCGTTTCGTGTTGACCACTCAGTCGGGCTAGCGCACTCTCAGGGGGGTGTGGGCGATGGCCAATAACAACGAGCGCTGAGAACGAGGACCGTCGCCCCAGCACACGCCGTCCCCTGGGACTGGCCACACAATGTGGAAATTCTGGAAAGTATTGAGTTCGCCACTGCGACTGTAGTGGAGCAGCCAGGGGGGTGGCCTTGGCACTTTTTCCGTGTTGGGATTAGAGAATCGGTAATCCACGCCAGCTTCTTCAGCGAAAAGGGGGTGTGTAAATGAGGATGTGCAGGGGGGAGAAAAGTGGCCGCGGAAAGCGAGCAAACGCAAATGGACTTGTGGAAAGGAGAGAAAAAGGCCAGTGTGTCAGAATGCATACCCGAATCAGGTGACCCGTCTCCTTACTTTACCCCGAGTGCTTAGCTGGTGTCGCCATCGGTCCACCCATTAAGCATCCGGCCGATGCCATCATTTCTGGGCATTCTGATCGAATCAATTCATATTAAGCTATGCACTAACTAACCAATTCCGCTACGTGTACGCCTTGCTGGTTAGCCCCTGGTCCACAGACACATCACAATGCATTATTCCGGCCAAAGAAACGACAATCCGGAGCGGGGCGGGATCCTTTGATAAAGAGACATCCGAAGTCCTTATCTGGTGAAGGGGGTAGAAGATGGTACCCATGCTGGAGCTACATGATGTTAGTTTGACAACAATTGAATGTTATACTAGCTAGCAAAATAGGGTTCTTACATTATTTCCGGGTCCCAATCGCTAGAGAACTCGATGAGCGCCCAGTCCATCGGAGTAGGAAGCCCAGCGCGCCGAATAGTTCTGGCTGGGCTCCTTCTGCCATATAACAGACCAGGTACAATATGGCCCTTGACAATTTGAGAAGGGAACTGCGCAACCCTATTCTTGCGGTGAGTGGCCAGTTGCATGAACCGGCATGGCGTAAAGAGTTCCGGCATTTTTATGCTGGATCCCCTCCCGGTAGAGCTTGCTCTTTCCGATAAATCTGATTTCACCCCCTTGAGTTTCTGTCTCCTCTTCAATGGCGCACAGACTCGGATAGTCGACGCCCTAGGTTCGCGGCATCTATATCCCCAATCGTCACTCCTTTCGGTCCACTACTTGAATCCTATATGAAGAAGAGTCAGTAAGTCTAACTGTCAACATGTGTCAACGAAAACATGTGCAGAATATACCGCTAAGCCAAAGGCAGAATCTCGGCTAAAGGTGATTTTCTGGTTGACACTAGCTTTAACGCAGTTACTATTGGGGGTACTTAGGATGCGAAACACCCTCCGGAACGTCCTCCCTGCTGGGGCGTCACACATTGCAAACACGTAATCCCAAGCATTTTCCAATTGCCTCTTCGCTACTGGAGCTCCAGAACCCCCCAAGACACTCATTGGTGTTCCTATCTGAGCCCCGAGAAGATTTGTCAATACTAGCCCACCAGCTATAACGAGCTTTCAAGGCATTTCTGTATAGCTCATCCTCGAGGAACTCGTCTGGGAAACGGCATTGTTCAGGATGCAGACGATTGCTTCGCGCAGGCTGTCCCAGTTCCTGGTTCTCCCTGTATTAATTATTCTAAGCACCGTTCGAGGGTTCTCCAGCGTGCCTAAACTCCTGCTGCGCAGTAGCAGCCTACGGTGCGGATTTTGTAGGCATTTAATGCTTCCATGAGGTCGTAATGCCGAAGATATGATGAACTGGGTGTGGTGGTTCCGGAGAATCGCGTTGATTTCTACATATATGGCGTCGTTGTCAATGAAGCGCTCCCACGTGGGGTGTTTTCGTGCATGAGCGATGCTTTGTACGGGATAGGAACAGAGATATGTCCATCAACGCGCAAGTCTTCCACGTAGAGTTTAGCAAGTTAGTTCTGCTGGTGTTTGCCCTGTTACAGTGGTCACTAAAAAGCGAGGAGACAGAACAAAATGGAATCCATCAATTAAAATAATCAATCAACCGGTACTGGCAGAACTCCTCGTGTTCTTCCGCTCCATCTGTCTATCTCAACCAGGCACTCAAGTTGCGACCAATTCGCTCACTATGTACCACTACTAACTACCCAACTACCGTGTGGTTCTGCTTCGCGTACGCCTTGACTGGCGGTTCGCTCGTAGCCCGCGGCTGATACGCCAGGATCTCTGCAACGGCCACTGAGAGAGATATATATTAGTCAACATGTTGCTATTAGAGGCAAAGAAAACGAGCAAAATGAAAGGAACCTACCCAATAGCAGCCCCTCGGTCCCCAACACATCATCCAGCCCCAGGGCCGGTGGCACTGCTTGCTGACACACGCTGGCGAGATCGATGCGGGCCAAATTAGCCGGCCCTTGGTGCGAGATTGCGTCAGCCGCCAGGGCCCACGCAAGTGGGTTGTACAGGACGCCCTCGTGGGTATAAAATCCGCCCGCGGGTTTGTCGGCGCAGACGGTCTGGAGGTGAGCATTGGTGACTCCGACGCCGCGCGCGTCGCGGAGGAAAGCCGATGCATTGCTGCCGCCGGACTGGGGCTCGACGATCTCATCGGAGCTGGAGTAGACCGTCGTGGTGGGGACGTAGGCCGAATCGCCGTCGTCGGCCCGCAGGACCTGAATGAACTGCGCGGTCCATTCCTGCTGGAAGATCGACGGCGTGCAGGCTGAATAGTCCAGTGCTGGGCAGAGGAAGTTCGCTTCCACGGTTCCATGGAAGTCGGGACTGATGGCTACGAAGTCGGCCACTACGGGCCGCGTCGAGGGCCAGTATTTCAGCGCCCATTGCGTGTCTAGCCCGCCCTGCGACCAGGAGATAACCCCCACCGACTGCCCGGCGCTGAGCGCGGAAATGTAATTGATGGCATACGCCACGTACTCGGCGTTCACCTGTGCATCTGAGAGTGATGCGCGCGGCATGTTCACCCACACTACATCGATGCCGGCGGAGCTGTTGGCCAGCTTGCTGAAACTATAGTAGTAGGTTGTTCCGGCCGGAATCGCCGTCCCGGGGACGAGGATGACCGGTGTGTTGCCATTGCGACCGAAGGAGAACGAGTCGGGGATGTGGATGGCCGCGCGGAGAGTACTCTCGGGAACCGAATACGGCGCATCGGCGGCGGCCTTGTTGGGGTAGATGTTCTGCTTGACGGCAGGGTTTGAATTGTTCCGTGAATTCAGCTCAGTGTCCAGGTATCCATTAAGGAACGACGCAATCTGGCTCGGAATGAGCCCGGCCGCCGTGATGGCGTTGGCTGCATCCACGATGCTGGACGCTCCCGACATGGCCTGTTTGATGCTCGATAAGGCCGACTGGTCGGACCCCGGCGTTGTTGAATCTGTGCCATGTTGGAGCTGAGAAACCAGGTCTGAAACCGACGCCGCTGTGTCTTCTCCGATCTCCAAGGGTTCGTTCGCGACGGTCGACAACACCTGGATGAGGTCGGGCGTGGCACGACGCGCGTGCTGGCTGGCGATGGCACCGCACGCGAGCCCTAGGCTAACAATGATACCAGCCTTCATAGTGACTGACCCAGCAGTTGAATCTCCTGGCTACATTTCAGCATTTTCGAGTCTGGATGTGGCAGCGATGTCCTCCAAACAACGGAGTACTTACCACCGGCTTCCCTTGGCGACTAGGTACCGACTCTAGCAATACCTACTGCATGGTGAAGAAAAGATTTTCAACAAACCCTTTCTTCCTCCGTATATAGTTAGCCCCCACCTCGGTCTCATGTGTTGACCGCGTGCCGATCCTTCTCCGGTGACTTCTCTTCCGGGGGATCGACGGAACTAGTCATGGCCTGGGACTACCCCAGCCGAGGAAATGTGCTCGAAAACAGGGCCATGCATGGGCTGCCATTATTATTATTGAAGCGTTTCCGAACTCTAACCAGGTCATCAAGTCAAATCACAAGCACTTCCGCCTCGGGTGCTAGGAACATGCGAATCCTGCGTGCGGGGAAGGGGTGCGAGCATAACGCAGGTACAGAGGCTCAAAAATCTGTCTTGATGATTAGATTGAGTATTAATCAAATGTCATATAACTTATACGGAGCATACCATAACTATACAACCGGATAATCAGCAACAAAAACGTGGCCTCCTAGTCGCTCCACTCGTTCTCCCCACAGATCGGCACGCGGGGTTCAACTGCCGGGAGCGGCAGGGTGGATGGATGTATACAGTGTCAACAGTGTGGCGGTGTCGCAGATGGATCTTTATCGGTCGCTGGTGATTTGTAGATGTATTTACTGACTCGGGGGCACAAGTAGGATGCGTTGGTGAATCAATTTCATAGATCTAGCCAGAATATATATTTTCATCCCGACAGCACACTTGACAAGAATGACTTCCATTACCGCTTTTCCAGCGTGCTAGGATTGTGCGCAACCCTATGCCCGTGCTGATCGATATAAATGACCTACTTCCTCCCATCAGTTGCTTGCATTCTGTTGTCCAGACCAACTAGACTCGCCTTGGGAGGATTGGCGACACCCTCTTCTCGCGCCCCAGCCTCATCCATCACGATCTTTTTGACCTATTCGGGTCAATAATAACGGCTACATTTTCACAAAACGGGACAGTACCTCTCCCTCGTGGCTTCCGCCGCGAAACTTAGTGTAGACGTAGTCACCCTCCATGATGGGTTCGCCGTTTTTATCCTGGACTCGTTCGACCGACATTTGTAGTTGCATGTAGTTGGCAAATTACTACAATTCACGGAGCATGGCTGATGATGTGAATCTTGCACACAGGTGATGTCATTCTCCAGCCCTATTGCAAACTCCTCCGGCGCATCGAAGTTCCAGAAATTTGCCCGAGATCCAGATCCGGGGAAGGATGAATCCTCCATTGACCCATGATTCTGCTGGAAGAGACTCCGACTACTACATACTATGTCACTACTGCCAAAAGAGACTACCGATACCACGTAATCAACGCCCGAAGCCAAGCCGGAGGCCCCGCGCAGTGGTTGCATAGAGACTTGATCCCCGGACCTAACCCTACTGAGGCCACACATGTTTCAGATGATTCTGATCCTGTGATGGCGACAGATCCGGGGTTCATGGCGATCCGAAGAAGCTATGGCCAGTCATTATAAAGACTGCAAGTCGATCGGCCGGACGGGCCACCGCTTTTTATGTCTCGCAACGGGATGGCACAGTTCCTGGATGGCAGAAAACCCCAATGGCAGAAAACTCCACATGTAACCGTCCCGGGCAACGCTAACGTTGCACTCAAGGGGGAGTCGTATCGAGTATGCGAGTGTTAGGCACCATACCACGCGAGGAATGAGCGAGGGATAATCTTCTTTACTTGCATAGTCCAGCGTAAATGGGAGAGAAAGAGCAGAGAAAACATGGAAAAAATTCAGATCACCGGCATAAACAAGGGTAGGTCCTGTAGGTACTAAGTAGTGCGACCGCCCCACCGGCAGAGAAGGTCACTCTCGTTCTTACCCACTGCCGCTGCGACGCCGACGGGCTTCAGAGTTGCACTTTCTGCCACAGCCTGCGGTGACACGCTCGGAATGGACCAATGCTGATCCATGCTTGGACGCGACTCTCGTCTCTGCCGCCGCTGAAACTCCTGGCCCCTACAACACACCATCACAAGTGGGGAGAGGCAAGAGAGACAAGATAATCTGTGAAAGCGACTCTATCCCACCGGTCCACCCTTGCGACTGTCACCTCACTCAACTACTTATTATCTTCACCCGATCCCCCCTGATTTCCTCTTTCGTTCACATTACACATGCCGTCGGACTGATTGTATCCCCTCCCCCACCCCCTCCGAAATAACTTGCGGCTCTCAACATCGCCCTCCCTCTCCCCCCTGATCGAGACCATGTCGGCTCCGCTGGTCAAGATCTTGCACCGACTGCAGGAGCTTTTCCACAATGTGGTGACTGCACTGGAAGCCATGATTCTCTTCCCGTCGCTTTTCCGTGGCTTCTCACGCCGGCGACGGAAGCCCTTCCTGGGCGCACACTGGCGCCGCCGTGCCCTCGATGACTTCGCCGATGAAGTCGATACCCTCTTCACCACACCTTTGTCCTCCACCCGCAAGATGGCCGACATGTCTGAGAAGATCCGCGCACAGTTCCGCCACTGCCTACAGTCGAGTCCGTACTGCATGCTGCCTTCCTACAACCACGCCCTGCCCACCGGGACCGAAAAGGGAACTTTCTTAGCGCTAGATGTGGGCGGATCGACATTCCGCGTGGCGTTGATTGAACTGAATGGCCGGGACGACGCGATGCGCATTGTGAAGGTGGCATCATCGTATATCGACAACATGGTCAAGTTGCTCGAAGGAACCCAGTTCTTTGACTGGATGGCCCAGCGCATTGATGAAATGCTGAGGGAAGTGGGCACCGACTACGGCCGTGGTGACGTGCCGCTGGCCATGGGCCTGTCCTGGTCCTTCCCGATTGAGCAGACCTCGGTCAACAGTGGGCTGGTGATCCATATGGGCAAAGGGTTCATGTGCTCGAACGGAACTCTGGGACAAGAACTCGGCGATCTGATCATCCGCTCCTGTCGCAAGCGCAGCCTCAACGTGTCGATGGCGGCTCTGGTCAACGACAGCTCCGCGGCACTCCTCTCGCGCGCCTACGTCGACCCCAAGACCCGCATGTCACTGATCTTGGGGACGGGTACCAACATGGCTATCCACTTCCCCGTGCATGAAATTGGCCGGTCCAAGTTCGGAGAGCGCCCAGACGGCTGGTTCGACCACGCCAAGCACGTTATTGTCAACAGCGAACTGAGCATGTTCGGTGGTGGCGTGTTGCCCATGACTCGGTGGGACGACATCCTAAACCGCACTCACCTGCGTCCCGACTACCAGCCACTCGAGTACATGATCACGGGCCGGTATCTGGGCGAAATCGTCCGCTTGATCATCGTGGAGGCCGTCGAAACCGCCGGACTATTCGGTGGCGAGCTGCCACATTCTATGCGCGAGGCGTATTCCTTGGATACTAGCATTGTCGCCTTCCTTGAAGAGGACTCTTCTACCTCGCTCGCTGCTTCGGCCGCCCTCCTCCAGAAAGAACACACCTTCCCATCCTATCCCTCCGTCGAAGACCTTCGGTTCCTGCGCCGGGTCTGCCAGCTCGTCTCGCGTCGCGCAGCGGCATACCTGGCTACAGGCATCCACAGCATGTGGTGCCTGCGCAACCAGGCCGAGTTCTCCACCACTTCCTCCCCCGCCTCCGAATCAGCCATCAAGGAGTCCCCAGAAGTCACCGTGGTTGAAAATGAAGACACCTCCAATAACCTCTCCATCGCCTGCGACGGCACCGTCATCAACAAGTACCCGGGCTTCCGTTCCACCTGCCAGAGCTACTTGGATCAGTTGACCGCGGAAACACACCCTGGCTGTGACGCATCCATCCAGCTGAACCCGGCGCCCGAAAGTGCCATCCTAGGTGCAGCGGTGGCCGTTGCAATCGCCGTGGCTGAGCAGCAGCAGAAATTGGTGCACGACCTCTAAATCGACATGAAGTGATGCATAACCACCTTGCGCATAGACCTTTTTCCTTTCCCTCTTCCTTTTTACTCCATCCATCTCGCATCTTTACCCTCTCCCGCCCTGGTCACCGGCGCATGATCTCTGATTCTCCCCTGGTCTCATTTTGCACATGCATCTTTCGCATCATTCCCCATGGATGGAAGGAACATTGGATGGATAAGTGGATGGCTGAACTCCCTGACAGGGGGTTCAACCACAAAAATGGGAGGGTTTCCCTACATTTTTCTTTTCTTGTTAATCTCGTCATTTTCTCCCATCAGCATTGCAACGGAGTTACTACCAAGTGTCTTTAAGATCGCTCGAACGATCGACCCATCTCTCTCGCATGGGATTGAGCTCAATCATGTTCTTTTCTTTCTTTCCTTTATTGATGTCATTTTCATTCATACAAGGCTCACACACCTAATGTGAGTTCGGTTTGCCATTCCGTCCTAGATGCTGGACGAACATGGATGGAGTTTCTGGCGCGCCAGTGGGCTGGCTGGTGGTTTTCGGTCTGGACAGTTGTGTGCTGTCAGCTGGCTTTTTCCTTTTTTCCTATGGTTTTATTGCTCTCTACGGGGCACTGTATGAATGAATGGGCCTGATTATCAGGATTTTTTTTTGGTTTGTTGGTGTAGAGCCTCGTCGCCGGCATGGCAGCCATGCTAGAAAGAAAAAGCCTTTGCCGTTTCTACTTTCTGTCTCTGTCTCGATAGGAATTTGCCTTGCTTGAGCTTTCATTCGGTTGATAAGAGGTAGATGGAATAGAGGAACATCTTCTCCCTGACCGTATCCACATCTATATCCATCTCCCTTTCTTGGACGTCTTGATCTGGTCAGTGTCCGGCAAGCTTGATGGTATTGTGTAGGGTAGCAACGTCGGACGGACTCGCTTCAGTCCTGCAGAAGGCCTAGTCAAGAAAGCGACTAGGTAGAAAACAGTAGACACAGCTTTGCTAAATACCGATCTTTGTTCCCATTCATCTCACGTATACTCCCAGAAAGGGGAAACGTGCCTTTGAGCTTGGTTTTTTGGGTTAGATGTGCCCGTGAACCCTGATAATTATTGCTCCAGTAACCGTCCCAGGATGGGAAGCGGGATGGATAGTTCACTGGTAGGGTACTGATCTCGATGTCACCTTGAACCAGGGTGTGTCACTCCATGCGTGGCAGGAGAAACCACATCTCAGGGCCTTGCTCATTGTATGGGAATGTGTGCTGCACCTCACCCCAAGGAGCAATGACCCCCATCTCGAGATCACGCTGTTTCTTTGGTTGCATTCCTAAGCCCAATCTGCAATACTAGGTAGGCGCATCAAGCGCCTCCTCAGGATTCTTACTCCTTGCACAGATCCTGCAGCAGCTCCAGCATGCGACGCTGCAAATCATGCAGCTCAGAAGCTGTCAGCTTCGCCTTGTCATCATTCACCGCTTCATCCCTCACAACTAGACCCTTCCCAAAGAACGGAATCCCCATCCCCCGCAACTCAGCGGCCATGGTTTCTGCCATCTGCACAGAGGCCTTGTACACCTTCTCGTCATAGTTCGTGAGCGCCGCACGGTCTTCGGCCACTGTAGATACTTCTTTCGGGTCCACGGGTGCGCCGATGGATCGACTATAAGAACTGTCAGTTATATTTCTGATTATGTTGACACAAAGAAAAGAGATGAAAAGAGGACGTACAGGACAGCGTCTAGCTCCTTCTTCTTCTCCCCCCGCGCGGCTTGTTTTGCGAGGAGTGCTTGGCGCCCTTTCCACCATTGCCGCTCGTGGGTATGTTGGCTTTGGATTAGTCCGCGGATGCGCAGCTGGGTCTCTTCATTTTGGCCTACGGTGCGCATCACATAGCGGAGGGCTGCGGGCCAGGTAGTTATTGTGGCTAGGTCGGTGGGTGGTGTGCGGGTGTGAGATGGTGGCTTGCCCTGGTCATGATGGTGCTGTTCTCGGGCAGCAGAATGTCCCGGCGGGGATTGAGCCTGTGCTGTCAAGTCGGAGAGAGTACGGAGGACCGAAGACAGGTCTGCAGCGTTGTAATTGTCCATGACATTTTCGGGTTGTGTTGGAGGAAGTAAGTGAGTGAGCAGTTAAGTACTTGGCTCCATCAGTCTTGGCGTGTCCCGTGCTGCCCGGGAAAATTTACCTCGTCAACCATTTCACCTCCTCCGTTGTTCTCCCCACACTTCAATCCAAGAACCTCAACCCTCCCATTCAGGCTCCCAAAGCCTAGCCTTGAGATCTTCTCCGCCTTCCACTCATCCTCGTCGCCATGTCCCGGTCCGCCGCAGACGCAACGCGGTTCACAGCGACGGGCCCCTACGCCAGCTCCAAGGCGAGCGGCAAGCCGTACAATCTCCCCGACTCCATTCAGCCCAAGAACACCGCCAAATCCGCGTCACAAAATGCAAATGCAGATGCACCCAACCAATCTACAGGCCCGGACGGGAAGCCCGAAACCCCCAGGGAGAAGGTCGAACGGCTGCGGGCCCAGGCGCGTGCGAACCGCATGGTGAAGGAGTCGCTCGTGGACCGCTGGGTTGCTTCGGGACAGAAAGTGGCGAATAAAGCGCACAAGGGGATGGTGTATACGTTAATTGCTGCAACGGGTGTGTATTTCCCGCCTGTCTTCCTTGTCCAAAACAGGCTTTTCCTTTTCTTGGTCTGTGTCTCGAGAGAGAACTACCTTGCTAACCATCTTCCAAAAAGGTGTTTGCGGCGTCCTAACAGTCTACTCAATGGTCTCATTGACGCTATACAACCGCCGCCAAAAGAAACTCTGGGTCGAACGCGAACTCGAATCTCTCAGGCAAGCGCGCATCGCCTGCGCGGCCGGCACGGCGACATCAGAGCAGATCGAGATGGTGAAGAACGAGGACATCGGTGCAATCTATAAACAGAAGAAGGAAGAGGAGAAGGCGCAGCGCCCGTGGAATAAGGCGAAGCGATTTCTTCTCGAGAGATTGAGTGGGGAGGAACAGGATTCTGGTGTGGTTGCTGCTGCTGTGGGTGCGACTACTTCTGCCGCCGCTGCTGCCGGGGAAGATGCCAGACAGACTGGTGCGGGTGTGATGGATGCTGTCAATGCAAAGAGGGCTAGTGATGCGGCGGCGTCGAAGACAAAGACCTTCGCGCCGGGCCAGTTGGATGTCATGGCTGAGAACGCGGAGCGCGCGGCCAAAGACTCGACAAAGGGATGGGTTAGCTGGCTGACGGGGCGGTAGACCTTTTGGCGGATGGTTTATCTCATTCATCTCGACTGACTGGCTGGTCGTGGATTACTTGCCTTTTTTTTGCATGGCATGCTGCGGATCTCACCGGTTTATACTGTGCGGCTTGCCTCCATCGTGCCAGGGGTTCTACGGCGTTTTTCTGTCCTTTCTTCTATCTTCTTCTGGGCTGTGTTCTCCATTTTTTTTTTGTCTCTCCCTGATCCAGTGAGTCCGAACAGGGCCTCCTGTATATCATATTATGTACAGTACATAGATCTAGCCCAACGAAGCACCGTGGTCTCACTCCTCAATACTCAATGTCTATCAGTAGTAAATCCATTGTTAATTATTGCAATCACGGCCTGGTCTGACCAATAAGAGAGAAAAAAGGGTCTGCCGGGTATGCGCTTTGCCCGAGACCACTGGCCCCTGCGCCGGTGGAGCAGCAGGACAGAAATCCTACTTAAGACTCGATCTGCCCTCGACAATCCTCAGTGGGTCAATTCTACTTTTTCACATTGCAAAACCACGTTCGGCAGAATCACTAACAGAAGGGAAATGGCAGAAAACAAGCCCCGATGCCATGCCAACGGGCACATACTCGCAAATAAACTAACTACAGGTATCTACTTCACCCTTCAGTCTTCACCAACAACTCAACTCAAGAACAAGAAAAAGACTTTTCTAATGGCCATTCGCACCATTGACCTTTGATTTCCGCGCCTCGCGACGCGCGCGCACACCGTCCGCCAGATCCTCGAGCACATCGACAGTCATTTCCCAGTTGATGCAGGCGTCGGTGATGCTGACGCCCTTGAGCAAGCCGGCCGCGCCCTCGGGGGGAACCTTCTGGTTCCCCTCGTAGATATTGGACTCGATCATGACACCAACGATGGCGGACTCGCCCTCGCGCAGCTGGTCGGAGACCTCCTTGGCGACGATGGGCTGGTTGAGATGATTCTTGCGCGAGTTGCCGTGCGAGCAGTCGACCATCAGCACCTCGCGCTGCTTCTTGGCGCGCAGGGCCTCGCGTGCGCCGCGGATGCTCTCGCGGTCATAGTTCGTGCCCTTGTTCCCGCCGCGCAGGATCACGAAACCGTGCTCGTTGCCTGCTGTCTTGGTGATCGCTGCCAGGCCCTGCTTGGTCACGCCGAGGAAGCGGTGCGGGTGCGCGGCGGCACCGATGGCGTCGATGGCGACGCCCAGGTTGCCGTCCGTGCCGTTCTTGTAGCCGATGGGGAAGCTCAGGCCCGAGGCCAGCTCGCGGTGCAGCTGGGACTCGGTGGTGCGGGCGCCGATGGCGCCCAGGGAGATCAGGTCAGCGAGGAACTGCGGCGAAATGGTGTCGAGCATCTCGGAGGCGATGGGCAGGCCCGTGCTGGTCAGGTCGGTGTACAGCTTGCGGGACACGCGCAGGCCCTTGTTAATGTTGTACGACTCGTCGATGTCCGGGTCGTTGATGAGGCCCTTCCAGCCGACCGTGGTCCGGGGCTTTTCGAGGTAGGCGCGCATGATGATGCACAGGTCCTTGGACAGTTTGTCCGCCACCTCCTTCAGCCGCCGGGCGTACTCGAGCGCCGTGTCGGGGTCGTGGATCGAGCAGGGCCCGACGACCACGAGTAATCGGTCATCGCGTTGCTCGATGATCTCGATGGCCTGATTCCGGCCGGAGCGCACGGCTTCTGTGGCACGGCTGGGCTGTTGTGGAATGTGCCTGTCAGTTTTTTTCTCTCTCTTTGGCGGGGTTGAAAATTCAGCATGACTCACGGCAGGAATCTCGGTCTGGAGGAACTGCGGCGACAGCAGCGGATCGTATCCGAGGACTACCTCGGACGGAGAGGTTAGTTGCAGGCGCAATTGACTGGTTTGGAGGGCGACTTACCGCGAGTGTCCTCGCTGACTTCGGTGGTGTTGACGAGGGGCATGGCGCAGGTGGGATGAATCTGGCGCAGTGAGTACCACGAGCACGCAACAGGACGAGGGAATCCCGTACCGAAAAACCAGAAACCCCGACAGACGAGTCGAGGAAGAAGCGACAATGGCAGATTGACTCACGGGAGAAAGTCGGAGAGAAATCAGAGCAGAAAAGGCGGAGTGGGTCAACCGGATGACTCCGACTTAAGTAGTTAATGTAGGCACTAGAGGATGTATGCAGGGGCAGCAATTATTGCCTATGGCATCGGAGAATCATCGCTAATAATAGGGAGCGGAATATCTGCAGCAATCAATAGGCCTCTAGCGGTGCGACCGGACGGCGTCGTACGCGGGACTATTCTGCTGTGCAAGACAATCAAGCACACTCTAGTTGCGGCCAGTATTATTGGGTACACCGAAATGTTGTGTAGTGCGTCCCGAGAGTGACGTTCGTCTCCGCCCTTGCTTCCCCATGATTTTCTTCCCTCCTGCATCTTCCTCCATGTTCGGCGTCAAGCGACCGAGAGAGCCCTCAGAGCCCGAGGGCCATGACTCCAAGGTCCGTCTATCCCTCTGTCGCTCATCCCTGTACTCACCCTCCCAGAAACACCGCCTGCGGCAACTTCCACAGTCCGCACTTCCCCCCGACCTCGATCAGTCCCTTCGCTTCCGGGCCCCCACCCTCACCCCGGTCGACTCGTCAGACGAGGAGATAGACGCTGATGGAGATGGAGAAGTTGCGCTTCCAAAAAACCTGGGGTCGGGTCCCCTGCCGACGCTACGGCTGAATCCCGCTCACCCCAATGGCGGGAAGCCTCCTTTATCCAACGGCGACGACCTCTCGCCCTGGCTGTCAAACGCGAACACCAGCAACAGCAGTGTCCTGCCTTCTCCCATCCCACACAATCTCGTCCACCAGTCGCTCAACCTCAGCGAGTCCGCCACCGCTCCCAGCCATGGCTACTTCCCGACCCCCCAATCCTACCCTGATAACCCCGAGCTCATGAGCTCGATGGAGGGCGTGGACTTTGACCAACTCCCCAAAATTGCACTCCGGCTCCCCAGCCCAATCAGCGAAGACGAGGACACCAGCGTGGCGGGCTGCCGGACCCCCAGCGACGTGGAGATGACCTACGACTCGACCTCGACGCCGCTGCCCTTTGCTGAAGCGGGCGGGCGGCCGTGGACAGATTCGCTCGTGATGCCGCAGGCGGGCCGGTTGTCTGCCTCGAACTCGCCGAAGCCCTCAGAGCTACCCCGGAAGAAGCCCGTGCTGGTGATGGGATACCGGGCGGACTGCGACAAGTGTCGGCGGAGGGTTCCGGGGCATTACAGCCACATCAAGCACGACAACTGAGATGAATACACTACGGTGATGACCCTGCATTCTTTTCTTGCGTCCCTGGTTAGCGTTGAGTTTTGCTTGGCGGCTAGACATATGGCCTCATTTTATGATATCCCCCGGTGGCTGGCGTTTTTTGTTTCCTCATTTCATGGTTTTGGCGTGGGAACGGAGGGTCGGGTACAAGGATGGAGTTAAAAGGGAGTTTTGAGAGCATCAATAATAACAGCATTAATCCAACCGTTCCGCCGCTGCGCAGTTCCGATGCGCATCCGAAAATGATGACATAAGCAGCTAGATCCGACGACTCGTCAAGACACGGAGAATAAAAGAGTAGTGATTTCTGGATCAATTACAGGATATTGTCCCGGAGCGTTCACCATATGTAGACCGGACAGTGGTGTCTGGTACCATTGACATCAAGAACCAAAATACCCGCCGGCGGGCGGGAGGCGGGAGTATCGCTTAGCCGATCACCATTGCCGGCCGACGGTAAGTCGCCATCCAGTGCGCTTCCGACCCCGGCATTTCTTATAAGACCATTCCGGGGTGCCTTTTTCTCATTTTTGGCCAGGCGTGTGCAATTCATTCCCCAGACATACCCTCACACAAACCGCCGACCATGGCATCCCCGATCCCGCGCGGCCTCAAGCAGGTCCTCCAAAAGTCCCCCAACGACATCGTGATCCTCTCCTCGCTGCGCACACCGGTAACCCGCGCCAAGAAGGGCGGTTTCAAGGATTCCTACCCCGAGGAGCTGCTGTCCCACGTGCTGCGCGCCACCCTCAAAGCCAACCCGAACCTCGACCCAGCCCTGATCGACGATGTGACTATCGGCTCCGTCCTACAAGAGCTGGGCGGCGCAAAGGCCGGCCGCATGGCCCAGATCCACGCCGGCTTCCCACACTCCGTCCCCTTCAACACGGTTAACCGCCAATGCTCGTCCGGCCTGGCGGCCATCACGCAAGTGGCGAATAGCATCCGCGCCGGCGCGATCAACGTCGGCGTCGGCGGCGGCATGGAGTCCATGACCCGCAACTACGGCTCGCGCGCCATTCCCACCGTCCTCTGGCCCGTTCTGAAGGAGTCGCCCTCCCAGGACGCCCGCGACTGCATCATGCCCATGGGACTCACGTCTGAGAACGTGGCCGAGCGGTACGGCGTCTCGCGCGCTGACCAGGATGCCTTCGCGGCGGACTCGCACAACAAGGCTTCCGCCGCGCAATCCGCCGGAAAGTTCGATTCCGAGATCGTCCCCGTCACGACCAAGTCCCTGGACCCCGAGCAACCCGACGCCCCGGCCAAGGATGTGACGGTCAGCGCGGACGACGGCATCCGGCACAACATCTCCGTCGAGAAGATGGCCTCGCTCAAGCCCGCGTTCAAGGAGAACGGCGCTAGCACAGCGGGCAATAGCTCGCAGGTGAGCGACGGCGCCGCCGCCGCGCTGCTGATGCGCCGGTCTACCGCCGACGCGCTCGGCCTGTCGGGCAACATCAAGGCCCGCTGGGTCGCCACCGCCGTGGCGGGGTGTGCGCCGGACGAGATGGGCGTTGGCCCTGCCGTGGCTATTCCCAAGCTCCTGGAGAGTGTCGGTGTCACGGTCCCCGAGGTGGGCGTGTGGGAAATCAACGAGGCCTTCGCCTCGCAGGCGCTGTATAGTATCCGCAAGCTGGGCATCGACCAGGCCAAGGTGAACCCTAACGGTGGCGCCATCGCTATCGGGCATCCTCTTGGCGCGACTGGTGCTCGCCAGCTGGCTACTCTGTTGCCGGAGATGGAGCGCAGTGGTCAGCAGGTTGGCGTTGTTAGCATGTGCATTGGTACGGGTATGGGTATGGCGGGTATGTTTGTTCGGGAGTAAGATTTCCGTTGGGTTCTTTAGTGTAATTGATATAGCGGTGCATGTATATACCTGAGTACATAAATGGCATTCAGCCGTGTTCTTCCCCTGAGCTAACATGCTGGATTGGTTGGAAGTAGTGTCAATCATGCATTATCACTTTTCAGGTGGGTCCACTAGACGCACTGCATCCTGTGCCGCATCACGCGGTATGAGTTACATAGTAGATTAGGACCTATCTCCGAGAATCAATTAGATGGTCAACATTCTAGACAGAATTTTATTAACAAGACAAATCCCCTAATCCTAGGGTAGGTATATACGGACAACATTTACAAATATTTACATCAAAATTGTCACAACATGATCAACTAAGCAACTACTATCTTCTGTTTTTTTATGCATTTCATGACATAAAATTCACGCGGAAACATCATTCCTTGTCAGTCCCAGGTCTGAACCGATCTGTTTGAAATCTCAAAGCTGCGCCGAATGCTGTTGATTACACAAAATCTATATAGATTTAGAAAATTCGTCCTTGAACTCTGCACATCTTTAGCAAATGATGCTCTTGGCTAGCTCCAGATGCTGTTACTTTACAAATTCACCTTCAGAAATTTCACCTTTCTGTCGTTTGTGCGAAGGACTCAATCCAGGAAGAAGAAAACAATCGCTCGATTCAACTAGCTAGGCAGCTGTCAACCAGAATAATCAACATGAGGAGAAGAGAGAAGGAAAGAAGAAGAATAGGAAGAGGTGTAGCCTAATATATAGGTGCAGACAAACACAAACACAAACACAAAGACGGAGTTTCCCTGTATGTGCGGTCAAATCTTGACAGTTTGCTCAAACTTGAAAAATCTAGGACTGCTAAAACGTTTCACTATCTCACATCTTTCCGCTCCCACATACTCTGAGTCTCCCCTCTACTTTTCTCTCCATCAACTTTAGCTTGCTGACTTGGTTCTCTCTGCCTTGATCAAATCTCCCCATTTGTCCCTTTTCTTTGCATTAGCCATTTACTGGCTATTTTGTGTCTCTGATACCCATTTCCCGATTTTGTTACAATGAAGACGCCGTACAAGAGCTGCACTTGTCGGGCAGAGGGATACGATGAGTGTGTATGCCGTTTCTGCTGGAAATGCGGATCTCTGGGTCATACAAGAGATGAATGCAACGGAAGACGCTCACGGAGAAAATATCCCCAAAGAGGCATGCTGCAAAGCAAAACAAAGTTTGTCGATGGAGACGGAGGAGTGCTTGTGCAGGCTACAGTTGAGGTGAGGGATAAGTACCTGTGCTACTGATGTATTGTCTATTTACTAAGAGATCTTTTCCTAGGGCAAGTCTTTCCCGGAGAAAAACAGAAATCACATACCGAAAGAAGGAACAGTCGAGGAAACATCCAGCGCACGAGAAAGCTTGGCAAATATAACTTGTGTTGGAGCCGAGCTCCCGAAACTCGGCCCCATCGATCGAGTTTCGATTCTCACATCCCTCATTTCGAATGTCGGAGCCAAAACGAGAGAGCGGTATTCGTATGCACTCGATACGTACGACATCGCCAATATTCTCGACGAGAGCTTGAATCCAGTCGTTAAGGTCATTTGCGTGGAAGGTAGGTTTGACTTAGACAGGTAGGTCTTCTCGGGCATAGTAGTTAATCTACGGTTTGCTGACTAGGACTTCCAGCCTGATAAAAATTGGGCAAGAGCCAGAAACTTCTGCCGATGGTGGGATTTATCTCCACATTTTGTGGAAGGAAAGCGAACGGACAACTTTCTGGCTATACATTGGCCAAGCGTCGAAGTTCTGCGACAGAATTCAAAAACATAATGATCCCCGGTTTCGCCACAGAAATCCGTCTCTGCATTACAAGGTGTGGGATTCAGCAAAGGAAATGAAGTCAAAGTTCGTCATTCTAGCGACCCTCACTCCGCCTGAATGCCCCCAAACCCAGCTCATTTTCAACCTGGGCGAGATGTGGTTATGCCTTGTTTTTCAAACCTTACCGGAACTTCAGATGGGCCAGTGGTTGCCGGAAGATGTGAAGACCCTGTGGTCTGGCCACCATCTTAATGTCGCGCTGCCACTATGGCAAGGATTCACAAACACGACGGAGAATCAGGCCATCAGAGAGGCAACTGGTGGAAGAATTGCCTTTCAACAATATCTGTTGTCTGAGGATTCCTTAGTTCGAGAATGGGCAGAGCATGCGAGAGATGCGTTCAACGACGTTCGGAACTCGCCCAACCCCATCATACGAAAATATTGGTGGGAGCTTTACCAGCAGCGGCGCCTAAAGTCCCAGGAGACATGGGGTACAAAAAAGGCTGACAGGGCCAAAGAGCTTCTTGCTGGGGCAAAGGCGACTGTTAAAGTTTCCCATCACGGCGAAATGACTGAGGTCATGGGTGGTATGTTCAGATTTACTGTGGCAAGAAGCCTCGGGCTTCATCTCCGCCACGGCGATGAAGTCACTCTCCAATATCATATGGCGGCAACACGACACCCGCATCCTTATGCCAATAAATCACTACCTACAGACCCTGCATGTCGTCTAGGGATTTCTATTCGTGGGAGGGACATGAATGGAGAGTTTCAACGTTGGCTGCATACCAACGGAGAGTTAAATGTCAGGAAAATGAATTCTCTTGTCGACGTTTTGGAAGGGTATTCTCTAGGGGAAATCAAGGAGTTCAAGAGGCGTTGGCATGTCAACAAAAGCCGAGTTGAAGTGAACGAGAAAACATTGCGAAGGCATGTGTACACCTGAGTTTGCCGTTGATCTAATTCTATTGTTTGACTTTTTGCCCTTGAGCGCTTATTGAGATTTTGCACATTTATGATGCTCTTGATTCTCTGGGTTTGGAAACGGATTTTAAGATGGAGAATCGTTATGGATATCGTAGGGGTATATACCTGAGTACGTAAATGGCATTCACTGCGTTATTTCAAAAATGAAAGCTGCTCTGTCAATCACTCGGCGCCTCTCTGTATGGCAGATGGTAAACCTTTGCACTTTTTGTTTTATAGCAGGATCCGGCCCGGTACATGTTCTGCCTTTATCCCAGGCAACGTGCAGAGAATATATATCCACGACTCCCACTCCTTCCTCCTTTCCACAAACAACCAAACAAAGCTAATACTTGAACTCCTCGCCTACCAATTTTTCGCTCAACTGCCACAATCTCTCAGCCTCGAGGGAGTTTGTGGCCCACGACTTCACGGTATCAGACAGGGGGTCTGCCACCCGGGCATCAATGAGATAGGCGCCGTTATTAGCTAATAGCCAAAAGCAGGTTAGCAAATGTGGTGGTTGATATCTAGATCAGCAAACACAAACCTTTGAGATTTGGGTCAAACGAAGCAAAGACATGAGTGGCTACGCCCTGATCTGGTGTTATGAAAGTAAGCTCTTTCCAGCCTTCTGCATTGCCCAATGACTTGTCCGTAGATTCTATAAACTGCTAGTTAGGACGGCAAATAGGAAACGAACAAAGTCACTAACGAAGAAGACCAAGATCAACGCTCCAGTCTAGATGGTTGCCTAGATTGGTTCCGATGACGCCTGGATGTAAGCTGAATGCGAGGAGCCCGTGTTTGACACCTAGTTTTGAGGCGAGCGAAAGTGCCAGCAGCATGTTGGCTGTCTTGGATTGGCCATATGCGACCCATTTATTGTATGTTTTGCCGTCCTGATAAATAACCGTAATCAGCCGATTACTTCAGTGAATGGGGAAGATGCTCTAATTTGCATAGACAGAATGTGCGTCAATTACCTCGAAATTAGGGTCCGCGAAGCGGATAGGACTTAGGCGGTGCCCGTCACTGCTGACATTCACGACACGAGGACTTTCTGACTTGAGGATCTTGTCCATGATCATATTTGTGAACAAGAAGGGAGCAAGATGGTTGGTAGCCAGTTGCTTCTCAACCCCATCGACCGATAGCCCGTATTCCACCGCCATGATGCCGGCATTGTTAACCAACACATCAATAGCGGGAATGTCTGTCCAGCTATTGACCTGGTCTGCAGCGGCGCGCACGCTCTGCAGTGAATTAAGGTCCATTTTCAGCATGCGCACTTTGGTCTCTGGGCTGATGGCCTGGATCTCTCCCTTGCACTCCTCAAGCTTGGTGTCATTCCGGCCTGCTAGAATCAGACAGGCTGGCTGGGCTTTTGCTAGGCTTTGTACAAAATAGCCGCCTAGGGACCCGGGAGATACACCCGTTGTTAAAATGGTTTTGTTTTTTATTAGAGCTGCGTAGGAGGTGACTAGCTCGCTGGCTGTTTTCATTGTAGCGGTGTTTAGTGATGAGATGATGGTGGAAGAAGTTGTCTTGATGAGAAGTGCGGAATTTCTAGATGATGAGACTTAATTTCAATGTTTCTACCGCATTCGCAGACAGTTAAGCTAGAGGGATAACTATTGCGGACCTAGCGCTTATCGCCTAACACCGAAATTTACTTTCCTACTACATAGGACTAGGGAGTCACCGAGGCGTGATAGGAGAGGGCTCCAATGTGAAATTAGTGGGGAATACTATATAGTAGCTTAGTAATGTGTACGAATTCTTGCTCTTATGACCTCATCAAGAGCGGAATTTCTAGATGATGAGACTTAATTTCAATGTTTCTACCGCATTCGCTAACAGTTAAGCTAGAGGGATGACTATTGCGGACCTAGCGCTTATCGCCTAACACCGAAATTTACTTTCCTACTACATAGGACTAGGGAGTCACCGAGGCGTGACAGGAGAGGGCTCTAATATGAAATCAGTGTGGAATACTGTACAGTAGCTTGGTGATGTGTACGAATTCTTGCTCTCATGACCGCTGGTCATGACCAAGCGTCCTCGCTAGTTGTCTACATGGGGGGTTGCTTTAATTTTACGAAAATAATGACCAAAAACATATTTGAGGTGAAAGCGAAGAGGAAGATTAAAAAAAAAAAGGTAGGATAGCATGTCCTGGTTTCGATCCAGGGACCTGGTTGCGGAGTTAATGTTTGTTCGATTTATTTTTGGAGAAGTGGATCGTACCTCCGGGTTATGAGCCCGGCGCTCTTCCCCTGAGCTAACATGCTGGGATGGGTTAAATTTGTTCCAAAGATGGCATCAGGTCCCTTTCTATCGAAGTCTTGTTGTGGACCCGGGGGGACATCCAGGCATGTGGGCCACCTACACACGATATTATGCACGTACTTGAATCTAGATCGGAGACCATTCTATGCACCCAAAGCCTTTTGTAATCGATATATTGGGTAAGTCCCCTAACCTCCTCATGTCAAGATTGTCCACAGCAGTCCTGACGGATACCGAGTTTTCAAACATACTTTTTACACATAGAATGTGACGACCTGTGAAATTGACGCAGGAAATGACCGCTTCTGAGGACAGAAATGGCCTGCCTTTCCGCCCCGTAGCTTCTCACGGCAAGCCGACGCTTGACTGCTCACCACCAACCTGAGTAGCACCACTATTCTGCACCCGCCAAGCATTGATAGATGTTGGCGCTCAACCTCAACAAGTTGTTCTCCCCGTTTCCACTGGCGACCAAAACAACGCCGAAAATGGCTCCCCCATGACCGATGAGTTTGTGAAATGATGGTCACTGTAGAACTCAACGTCCCATGGGTTCACATCGATATCAAACCCCCCTTCTTCAATGTCAATTATGTGGAGTGGCGCAGACCAAACTGATTTGGCCGATAATAGAGTCAAAATGATTGCTCTGGACGACATCATTTTGAAGTAATTGCCGAAGAAGAGGTCTGAAAGCGTTGAAGACTTCCAAAGTCATGGGCGCTACGACAAGGGCCTCGTTTTCTCTTGGCTAGTAAAAGTGATTTGTCAGTCTAGTCTCCCGCAGGAATGTACAAATAAAAGAGGCAATCTCCGGTGGCTTCCTACCTCAAGCAGACCACCCGGTGGGATGCTTTCTACATTTTCCGTCGACATGCTATTTATGGAGCCACGAGCAAACGTCTGTTCATGTCCGAGAAGCAGCACACCTTAAGTATAAGCACTTTTAACGTACTCCGGTCAGGTAAGGCGGTCAGGGAACAGGTGGGGCTTCGTTTTAAGGAGGATAACGGGCAAAGATGACGAGAATTCAGGAGAGAATAGCTGACCAGGGGAAGCATATTTATAAGAATACAGATTAGTTAACTAACGTAATCCACATGCGAGTTGGACACCCGAAAATACCGTAGGAAATCATAGATGCGATGATTACCCTATGTCACTACCTTATGTATGAGCGGGGTAGTTAATTTTAGCCGCCTCTAGGCAACTAGCCAACTAACCTCACTATTCGATTACTTTACTTCAAGAATGACCACCTTAAAGCAATATATGTATTACACCATTTCCCCGCATACCTGGTTTGCCAGGTGTACTAGGGATTGCACATTACCGAGGAGCGTGGGTAACTACGCATATTGTGATATTTTAGGCTAATTCTTGTCAATGCACAGTTTGCTTCTCTAGTCAAGAGAAAGGTGGTCAAACGGCACATTATGCGTGCCTTGGGTCTTGACCTCATGATTCTTGGAGAAGAATCTGAGACCCGACGATATCGATGATGCGGCACCTGGTGATATGTATGATCCAGCGCCTGGCTATGACAAAATGGGTGAATTCGGTCCGTCTTCTCTAGATGTGGCACCGGCAGCATATAATGGCCAGGTTGAGTGCAACTGTTGGGAGCCGATTGATAGTCTCACTCAAACTCCTCAATTCCTACAGTCCGACCGGAAGTCTGCAAATAAAGATCAGGTGAAAATCGCGTTGTGCATTTTGGACTATTTGAAGAGTGCAGGTGTATCGCCTGCTGATCCGCCTTCTGACCCCTATCTCAATTGCGCACCAACTGGTAATCCTGCCGTGAGTTACAATACCACAAAATATTTGAAATCATAATAACTATCCCAGGGGTGGCTGAGGCGGATTATCAGCAATGCTTGGTGGTCAATGGAAGAAGTCAACGACACTCTATTCATCCACAGCAGGCATCAATATAAATACGATGTCACTAATTCATTTCCATCATCCATTTGCTGCATCCGTTTTAACTGCCGTATGAGCCACTTCGAAGAAGTGATAAGCACATACGACCACAGGGTGTGGAGAACAGGGCTTCCCGTCCGCTCAGCCGTACTTAAGCCACACGCCGGTCAGTTAGTAGTTGGGTGGGTGACCACCAGCGAATCCTGACTGTTGTATGTTTTTGTTTTTGTTGGCGATGCTGGTCCACAGGACTGTACGCCATCGTTGAATGCATTCACGCTGCAGCAGGAAAAACGTTGAGATTTTCCGATATCTCAAGACCATTTTGATGAGCACGACTGGAACATCTTTCATTATACAATCCAGATCCTCCTCTCAATGCCACCACATCCCAACATTTTATCCCCTCCGCAGGTCCTCGCCGTAGCCGGATATCCCGCAGATAAAGGTCGAGCTCATTGGCTCAAAGAGGTCAGTCCAGAAGGTACTTTATATGAAGATTTTATCAAGATTTGGTTAAAAAGCCTTGTTACTTTCGTTAAACCCACCAATAGCCCAGCGGATTTCCTCAACCTGACACATAAACATTAACCTGAAGAATATCGTTGTAACTTCAGATATATTACAGCATTGTATTGCCATTGAGCCTTGTTTTTGGTGAAAACCGGCGTCCTTAAAATAGTGTGAACCGAGGAGGGGTCTATCAGTCTAGACGGCCTCGGCCCTTTTCAAGGAAACGTATCTTAACACGACGTCCTATACCGCGTTACCCGTACTATATATATTGGTCTCGGTCACTCGGGTCATCTCGCCTCTTACCTTCCCACTATAAAGCATCCTACCGAAACAGAAGCCTAATAATGCTAAACCGTCCCTAAAGACACCCTAAAAGTTGGTAATATGATGATTAGGAGTTGTTGTGAGGCGGTGCTGGGTGTCACGGCTGGCGGGAACACGTGCGGTAGGAGCAAAAATGTTGTATTAGACGCTACCTTTTTTTTTTTTTTTTTTGCTGCCTACTTGTTCGAAGAGTTTTAATAACGTAATCTAGAATTCTGGATCATAGCAAGTATGAAAATATATTCGAAGAAGAAGGAAAAAAAAAGGTAGGATAGCATGTCCTGGTTTCGATCCAGGGACCTGGTTGCGGAGTTAATGTTTGTTCGATTTATTTTTGGAGAAGTGGATCGTACCTCCGGGTTATGAGCCCGGCGCTCTTCCCCCTGAGCTAACATGCTGAGATGGATGCAAGAACGTTCCCTACTTTGCAACATGATCGGCCGCACACAAATGTACAGAATTGTCATGATAAACACCTCCCTTTTGGTTCCCCACATCTCGGGCCATACTTCTGATCCCGAAAATAGTCGACAATTGTCCCAAACTGATAACTCATATATCTCTGCCCATCTCTGCAAAGCACCCATACAAACCATGGCTGCTCCGACACCCCCCTCTGTCACCCTGGCCCAAGGTCAGGTAGTGGGCATACAACTTGAAAATCAGACTGTAGACTCCTTCCTGGGAATCCCATATGCCCTTCCTCCCGTGGGAGACTTGCGCTTCAAACCCGCTGTTCCGGTTCCTCAATCAACAGATACGATTGATGCGTCCAAATACGGCCCCGCAGCCCCAGGCAAAGCATTACTTCCAGGCGGACCAAAGCTGGAACAAAGCGAAGACTGCTTGACTGCGAACGTGTTCCGACCTGCCGGAACTGATGACGCAGCAAAACTCCCCGTGGCGATCTACATCCATGGCGGCGCCTTCAATCGCGGTGCGGCTGCGATGCATAACACTGCGTCTATGGTGGCATGGTCTGAAGATCCCTTTATCGCTGTAAGCTTTGGTTACCGTATTGGAGCTCTGGGGTTTTTGCCTTCTACTTTGAGTCAGAAGGAGGGCCTTCTCAACCTCGGCTTGCGCGATCAAGTGCTTCTGTTTCAGTGGGTGCACGAGAACATTGATAGATTCGGTGGTGATCCTGGAAATATTACTTTGTTTGGTCTTTCAGCGGGAGCTCACTCTGTAAGACTAAGACTCTTCGAAAGTCTACTATATGCTAACCGGTTGATAGATCGGACACCATCTCCTCAATTATGATGAACAACACCCGCCCCTATTCCACCGCGTCATTCTAGAATCCGGATCACCAACTTCTCGAGCAGTTCGTCCCTACGATGCGAAGATTCATGAGCAGCAATTCCAGGACTTTCTTCGAGAAGTTGGCTGCCCGGACGATCTTCCTCAATCGAAAATATTCCCTTTTCTACGCTCGCTGCCAAGTAAGACAGTCACGGACGCTCAGACCGTCATATTCGACAAATACAATCCGTCGCTCCGATGGGCCTTCCAGCCTGTGATAGACGGAGACATCATCTCGCGCAAACCTCTGGACGCATGGACTTCAGAGCTATGGAACAAAGTGCCAATCATGACTGGCTTCAACAGCAACGAAGGAACGATGTACGTGGATAGGAAAATGTCGCAGTCCTCCGAGTTCCGCAAGTTCTGGCACAACCTGCTCCCGGAACTATCAGCAGCAGACCTAGGCACGATTGAGAAACTATATCCCGATCCGAGCACCGATTCTACTTCGCCGTACACCGAAACCCGCAATGGCCAAGGAGTGGGTCAGCAATACAAACGCATCGAGGCTGCATACGGTCACTACGCCTACGTCGCTCCTGTCCGCCAGACTGCGCAGTTTGCCTCGGCACAAGGCGTGCCTGTTTACCTGTACCACTGGGCATTGCCTAGAACACTGGTTGGGCGCGCAAACCACGGCGATAATATGTACTATGAGACCTACAACAGCGCCATTACGGAGATATCAGAGTCGCAGAAGGAATTGTCTGGAACTCTCCATGCCTATCTGACTAGCTTCATTGCTAAAGGCGATCCCAATGCCTTGGAAGGTCGGTATGCTCAACGACCTCGGTGGAAGCCTTACACGCCACAGGCGGAGAGTGTGATGGTTTTCGGTGAGGACAACGAAGAACTAATTGGTGGCGCGGTGGCTCCGGCTGCTAAGTTTGTAGAGGACAACTGGGCCAGACCTGAGACAGAATTTTGGTGGTCGAAGGTCGAGATTTCGCAGCTTGCATGAATATATCTAGAAATTAGAGACAAAAGACTGATTGCACACGCATACCTGGGGCCACCGACAAGAAGGAGTTCTATTAAAGCTTATACTCAATACTTAGCAATAATGTCAAGTTGCGGGTTACGCATACACGGTTCAGGCCCCTGAGGCGAGTATATAAATGCGAGTTATCTAAACCAAAGTAATCCCCGTATAGCACCCCTCAGTACGCAACAGCTCCGTTTTCATACTGCCATCCAACGACACCGAGTACAGACTTCCCCCCAAGTCTGACACATACACTCTGTTGTTGAGGCTATCCAGCTTTAGGCCAATGGGCTCATGGAAATGGCGCGCCAGAATAACCTTCTGCAAGTCGGTAGCACCACCACCACCAACATATGCACAATACAACGCACACCCAGTGGGATGCTCACCCCGATCGGTCCAGTACAGCATTTGTTTCGCGCAGTCAAGCTCAAGGTCGATTGGCTCCGGCAGGTTGTCAAATATCAGCTCGATGTCAGAGCGGCTGTCCGCGGTCTCGCCCTCTGGGTTGTTAATGCTAGCGCGGAAAATGCGACCCCGGCCGCCCTTGCTGGGTCCCTTCTGCGTCCAATAGAGCAGGCCACGCTCGGAGTCGACAGCAATGCCGACGCACCACTGTTCCATACGCTCTAGTTGGCTAGCATTTGGACGTGCACGGTTCTGTATCAAAACCTCATGGCTGCTACCATCAAAGTTGCATCGGTGTAGACTAGTGCCTTCGCGATCGGCGAAGTACACCTGCTGCTTCGTTTCGTCGACAACGAGTTGCTTAGGCGTGTGCACCTTTCCCGTAGGCAATAGACATCTTATTTCACTCCCGTCTAAATTTGCCGACCACACGGACCCATCACGAGAAGCTGTGCTGTGGCCCATGTTCGTCCAGAACATCCGGTGTGTCGGCAGCGAAACATCTATTCCATCCGGTAGGTTCTGGCCGACGACCACGGGCGTTAATTTTTGGGTAGCCAGATCCAAGCGCAGGATCTTGCCGCTGGAGTGCACTTGCGTAACATCGCACACATTGGAACCTAGACCAACATCCAGTAGATAAACTTCCTTAGCCGCGGAGTGCGGATTGGTTTGATTGGCCTCAGCTGTGGTAGACAGAGGTGGGTATAACCCACCCTTGGCACTTTTCTTGCCTAGCCTGCCTCGCTGGATATATTCTTTGCGCAGCCAACCGACGGTCGGTCTAGCGTCAAGCCCGCGCTCCTGCACGTAGTTGTCTTCAATGAAGGCGACCGTGTCTAGCCCGACTTGATCCATTAGCTGGCAAGGCAGTGGCCCGTTCTTGAACATGTGCTCCCAGAGCAGATCGATCTCAGCTGGGTCGCTAACACCTTCCGATAGGATGTAGAGGATCTCGCGCTTAACTGCCGCCCACAAACGGTTAAAGATAAACCTATAACAAATCAGCTATTTTAAGTCACAGAAATGGCTTAGAAAGCAAGCAATACTTACCCGGTTGACTCCCGGCGAGCGGTGACTGGAATCATCCCACACTCACCCAGCACATCTTCCAGATATGGAAAGATCTCTGGATCTGTCTCTCCATCCGTCATGAGCTCCACTGTCCGGATAGTCGGCGGCATAGTGAAATGCATGTTAAGCACACGCTTACGGCGCTCAACTGAAACCTTTGGGATCATCAACCTGGACTTAAACGATGAGCTGTTCGAAGCCAGGATACAATCCGATGGAGCCGCAGCATCAACTTCGGCGAATAGATCCCTCTTCAGATCCAACTTCTCGGGGACAGCCTCAATAACAAGCCATGCATTCGAAACAGCTGGCTTCATTTCATTGAAGGTCTTGTAATTGCCGAATGGCATGGTTTCACCGTCGTCCCCATTGGTACTTTCTTTGACCTTGCTGGAGCGTGGCATTAAGCGAAACTCTTCTTTGTGCATGTCGATGTACGCCATTGCTTCTTTCAGTACATCCTGTGATAGGTCACGGATGTGCACGTTGTATCCGGCTGCCACGAAAGCACATGCAATGCGTCGACCGAGGACACCGGCGCCGAGGACGACGACGGGGCGGTCCGTTCTTGGTTTTATCATTTGGTCTCGTGGTGGCGGGTGAAAAGTAAAGACGAGGTGCAAGACAACCAATGCTCAATTCTTAATGTATGTCAATGTGGCGCAGGAATGCAGAATGGCGTGGCCGTGACGGGAGGTTGCTACTGTGCGGCTTTCTCTCTCTATATATTATTTTCTTCACATGAAATTGACGCAAATGATACGTGGTACGGAACGTTTTGCAGACTAACAAATTTAATCCACATATTCGTGAGCATTAAGTATCGCCTCCAAGTATGCCATGGGCATCCGGTATTTCTTCACAATGCGCTTTGGGTAGTTCCGGTTAGATCGGCTCAAAATACCAACTCAAGTTTACTTAATGGCGGATATGCCTGTCAGCCAATCAAAATTTTGGTTGTCTGGGAGGTTCATTGTCTCGGCGAGCGGACGAAAAGAACCAATTCGGTGCCTCGGAGACGTTTCGGGGACGGCACGGAGACGGCACGGAGACGGTTCGGAGGTAACGAAAAGACATCGGATGCGGGCACATCATTCGGAATCGGAGTGGAGGTGGAGCATTGTTCTACCTCACCTTCCTCCGCAAAGAAAAGGGAGAAAACCAGGAACAAAATGGCAAATATTGTGAATATTCACTGGGAAAGTTTCTGGACTACACTGAAGAAGATAAGGGACGGTAGAGATACTACAGCCGGGGCCACATCTAGAACGCTACGTTCAAACAATCGAAAAATAAATCCGAGTATGACTGCCCTAAAGTGAATGTTTCTTGCTTTATATCAGGCTGAAAAAAAGATCACGTTCCTTATCCCTAGTTTCTATATCCTGCAACCCGTTTTTTTTCTTTTATTTTTATTTTTATTTTTTTGCATTAAGTCGAACAAATGCAATCTAAAATAAAAACAATTGATCCGTAGCCTTCGACAAAGCAGCTGGTTCAGCCCACCCAAGTCCCACGAGCGCCTTTTTCATTGCATTGATCATAGGTGGTGGTCCACACAGCAGCATCTTGTTGCTCGCATCGGCCGGTGCCAGGAACTGTTGAATAAGTTCCGGGCTAACGAAACCGCGATGGCCCTCCCAGCCCTCAGCAGGCTGCGAGAGCACATACTGTACGCGAAACTTATGTGGACAGCGAAGCGCAAAGTCGTCCAGCTCCTGACGCAGCAGGATATCTTCCTCAGTGTTGTTTGCATACAATAGGTCGATCTGTGTTGGATCGGACTCATCGTCACAAATCACTCGGATAAGCTGGAACATGGGCGTGATACCGGTGCCACCGGCAATCATGCCAACATGCTTTGCATAAGATGGCGTATACTGCATTGCACCCTTGGGGCCACGAATCTCAACCGAATCGCCAATTTGCATCTGCTCCAGGTGCTTTGTCATTTTGCCTTGAGGATATATTTTGACCAGAAGTTCGATGCGACCCAAATCTGTATTATTTGACACTGGAGTGTATGAACGGGAGACGCTTTGTCCATTGATGTTTGCTCGCAGTGCGATATGCTGGCCCGTGGGGAGACCGAGCACGTCGTCGGCGTTCGGCAAGCCAAAAACAAATCGGTACACGTTGGACGAGACGACTTCCTTGCTGATCAGGGGAAAATTTTTCCACTTGCGAGGGTCTAATGGGTGTGTGTGCTTCTTCTGGGTAAAGGTATTACCACGCGGGGAAAGTCTCTTGCGGAAAATGATTCGGTCGGGTCGGGACTGGCGGTGCGGCAAGTGATGCGTGAATTCCTGCTGGACATCCAGTTTGGTGGAAATCCACATTGCCAAACCAACTGTCAGCGAAAGCTGAGTTACACTCGCGACGCCGAACCCGGACCAGAATCGGCTCGTTGAAGCGGAAACAGAGAAGACCGAAAAGGTATGGCCAGCCAACTGCTTAATGAATTGGAAAAATGGCTTAAGTCCCTGTTGGTAGCCAGTAAACGCAGCCGCTCCCACGGCACCTGTAACACCTACTTGGAATACGGTGCGAGTTAGAGAACGAAGACGGTTGGGCGAGGTCTTTTTGACAGCCACAGCAGCGGTCTGTGACACCTGTTCGTAGATGGGGCGGTAGACATCGATTGCTTCAGCATGCTCCTACCAAAAATCATTAGTTCACGGCCCAGTACTTAGGTAAGAGTGCTAGCATGCCTCAGAAGGCAAGTCACCAAGGTAATATTTAGCCAGCTCATCCCTCGCCTCATCAGAATGACCAGTCTCTTCAAAAGCCTCTGTGGCATCAGTGCCAGCAACCTCAATCAAAATTGCGTTGCCGCCGGGGTGGTCTTCGAGATATTTGGTAACCTCATAGACTTTGTTGTGCAGGACGATCCAGACATCGTCGGGTTTGTTATGCCTCTGAACCTCTTCAAGAGTATACATTATGACGATGCAGATTAGGAACTCATAAATCTTCGTTAGTCGCCAGATATATATAGAGAAATCATACAATGGCTACTGTAACATTCGAAACGTAAGTGCCGAGTAACCCGACTTATCAACGAGCCACCGGGCCCACTTTATGTTGGGGCTCATGGCGGACGTGTCCAACCATCAACTTCGTGCGAACTTCGGTCGAAAGAGCCATTGATTTTACTCTGTAAAAATTGTTGACGGAGTGCTTTGGACACCCAGCCTTGGCCATGGAATTCGCGGGAAATCGGCAACGGGGAGGAACGGAAGAAGCGGAAATGAGCAGTCATTTTCCTGGAATGGGGCAGGTCCGGCCCAAATATCCCTTCTGTTTATTGTTAGGCCAGGAGAGAAAGCTAAACTACCGTCCCTGCGCGTGCATATTGCGCATATATAAAGATCGATCGACACTTGCCTCAAAGTCACAAAGAGCAGATTAGTCACCATGCCTATCTCCCTAGCTCCGTCACAAAATCCCAGTCCGTCATTCTATCTGGTAGGAGACGATGTGTCAACTGCACAACCAGTAACCCTGGACGCAAAGTGGAAACTGGAGGATGTGAAACGTGCCGTAGGAGGCGTGTTCCATGTGGCACAACCGCTAGGTTAGTTGAATTTCCTATATTTGATACTGGGGTTGCCTTTTATTGATGCGACCAACAGGCATCACTTTCCACGGCGAAGATGATCGGGAGTTGACCACAGTGGACGATATCCTGACAAGACTGTCGTTGCTTACTAGCCCTATTGGCCTTCGCATCGATGGGAAGGCCATCCAAAGCCCTCAGGGTCCTGATGGTCTGCCGTTGGTTGGTAGCTACTACGAGATCTTTCCAGACCATTTGGGAAATCATTACCGTCTGTTTCGCAAATACGGGAGTGTTATCCGCACTGTCAATATGGGAAAGACAATTTATCTGACCGACAGCCCCGAAGTGGCAGCTGTGGCTATGGCGGAATCGGTTTATATGACCAAGAAGATCAACGAGAACCACCCCTTGTGGGGAGTCAAGGATAATACGGCTATCTTCATAGGTGACACTGAAACAGAAAACTGGCGGTTAGCCCACAAGTTCCTACCGCCAGCGATGGGTCCCAAGGCGGTCCGTCACTACACTCCGCTAATGCAGGAGTGCGTGCGCAAGTCTTTTGCCGTTTTTGATGAATTGGATGCACGCGGTCAATCATGGAACGTTTACCAGTACATGGTGAAACTGGCGTCACAGACCATCGGCAAGTTCTCCTTGGGAACTGATTTTGAGCACTTTACGAACATCGACGCCCCATTGCATCCTATCGTCACCAATATAGCAAACCTTTTGTCATTGAACAAGAAGGTCACGGCGCGTGGCGAATGGTACCGACATCTGCCATTTGGTGACCCTGCACGTCTGAAGCAGGTTCAGCACACTATCTACTCTCTCCTACAAGAAAACATCGCCCGCGTCAAGGGATCTAAAATTTCGGGAATGTCGATGGCAGATGCGGCAGTCAATGCCTCGTGTGTGGCCGACTACCTCCTTAACACGGTTGATGAGACGGGCCGAAAGTTCCCCGAGGGCCTGGTCCTCGCCAATATGCTCATCGTCACGGGAGCGGGATTCACGACAACCTCATCGTTGATGTCTTGGCTTCTATACTGCCTAGTTACCTATGAAGGCACACAAGTGCGTCTATACGCAGAATTATGCGAGAATGGTATTGCCAACCCCACCGGCTCTGTCACCTGGACACCGGAGCTGGCACACAGCCTGTCTTATCTCGACAGTTTTGTCAAAGAAACACAGCGTCTTCACAATGCCTCCTTCCAGCCTGGCCGTACTACCAAGACTGAGGTTGTCTTGCCTGGCGGCTACCGTCTCCCGCCTGATAGCGTCCTCATTCCCGCGTTGTACGCCATCCACACCAATCCAAACATCTGGCGCGACCCACTCCACTTTGACCCGGATCGCTGGACTACTGATGAGGTCAAGAACAAACACCGCTGCGCATATATGCCCTTTGCCACGGGTCCGCGTGGCTGCATCGGGTTCAATTTCGCGTTACTCGAGATCAAGATCTTGCTCTGTGAGTTGGTCACTCGTTACGAGTTCTTCCGTGAGGGCTTAGAGGCTGTCGAGTACGATCCTGAGTTTCAGCTTATTCGCCCGCTGAACTTTTACGTGCGCGCCAAGAGAAGGACGTAGGGACAAGACAGGGGCAGGCAACTTGGCTGGGAGAGTAGCTAGTTTTACTCATGAGCAGATAAATGCCGTCGATCAAGTAGAATGTTGGTTATTAGATATCGATTTATAGAGTTTATACATTATGTTCCAGTATACAATAGATTTCTGTTCCTTAGAGGATCGTGGGTTTATATGCAAGAGAGTGCTCCAAAGATTCGTGAATATGTTCACACGCTTACTGCATAGATTCCACGCCTATAAATTGACTCAAAATGGCTCACTTCTCTACTACCATTCGCATTTCCTCGCTCCGGTAATTTCAACAAACCTCCCTTTCCCTAATCCGTACCGATCCCGGAAGCAACGAAATTTTCCGCCGACGGCCATCTAAACGCCTTTAATGCCCTCGAATAAGGCCCAAAATGGCGCACATTAGTATCACTGTCCTCCCACGCAGATTGGAGCTCCTCACGCTCCAGGACTGATATCAGCCGCTGAACCAAGGCATCTACGTTAGGCCTATACGCATCCCCAGTGACGGTGGTATCAGCGGCTATTCTCCGCAATGTGATAGCACAGCTGACAGTATTGTGCACGAATGCCCACGAGCGACACACGGCTGAGGAGAGGCGGTGCATGTCTAGAAAGCCTTCAACCGCGTCTGTGGCGCGGTCAATGCATTCTGTTGCGAGAATTTCGGTGTGTATATCTGGGTCGTCGGACATGGGCGAAGAGGCTTTCTGTAGGGCTAGTTGGCAGAGCCGGCAAATGGCATATGAGACGTGAATACGTAGTGCCAGACGCTCAAGATGGTCCTGCAGAGTGCGGCAGCGGCGCTTGTCTACTAGAGATGGAACGGTGGAGCCGAGAATGTTCTCGAGACGTCTTTTGGATGTCAGTACCGCAGCGAGCGTCTCGCAGTCTTCTTCGCAGGTACGATTGAGGAGTACCTGGCATACGGCAAATATACATTCGGCGAATGAGTAGCCAGATACTGAGTCCGGGTCGGATGGTATGCTGCTGGTTGATTTGGTTGTGCTCGGTGGGCGGTCGTATGTAAATGAGAGAAAAGTGTCTTGCCATAGGAGCATCCACCTAGATTTCGTTGGTATTTTTCAATTGCTCTTCGGTAGGTAATGGGAAGAATACTGATGGACTGATTGTAAAGTACTTACCATAGTCGCTTTCGCTGCAACTTTACAGAGGGGATATATGATCCAGCTGACACAGTTTCTTCATGGAGTCCAATGCTTTGAGCAAGACGTAGAGTAGACCCTGTAGCCGTCAGCATATCATACCAACAATTATCACTTTCATCAGTAAAACCACATACCCATTAGGATCCACGCACTATTGGTGTCCAAATTATTGCGCAGACAATGCCCAATAAGCGCCATGGCCTGGATCTGATCCATGTCGGTATTGTTGAAAAAGTTTGAAATACGGAGGCACTGGAAGGATGAACAGACTGATACCCTTAGCTGAGGTTACTCACACTAGTCACTCATTAACATACCGAAAACTTTTGTTCGCAGATCCCGTTCCTTGACTGGATCATTGGAGAACTGCACTCCACATGCAAGCATGGCAAATAGGAGCGCTAGCCACGAGGGGCTAGTGTCATCGAGCGAAGATGGGTCGCCTTCACTATCAAATTGGATTGCAGCCCGTCGGTCAAGAAAAGAAAATAGCGAAGTATTGAACTGTTCGTGTGTCACAAGTGCAGGATAAAAAGGGTATACGCAGGTCTGATAGGCCTGCCAGTATCTGGAACACATCTCATTTAGCATGTGTAGAACTTCGGGTATGCTCACATACCGAATGATATCCTCATCCTCAGGAAGAGTCTTGCAAATCTCTCCTGCACCGGCCTCTGGTCTCCATAAATTCGTGAAAGGATACGTTCGCGGGACGAGTTGGTCTACCACAAGGGCATCACTGAGACCCAATGCGGCCGGGGGGTCGGAGTGGCTGCCCAGATAGATGGTTGCTCCTGTGGTCTCCTCTACGAAATGCCTTCCAGGGGATTTGGCTGGTCTTGATAGCCTTCTTGGAGAGCTGGCTTGTGGAGGGACATGCGGCCCGCCCTCAGTACTACCGCATCGAATCTGCTGCAAGTCTGCTTTCAGAGAAGATATCTGCGTTTCGATGTTCTCAAGACGCTTTATCATGGAGCTGATATCTTGCGTATCGGAGCTAGAGGGGGTGGATCCACGGATCCAGTCGCACAATCATTTCCGGTCACAGGGCTGGTCGGACATGTAAGTAGGTATCAAGGTAAAGGAAGAAGACGGTGTTGGATATTGAAGCCGGGATAGATTGGTCAGATAAGACATCATCGACCAAGACAACGCGGGCCTCCAAAGCAAGAAAAAAGAAAGGGTTCTTTACATACACCGCATTTTGGCCTCCAGTCATATCATCACCAATTCCAGGCTCGGAAGCGCGCGGCAAACCATCATTCCCACTGCTCATCCCCAATTTAGGGGACCCCGGCGCACAACAAAGCTCCGCATGTCCCCTCTGCACACAAGTCGAGCAAGGAACATGCCCATCACAGCGGACTTTCCGATGCCGACACGGGAAACATGACTTGATATCGCGGCGGCGGCGCTTGCTCCTCAGCAGTTCGGTTACACGTGTTGTGTCATATGGATATGGGTTCGGGTTAGATTGCCCAAAGATTTTGGGATCAAAGCGGGATGACTGTATGCAAGGAGGGGCCATAATCCATATGCTTTTCCCAACTTCTCAGAACCGTTGAAGACCTGCTAAAACACAACGCTAAATGATGAAGTGCCAAAAGCGGCTAGTTATCTCGGGACCCAAAATGTCATTTTGACATACATTTTTACTAATATCTTAGTCATTTGAATGTCATGTGATAACTACTAGACATAATCCACCAACCGTGCTATTCCGGCTCCCACCGCCCACAATATTATCAAGCTTCCATCACCTAGTACACGCGTTTACATGCTGAAAAATCCAGGTCCCCCGGATTGTGAGCCCCTATAGATTTTGTTAATGTTTGTTTGTTTATCAGAGATACCACGTGATACTTACGGCGTTCTTCCGTCGAGCTGGGAAAATGAACAGACTAAGAATGTTTGGTCCAGTGGTTATTTTGTCCCAATTCTGAGCAACATCGTCCCCTGAGCTAACATGCTGAGATTGGTACATGAATAGTTCCTGCTTTGCAGAACAATCGATCATAGACAGATTATTATGAAACAAAAGCTGTCTCGTCAACAACTCGATACCAAAAAAAGCAAAATTGTTGGTGTGCCCGACTTTTTCCCACAGACAGAATTGTAAAAAGTCTTGAGAGCTAGATAAGTAACAGAATGGGAAACGCTTAGATACCTAAGATGACAAGAACAAGTAATATTTCTACTGTTATTGACCAAGTAACACTTTCATACAGAAGCTGAGTCTATTGCCAATGACTTTTACGTACACTGCGAGCGATCCGAAGTGGCCTTCGTTCTGTCCCTGGAATATTGGCTTCACGTATCATGAGCGGCAATTTGCTTGGCCTGTTGCACCTTGGCAATTTCTTCATCCACCTCCTCTTTCTGTAAGGAAGCGGCCTTACGAGGATTTCGGGCCTGGAAGATCAAATTCAGCTCCTCGAGTGTGTGCCCTTTTGTTTCCACCATAAAGATATAATAGTAAATAGCCTGGAAAAAGCACACGGCCATGTAGATAAAGTAAGTCTTCCAACTAATCACTTCAAGAGCGATGGGAAGCGCAAACTGATTGATGAGACCGGATGCGTTCCCAGCAAAACTAGAGAGGTATTAGCACCAGACGAGAGACATACATATAAAGATATCGAGTGAACTGACTTTTGTAGGGCCATGCCTTTGGCGCGTTGGTCAAATGCCAGAACCTCGACAGGGTACAGAGCTTGCAGCGGCGTGTAGGCGGCAGAGAAAACAATGCCTACCAGAAAGATGAAGGTGATGGACGCGTCGGCGGCGGGGATGCTTTTATAGATATGGTATCCGCCTGTACCACCAACCATACCAGCCCATAAGAGACACAGAATTGCACAGCAGGAGATCATCATCTTGCGCCGCCCAAATCGGTCCATCTGGCTGGCACCAAGGCAAGCGGCTGCGGCGGATGCCAGGGTAATGCCCAGGTTGATATCAAGGACGGTGGCAGTGTTTGTGATACCGGAAGTGTTGAGCATGGCGGGTAGAAAATACGACACACCTGACTGGCCCGTCAACTGACTAAAAGCAGAGACAGCGACAGCGCATAGGATGGCACGATAAATGGCGGCGCGTGAGTTGAACAGCGAGCGATAGTCCCACCAGCGCTTATCTGCACCATCAAGTTCCAGTTCCTCGGCAAACTCATGCATTTCCATCCTCACGTAGAGGGATTCCGGGTTGTTGTTGCCGTGGTACTTGACCAGTATTTCACGGCACTTCTCAGTCTGTCCATGGACATACAGCCAGCGCGGCGACTCGGGGAATATGGCACAGCCAATTAGCAAGATGCACGGGAAAAGCATCTGCAACCAGGTGGGAATGAGCCAGGCCATATTGGTGGTATAGTGAACACAGCCACGCAGGACGGCGGCGGCCAAGATTGCACCAAGGTAATAACAGCAGTTATAGAAACCAGTAATAACGCCACGATAGGCTGGGTGGGCAAATTCCACGACGTAGGACGGACAGGCGACGTTGCAGATAATGCCACCAAACCCGAGGAAAAACCGGCCGGCAAGGAATTGGGGCAAGTGATGAGAGACGCCTTCAATGATGGTGCCCATGATAATAAAGGCGCATCCAATGACAATGCCTACGCGACGACCCCACGTATCGGTGAGAGGACCGATAAAAGGCAGACCGCACACAGACCCAATCGAGTACATGCTCATGATAATGCCGGTCTGCACTCCCAGAATCTTTGCACCAAATTGATCTTGAAAGGGCTTCATGGCAATTAGATTGCCCATCAGGGAGCCATCGTAGCCGCCCATTGTTGAACCCAGAAAGGCCAGGCTGCAGATGGCATAGAGCTGAATCATGCGCTTGCTGAGTTTCTGGACGGGCTCCAACCGCGTGCACACTTCCAGAGCAGCTGTACCACGCACATCGCGGAAGACGTCGACTGGCGCCTCGAGATGCTCTGCCTCAGAGGCCTTTTCATCCTGAATGGAGACCATGGATGTGAGGAATGACTGATCGACAGAAGCTAGGGAGCTAGAATGTTCGAGTTTTCTGGGTTGCAGATTCCAATGGAGACAATGGAGATCCGGGGTAGGATTTGCTGTCATTCATGTATCTTCTCCATATTTAAGAGCAGACATGTTACTGATGAAAAGCCGACGATTTTTCCGACAAGAGTCCGGGGGAAATGCTAAACTAGGCCCAGCCCATCTTAGCCCTGAACCTTGGGCCGGCACGCGGGGTAGAAGAAAAAAATCTCGCCGACGTTCTTTCCGTTGTAAAATTAGAAAGTAATAATCTATAATAAATAACGCGCAATTGTTCTCGTCTTCCTATGGATAGTACTTTTACTTTTACTTGTTTTTGTTACGTTTCGAGATCATGCCGTCCACCACATATTCCTCCACGCCGCCCACCATCACACGCGACTCGCGCGAGGGCGATGCCAACTACAAGCAACCTATATTTCCACTAGGTCCCTTTACAAAGTATGCTGGCAATCCATTGCTGGTTCCCAACCCGGCAAATGAGTTCGAATCGGCATACATTTACAATGCTGCGGCCATTGTCCTGGATGACACAGTGTTTCTGCTCTATCGTGCCCAGAACGCTGCTAAGGTGTCCACTATTGGACTGGCATGGTCGTCGGATGGTTATGAATTCACGCGCCTGGATCGTCCAATACTGGAGCCTAGCGAGCCCTGGGAACTTGGCGGTGGTGTCGAGGATCCGCGTGTTGTGCGCATCGATGGTGTGTTTTACATGACCTACACGGCGTGGGATCTCAAAGTGCCGAAACTCTGTCTGGCAACATCCACAGACCTGGTACACTGGGAGAAGCAGGGTGGACCACTGTTCCCGAACTTCATAGATGTCGAAAATGCTCTGGATGGACGAACTGAGGTCCGGTTCGGTCACTCCAAGTCCGGCGCGATCTTCCCAGAGAAAACGGCAGACGGAAAGTTTATGATGATCTTTGGCGAGGCATACCTCTGTGTGGCGGAGAGTGAAGATCTGATCCACTGGCGCGCATGGCCCTTCAATAAGTACTTTGCAACTGGAGTCCATGACTGGGAAAACCGACTGCTGGAACCTGGGCCAACCCCGGTCAAGACTCGAGACGGCCGATGGATTCTAGTGTACAATGTTGCCACACGCGGTGCACCGGGATTCCACAACAACCAGTACTCCATCAGCCAGATGCTGATCGACCTTGAGCACCTCAGCGATGGCCCAGTGGCGCGTCTCGACCGCCCGTCGGTTGTTGTATCGGCGAAGAACGAGCACCTTGGGCAGGTCAACGAGGTTGTTTTCTGTGAGGGCATGGTTCAATTCCACGGCAAATGGCTTATGTATTATGGCCAGGGGGATAGCGAGTTGGGAGTTGCGACAGCGGACGTTCAGCCGTGAAATTCAAGGCAACGAAAGTGCTAGGTCCAGGACAAAATAGATTGCAAGAGTAGAATAGAATATTCATTTATCGTCATTCACGCGTGTGAATCAGATTATTGCCCAGCGGAGTAACTGTAGCCCACGAAAGGAATTGGTGAAGACATGGTTCCAGCGGCTAACTGCGGAACTGCATCCTCAAGATGTAAGCTACGAAGATCGCGAAACGTCCAGAATACGGAATAGCCGTCTGTCTGGTCGATAGTCCAGGGTCCAGAACCAATCTCTCCTCGCACCTCTCGGGCCAGTTCGGGATAGCGGTCCAGCGCGTCATCCCACAAATTCAGTAGACCGCGGAAATTCTCAAACTGCGTTTGGCGCCAAAGTTGTAGAATAATGTGAGCTGTAGTGGCCTGGATGTCCGAGAGGATAGCCCAATGAATGAGCATTTCGCGCGGGCAGATAAACACTGACCGAACGAGGGAACAGATATAATGCAGCACACCTGGTACAGGGCGCAAGGCCAGCATCTTGCCAAGGGTAGTTTGTCGACCAAGTACCGTGGCGTAAAACGACAGGACTACCAAATTATGGAGCGAATGGATCGTGATCGCCTCTGGTCGAGCTGGCATTTCATCGCGAAGGTCAAGTAGCGATGAAGGAAGTTGTACCGCCCAGAATAAACACTCATACTCAAGCCGACACCACGAGAGTTTTGCATCTGGTCCAAGACCTTCCTGCTCCTCCGCAAGTCTTAATCGGTCGAGGCTCAGGCCTAGGTTGGAGATCCGTAGATAATGATGCGCAAAGGTAGAAGGATCCACCGATTGAGTATAGCTCATCAAGAAATCGTTTGGGATGTCAAGCGGTGTTAGCGGGGAGCCGACTAGCCGAAGCCAGGTGTTGGCGACGACTGCGCCCGCAAGAATGGGAGCTGGTAGTTCCTCCCCAATGAGTAAAGCAGCGTGGATGGTGCCGAATACCTGATTTTATTCAATACGAATCCAAGAAAGGTGTTAGATTGGCTGCTTACCCGTTGTACAGAGTCACGCTCGACAGGAAAACGAAGCATCAGCAACAAGGCACCGGCGAGGCATTGCAGTGTCATCTCGCCCTGAGTCACCAATGCCAGGGAATCACTGGCCCGTTGCGGCAGATCCGAATTGGGCCTATGGTGAAGCCAGATACTGGCAGCTAGCTCGACACATTCGTGTAGCACCGGGTCCCAGCTCTCATTGCCGTCCTGGATCATTTCTGATGGCACAAACGGAGTGAGCGGGTGAACATAATCCCAATATTTTCTTGCTGTTGAATTTGGGGTATCTGAATTATCATCTTTGAGGATAATCTTTTGGCCATCGGAGTGAGTAACGCCCGCAGAATTTAACTGACTATCCCCGTCCTTGACGACAGAGACAATGCTGCCTGTGTTGGCCCATTGGCGCTCTTCTGCAGGACTCGGGGCAGAAGCTGCGGCGGCGACAGCCGAGACTCGTGACGCAATGCGCTGGGAGGTTTTGCGACGCTTCAGGCTGGGCTGACGCCGGCTAAACTCGCAGACCAGGTCCAGATGGTCACATTCGGTGCAGCGGCTTGCCCACGGGCTGTCCAAGACACATTTCTTCTTCCTGTGTCTGCAGTAGTTGCAGGATTTGAACATGGGACTATCAAAACGGGTAAAACGTCGGAAAAGCTCTCCTTGGACAATAATGCCTAGGGCCAAGAAATGATTGCAGTATGCGGAGGAATGTTCGGGGTGCAGTAGCATGCTAAATGTCCCCGCACTGACCAAGTTAGTGAAAAGCCGCAATAATAATGCCGACGCTTGCTCCGCGCCCCCACGGTTTACCGTTCGTCAATTGCCCGCTTGATGTTCATTGGTCCAATTTTCCCTAGAACTATCCAGATTGTTCGGGGTAACCCTAACTATTGCAATTGTTGAGATGAAAGCTTTAACAAATAGAAAAAAAAAAAAAAAAAAAAAAAAAAAAAAATTGTGAATTCTAAACCGTAGCACGTAGCCTGTAGACTGTTTTGAGTCTGCTCTAAACTAGAAACCCGATCCGTAATACCGCACTTCCACCCTGTTGTCCTTGGCCAAGCCCTGCGCATAGATAGTATACACATCATCCGGGAAGATATCAACTCCATTGTCCCCAAAGTCAACTTCACGGTCATCGGCAACATAAACTACGACACCCTTAACAGGCACATCTGTCCGAATCTCGAGCTTACCGTCCAGCACCGATACAGTGACATTTGGAGATGCAGACAAAGTGACATACTTCAGTGGCTGAGGCCAGTCCGATGCGCGGGCAACGACATGACCATCCTGAGGATCCCTCATGATTGCCTGGACGGCGGTCTTGTCGTCGACGCTCAAATCTTCCAGTAACTCCGTAGTGCGGTTGGACAAAAGGGTTTGAACGTCCATTGACTTTTCCTCGCGCAGAGCACCGGTTGCGATATCATATAGTCGGACTTCAATTTGGGCTGAAAAATCCTTCAATGTCCCATTCACGGCCCACACATCAACGAAATTTTTCTTTGAAGCAAGGTCATGGGGAGGAGCGAGAATCTGAGGAGGCGGTGACTTGAGCTTCTTGAGCTCAGGTGTCGAACGACTCATTCCAAGAGCGAGAGGGGCACTGTCACGCATTGTCATGAAGTAAGCCATCTTCTTCTCTCCGTAGAAATCGACCATGGCCCAGCTGGAGACTGGCCAGCAATCATTGATCTAGAAAAGTGAGTGGTGAGATAAAAGAAACTCGGGGACTCCACGAACCTGCCATACGAGCTGTCCAGCACAGTATTCTCGGCCTGGACCTTTCCACTGACGTCGGCAGCTTCGGACAGCAAAACCAAGACATTCTGCTTGAATGAGCTGGGTGGCATAAATCCAGCTGTCGAGGTCCAAGGAGTTCACTCGAATATTCTCCAGAACGTACAAGGCCAATCGTCGCTCTGCGCCATCCGCTTTGTTGTGCAAATCCAGCACACGGCTCTGAGGATAGCGCTGCGCCGGGTCGGTCACATAACGACGGATAGACTTGGCAGCCGGGAAGCCAAGCATGCCGAATTCAGAGACGAACCGACCGACGAGCTTGTCCCAGAGTTGGTACTTCTCCTGCGAGCCGTGCCAGACATTCCATTGATGGATATCTCCAACAGTCCTGTCTGTCGTCCCCTTGCCGCCCCAAGGTGAGCTCGGATGGTAGGGAACACCGGGTGAATATTCGGTAACCACGGCGGGCAAGTGAGTTTCATAGAGCGTCCGCGCTGGAAAGTCTGTATTGGTCCAGTCGCCTGAATGGTCCTCGGGGTCCCATTTCAGATTGAGCATCTCGGCGATTTGATAGTCCTCGTTGTTACCGGCATAGAGGACGATAGAACAGTATTGCCGCAGCCGTTTGACTTGGTCCACGGCTTCTCGTTTCACACTCGCCGCGAACTCAGGATAGCAAGGGTACTGGGCGCAGGCAAAAGCAAAATCTTGCCAGACAAGAATTCCACGTCGGTCACACTCCTCATATAGTGCATCGTGTTCATAGATGCCACCCCCCAGATCCGTAACATGTTTTGATTTCCTTTCACGCACAGGTCAACGGCTGAAGCATAGTCTTTGGCCGTCATGGAGGTGAGAAACGAATGACCGGGAATCCAGTTGCTTCCAGACGAGTACACAGGCTGGTTGTTGACTTCGATGAAGAAGGAAGTGCCTGGTTCGTCAATCAAGGGTTGCTGGACCAGACGCAGACGTCGTATGCCAACAGGTTTTCTGACATAGTGAAGAGGAACCTGGTCGGGACCCACGATTGCCACATCCACTAGGTAGAAGACCTGAGGGCCATGACCCACAGGGCACCAGAGCTCTGGTTGGTGAATCTCTAGTGAAATCGAACCTTGGGTCTCATTTGCACTGAGGTTGAGGGCTGCACTTGAACGGAATACTTGGCCGCTGGGAGCAGTGACGGTGACATCCGCAGTGACATCTCTGTCCAGAATGGCATCAAAAGAGATTTTCATAGACGCAGTTCGAAGATCTTCGGACACCTGTGCATCGGCAAAAACGTTTTCCACCGTAGAAGCATAGGTCTCAAGGCTGATCTCCCCACATGGTCCGCAAGTAACCAACAGGGGCCCCCAGTCCCAGCCATAATGGTACTGTGCCTTACGAACATGCACTCTCGGATTCTCTCCACTGAAGGCTCGATAGCTTCCATGCGTCTTTTCCAACTCACGGCCATAATGGAGGGCGCTCTTGAACACGATGCGAAGGGTATTCAGACCGCGGCGTAGTTTGCCTGTAACATCGATGCGGTGCCGATGAAACATGTTGGTCGACTCCAGAATCTTGTCCTGGTCATTCAGATAGACCGTTGCCACGGTATCCAGCCCCGCAAAAAGCAGGTCCTGACGGGAGTGACCTGAGTCAGGCTCATACTGGAAGTCGCAGGCATACTCCCAGTCGGCCTCGCCGACCCACTGCACAAGGCGTTCATTCTCATCGATGAACGGATCTGGGATGACTTTAGCATCAATGAGGTCGGTGAAAATCTCCGTCGTCGGCTTGTCATGTATACACTGGTGCCATTCTTCGTCGACTTTGCCGTGTTGTCGCCATCTCCATCCGGAGAGTGTCATAGTGCTCGCAACAGACATGGTCAATGGAAGTGAAGGTAAAAAAGGTCTTATAGTAATGTCTTTTCAGCCACCGTAAAAGCTAAAGGGCTGGAAATCCTCTTCTTTTGTATAGGTTGCATTATGTTACTGATTAAAGATCAATTCTTGCCTTGATTGCTATCAGATACTCCACTCATGGCCGACGTTTTTTCCGACACTAGCTTGGGAGGGCCGAGCACCCTAAATATAAAACCAGCAAGGATCAACACTATCAGGGCTTCAAGAGAAGCTTAGATTAATCTCCGACCCCGCGCTTGATGCTTTTTGACGCTAACTACGTGGGATGGTACCCCAAGGTCTGGAGTTGCGCCAAAAAAAAAGTCAACTATGGCTAATCTCCGCATTTCTTTAAAGAAGCTGCTGCCGCATTGTTAGATCCTGGGAGAGAAACACCTTCTTCATCATCACTCATTATACATCTCACTCTCTGATTGTCAAGCTTTCTGGTCATAATGAAGGCTTCACTACAGTGTCTCCTCGTGTTAGGACTCGGGGCTGGCAGCGCCCTTGCGGCCTCCTCCAACACGCCTCCCAAGATCACGCCCAAGTCACAACAGAATGAGGCCAATTACACGGCGCCGTACTTCCCATTGCTCGGTTTCGAACAGTATGCGAACAATCCCATCATGAGACCTGATCCCAACCACTCATGGGAGTCCTCATACCTCTACAACCCGAGCGCCATCGTTCTCGATGACATGGTCTTCCTGCTCTATCGGGCTCAGGACAAGCAGAAGACTTCGAGCATTGGCCTCGCCTGGTCAAGCGATGGATACAACTTCACACGGTACGATCAACCAATCGTTCACGCCACAGAGCCATACGAAAAGCCAGGCGGATGTGAGGATCCGCGCGTCGTGCGTATCGACGGAACGTTCTATTTAACTTACACGGCCTACGACGGCACGACCGCTCGGCTCTGCCTTGCGACTTCGACCGACCTGGTCCACTGGAAGAAATTCGGTCCCATCTTGCCTACCTTCACGGAAACTGTCTACAATTGGCGCGATCCCGTCACCTATTTCGCTCCCAACCCCACCGGCTGGACCAAGAGCGGTGCTATCATCGATGAGCGCCAGCCTGACGGGTACTACTATATGCAATTCGGAGACACTTATCTTTACACTGCGAACTCGACGGACTTGATCCATTGGGAGGTCTCGGGCAATGGCCAGCCGTTTGCTCCGTTGATGAATGTGTGGGAGCAGGCCTTGACTGAGAGTGGGCCGCCTCCGATCAAGACTAGAGATGGTATGTGGTTGAAGGTCTACAACGGTATGTCCACTGGCGGTGTTGGCGGTTATGCTATTGGCCAGTACAGCACCGGACAAATGCTCATTGATCCGGCCAACTCCCCTCTGGGACCTCCCGTTGCGCGCCTCGAGACCCCAATCTTGCAGCCGACAACAGCCACAGAAATCACTGGACAGGTGGATAATGTTGTGTTCAGCGAGGGTCTAGTGCAGTTCAAGGGCAAGTGGCTGCTTTACTTCGGAGCGGGTGATGCATTCCTGTCGGTTGCGCAGACTCCTGTACAGCCTTAGATGTGTGCATCCTATAGTTTGACAATAGCTCGAAATTGATGGCAGCGTCAGTCATATATTCAGGCTTAAATTGCCCCAGATGTTCAATTTCCGCCAGCGCGACCAAGTCTTGTTCGGGACCGACGACTATTGGGACATAATAATTTTGATCCTTCTTTTGTTTGGCCTTTGTTTTGTTCAATGTGTTGACGCTTGCTTTGCCTTCGTCGGCTTCATGATTCTCCGCCTGCTTCGGACCACGATCTCACCCATCTTCCACCACCGCTCCAGGGTGTTGAACCAAAGTTAATGTAGTCGAAATTTCTTGCAGATTGAGAAGAGAACTAACCAGCTTTCCTCCTGTCTCGAATCCAATGCCAACCAAGAGTGTTAGTCAGCTCACACGTGACCATCTCCTAAGATTTGTTTCTTCGGCCAAATTAATCCATCGCGAGTCTTCCCAACGCTGCCCTCCGCCCAACCATGCAGTCTTCAATGCGGCTGCTTAGCCGGGAGGCATTGACCTCTAAATCTCTCTATGTCTGCTCCACCTGCAGACAGGAGGTCTCACCGCGAGGCCTTGCGCCGGTCACCCGTCCGTTCCGACGCTACGCCTCGGATAACTCTTTCGCTGAGAGAGCTCGGAAGAAGATATGGGGTACTGAGAACCCTCCAGGCTCCAAGGACCCTTACGGTGGCGAGGGGCAAATTGCAAAAGCGTGGCGCGAGAGGGGGAGCAGACAGCAACCGCGCCGGCCAGTCAGACCGACCTCCAGGAAGGCGAGACAAAACTTGAAGTTCCAGAAGAGGTTGAAGAGAAAGATCTCCTTCCCAGCGACGAGTATGAACAAGCGGATACTTGGCAGGGTCTGAAGCGTCTCGGCTATCTGGAGAAAAATGCCTGGAGGCAGCAGAATCCCACGGAGGCGGATGAGGTGCAGCCGTACGTTTGATTTCTCCTCTAGGTCCTATATGTTTTGCTAGACGCTAACATCATGCTTGCGATTTCCTACAGATTCGCAGCCAGACCCGTGAACGTCACCCCCGATGCAGTTGCCCAACAAGTCCGTCAGGTCGCTACGGAGATCTGCATTATGCACATGCTCAAGAAGAAGGGGCAACTCGCCAACATCTGCAATGTTGATGTGCACGACCGCAAGATCCAAGCCTATCTCAATTCGTGTGTTCTGCACCCGTCTGCGGATGGAAACTGGGAGACGGCCTTGAGATTCCGCAGCAAGCATGTCAAGGACGTGCTCTTTTTTGTTTTCAAGCAGATCGGCGGCGAACAGGAGCCAGATGTGGAGTCCAAGACTTCCTCTGACCATGTTGGACTGCCAAAGGAGCAACCGGTGCTTACCAATTTGCCCTTGAGTGACCCGACCGTGAAGTTTATCGTTCGTCTTTCCCTTCCCTTTTCTTCCCCATTCATGCTAACATACCTCCATCCAACAGTTCTTCAAGAGATTGGCTCAAGTGACCGGCTATCGCTTCTCGGACAAGAACATCAACACCCTGACTACTGTCGGGCAGGCCATGGAACACCTCCAAAACTGGGCCGAGTCCCGCTCCCCCAAGGCCAAGAAGAAGCAATGGTTCGACGACGTTGCCCTCCCGTCAAATATCAGGTTCAGGCCTCGCAAGGAGAAGAAGTCGGACCGGGACGAGGATTTCGGCCGCAAGAAGCTCTACATGGCGGAGCTCTACAAAACTGGCCTGTACCAGGTTCCCGATACCATTGTTCCCCCATGGAAGCGGCCGGCGTCCCAGTAGATGTTGTGGTGAATGCTGCATTCTGAATTAGCGTGAAGATGCGGAGTGATGTTGCTGGGGAGGTGGACAGAGCAGTGTCGTTTTACCATTTTATCTCATCTTCGACGCATGTATCATTTGTGATAAAACACCTTGTTCGTGTATACTAGAAACCCTGATTGAACTGTCTCTCTTTTTCAATTTTAAGAATGTACATTTTTATTTTAAAGATCATATACCAGGACTAATGACCAGTCGTCCACGAGACGCCGGTTCCAATACTCCCAAAATACAAACTCCTCCAGACCCAGCAATGCAGACAATCCGAAACGAAACAAAGATCTACCTCCGCGCCGAAGCAGGAATGGTGAATCCTCTGGTCATAAAATCTGCACTCTTGGCACCGCCGTCCTTGTCCTTCTTCGTAAAGAGGCTATCAATATTCTCATTCCCGCCCATCATCTTGCGACGTTTTTTCTTATCATTCTCCTCTCCCAGCACACGCGCGGTGAGCGTTGCTGTGGCTGCATTCTTGATTCCATTGCTGGAGGCATTGTTGTTGGGGATTGGTGTGGATGTGTTGCTTCGGCTGTTTGACGCGTCTGGGGCTTTCGGTGCTGTTGACCCGGTAGTCTCTGCGGCTGGCTCGGCCGACACTTCCGCGGCAGCGAGCTTCTTGCGCTTTTTCGAGCCGGGGGCTTTCTTGAGGGAATGGGTAAGGCCCTGTTCGGCGAGTTTATGGCCGCGAGCAATCAGACGCTGCTTGTCTGCTTCTTTAGTGGGCAAAATCGGAATGATGTTGTCTTCGGTGTACGATTCGTTGCACTAGACGGAAATGTGTTAATGACAGAAAGGGAACCTGTTTCTTGAAACTAACTCACCTGCAAGCATTTGTCGCCCTTCAACTGCCGAATCGCCTCCTCTGCAAAGACATGCCCGCAAGGCACCAAGTACACGGACTTGACATTTGGACCCAGCGGCTTCGCAGTGATCGGACAGATCCAGCCCTCGCGGCGCTCGTGCCGGTGCGCCTGGGCGCGGTCTGACGGGTGCTCGGAAAGTTCGGTGTCGATCTCAAAGTGCAGTTCCACCACGTCCCTCAGCGATTTCACACGCCCGCATAGGATCTCCTCGCAGTCGGACTTGGAGCTGATGCCCTCACCGTCGTCGCCGGGGAGCAGGAAGCGGAGCACTGCATCCTTGTTGTAGAGATTGCCGACACTGTCGGAGACAATCGGTCGGACAAGCGCTTTATGGGAGAGCGGACAAGTCGTCCAGTGGTGCTCTTGCTGTTCGCGCTGGGTTTCTTTCAATTGCGCTGTGCTCGGGTTGCGGGCCGCTTCACGCACGAGTTCGCGGCGGGTGGGAATACTACGAAGATCAGTAGGACATCGGACACATTTTATGAAGAAAAGACTCACCTGCCACCATCGTTACCCATCTTGGTTGGTCGGCAGTTGTAGAGTGGAAGAAGACAGTGCAGACTTGCCACTGACGACCGAAAGAGAGATAGCTGACTCAGCCACGATAACAAGAGCACCAGCTGGCCTGAATGGAGAAGCTCTCTCCGCACCTCCACACTTGTGTACATCATGAGACTGAACCACCCGGTTTTACTGCTGGCTGTGGCCGGGTCTGCCGCTGCCAGCGACAAACTGGCTCGTCCCCCGGGGGGTCGCTCCAGAGTGTAAGTTGTTGAACAATAATGGGCTGGATGCTGGTCCAATCCATACTAATTGACCCCCCCAGTTGCCCAATTTTACCAGGACACGACGACATTCACCTGCATCTCGCATCCGTCGATTAAGATTCCCTTCTCTGCTGTCAATGATGATTTCTGTGACTGTCCGGACGGCAGTGACGAGCCCGGCACCGCGGCCTGCTCTCATCTGTCTCGCAACTCGCCATTGACCGTGGCAGACCGGCCGGGAAACAGCGAATTGGAGCTTACGCCCGCGCTTCCGGGATTCTACTGTAAGAATAAGGGTCATCGGCCATCGTACATCCCCTTCCAACGGGTCAATGACGGGATCTGCGACTACGAACAGTGTTGCGATGGTAGCGATGAGTGGGCGCAGGTCGGAGGCACCAAATGCCCGGACCGCTGCAAGGAGATTGGCAAGAAGTGGCGGAAGGAAGAAGAGCAGCGCCAGAAGTCCATAACCGCTGCTTTGAAAAAGAAGAAGGAACTCCTTGTTGACGCAGGGCGCCAGCAGAAGGAGATCGAGGACAATATCATCCGGCTGGAGGCGGAGATCCAGGGCGCGGAAGTCAAGGTGCAGAACCTCGAGGCCGACTTGAAGACTGCCGAGGAGCGGGACCGCAAAATCGTCCGCACTGGAAAGCAGAAGGGTTCTGGGAAGGTTAGCGCCCTGGCGGGCTTGGCTAAGGGCCGGGTAAATGAGTTGCGTGATGCTCTCATCGATGTCCGTCGCCAGCGGGACGAGACTCGGTCGCGCCTCAAGGAGCTCGAGGGCATCCTGTCCACGTTCAAGGTCGAATACAACCCCAACTTCAACGACGAGGGCGTGAAGCGTGCGGTGCGCGGCTGGGAAGATTACGCCGCCCGGGAGAACTTGGAAGGCGATGATGTGAACAGTGCAGAGGAGCGTGATCTGGACGAGATTTCCAAAGCTGATAGTGAGAACTCGGGCATTCACTGGGAGCATTGGGAGAATGAGGTGGATGGCAGCAGTAATTCCGATCTGGGTAAGCACACCTCTCACAATCTACACATCTCAATGCTGACAAGATCACTACAGTCTACAAGCTCGCAGCCTATCTCCCGCCATCACTTGTCAGCTTCATCGAAGGCAAAGTCACTTCAGTCAGGACATTCCTCGAGGACCAGGGAATCCTAGCACAGACCGAAGTAGACCCCTCTTCCGAGTCCAAGGCCGTGAAGGAGGCAAAAGCCGCCCTTAAATCTGGCGAGGACTCGCTCCGGGATCTCAGAAACAAGTTGCGTGACCACCAAGCCGACATTGAAAAGGACTACGGCAAGGCATCCATCTTCCGCGCTCTCAAGGGTGTGTGCATCCAGCAAGATGCAGGCGAATACACGTACGAGCACTGCTTCCTGGAAAACACGAAGCAGAACCAGCGAAAGGGCGGCTCGAGCATGAACATGGGCAAGTTCGTGAAGATTGGAACCACGAGCGTCGAGGAGGTCAACGAGGCGGGCGAGATGGTCTCTGTTGAGAAGGTCTCGCTCGAGTACGCGAATGGTCAACACTGCTGGAACGGGCCGAATCGTTCGACCAACGTCATCTTGGAGTGTGGTGAGGAGAACGCAATTCTGAAGACTATGGAGGATGAGAAGTGTGTCTACTCGATGATTGTGACGACACCGGCTGTCTGTGCTGGTGGTGAGGAGGAGGACGATACTGCCCCTCGTCGTAAGGATGAGCTGTGATCATTTTGGGGGTCTTATGTCCCGTACAGAGTCGACTGAATGTTATTTGAGCCTCTAGATTCTTCAATACACGTTTTCGTTCGTTACCCAGCATTTTACCTGGTTGAAGGCTTTCTACGACAAATCGCTACAGCTCGGGAACAAGAGCATAGGTCAACGATATATATATACTAAAGTGCACGGCCGTACGTAACATGACGAAATTCCAGAAACAAACCCCTTCCAAGAGATCCCAAGCCTTTAGAGGAAACTTGACTGCTGTAGACCGTATAGTGCCCACTAATGCGAGAGCAGCGGGATACCCGGCCGCGGATGAACTGATGCTGCAGACATGGGAGTAGATGACCGTGGAGGGGGTCACGAGGACGTCGGCTTAATGCTGTTATGGTAATAGTCAGCATGATGTTCAGACATGTTTTTATATAGTCCATAGCTTTCAAGGGGTAGATGGACATACAGTGCAGCTAGTGCACGAGCACGAGCCGGTGCAGGCGCTGGAGCAGCAGTTGCAGGAGCAGGGACCCATTGTTGCGAAGATGAGTTGAGATAGAATAAAAGTTAAGGGATGCTTGAGAGTATCCGAGGGTATTTCTTGTGCTTGATGATATGAACTAAGAGAAGGAAAGCAAGAATAGAAGAAAGAGGGAATCTAGCCCATTTTTATACTTCAGCACCACAGCAGCCCCAACACCACCCTTCCCAAGCGTCGCCACCATCACAACACACACGCTCTCTTCTCCTCTGGTGCATCGTGGCCGAGTCAAAGGCGCTGAAAATCATCTCCGGCGCAGGGCACCGAATAGTCCTCCATCCACCTGCCCCTCCTCTGGTAAGACGTGCATGGACGTGTCCCGGTGACACGTAGTAGGCAACTCTACCTAACGGGACGCCAATCAACACTCCCTGTTCTCGATAACCCCTACAGCTAGCTCCTTTCTTTTGGAGTAGATGCAGGACCTCCACCGACTCATGCAGTGTTGGGTTGCAGGTGGACCGTTTCGGTATAGTAGACTTGCTCCGATCGGTTTTCTTGACTCGTTGGAGGTGCATGCCTTGACTCTCGTGCAGATGCAGCTGCAGCCATGGGGCTGGCGGGAAGGAACGCAGGATCCATATAGCGTCATCTATAAAAAAAGGAAAGAAAAGACTACGTAAGAGTCTCTTTTAGAGTCGTGAGACTGGATCGTGGTTGTTATATTATGGGGCTTTATGGTATAGCATGGTGGGCGTCGGGCAGAGAGCTCCATCGTGGGCAGACTAGGTGCCCAACCTACAGTGGGTACTATTCGTGTCTTTATAGGAGATAGTTGTGTATATTTCAAGATTACTGACCGTCTCACAACAATACTTAACTAGCATGGAGGACCGCCTGGTATTTGCAAGATGTATGACCACCTAACTTTATCTCCTCAGTATATTGCGAAGTACCAGGAACTCTCTACAGTCCACTCTGTCACGACTATCTTCCAAGAATATGTAATAGAATCATGTAATACCATCGACTGCGGGGACAGCAGATAAATTTCCGGCGCCAGCAGCGGAACCAAGAGGTGAGGACCTTGGGAGATAGTTAGGCTCGCAGGTCTGTTTCATTGGCACAGCCGATGAGTGAGGATCCTGTATGGACTGTACCCACTCACGTTTCAGCAGCGTTCTATTTTAATGCGCTAGGAGCAGTTTCCAGTCCCAAATATTATTTTGTTGCTATAGTTTAGGATAAGTACCACCAGCGGATGGATAGGGCTTGTTTATATCTTTTCCGTTATTTACCCCAACAGATGGAAAGCATACCAAGCACAAAATTTCAGAGAATGATTACCTTGGCAAGCCAAGATCAGATAACAATACACCTCTGTATTTGGAATCGTCCTCGGCCCCAGCTGAAGTCATCTCCAGCAGATCTCGGGTGGAGAGGACGAGGCCCTGAGCGCATATCGTCAGTGGACACACAGACCCTCCGACGTGCATGCAGATGCTCATATCACATTGGTTCTGGAGACCTTACCCTTTTTATGATTGGCCTGGCATGCGTGCTTATGGGGTATGTGAGGATGTGGGAGCTCCGAGATGGGTTGGGTGGTGGATGCTAGAGCGTGGTTTCCAGCGCCACGTTGGAAGCAAGAACGGTGGTCCCTGCAAGAGATAGGGATAGCCGCGGAAGCCGATTCGACCCCTTAGAAAAATGATAGAGGGATGGAGCGGTTTGAAAGTGCCGGGTTCGAGAAGTGTGGCTGTTGGTTAGGTGGTGGGACTAGCTGGGCGTGGCTCCCTAGAGAAGAAGTAGCGCTGCCCGGGTACTAGATGGGTGATTCTTCTGGAAATTGGACATACAGAGCACAGGAGACCTTTGAATCTGATCTAGGGAATTTTCACGTTTACATGACCCGAGCAGCGGCCCGACGCCCGCAAGGTCCCTACTGCACCAGGAGGATATAAAACAACGACGGATCCCGTGCCTGAACTGCAAGTATCATTGACTAGTTACAGCAGGAGGCTATTTGCAACGACAGAAAAAAAGGAAAATTCCTCCATGGCAACCTCATTTCAGCAGTCCGTTGTCCTCGGTCAAGCCAAGCCATGGCAACACATCCGTCTCACTGCATCTGGCCTCAAGGAGACAGACACACCATAGCTGGACGGCTTATCTCTTCTGCGCAGACAAAAACTCAGAGTCAGCATTAGGTATATAACACGATGCGACGGCAGGGATAGCACGTACAGGGCAGTTGCACTGGCCGGCAGGGCATTGGCACGAAGCGCCGCAGGAGCAACCGTGGTCGGCTGGTAGGTGGTCAGCAGGGAATACAGCATGCGAGAGTGGTAGGATGCTCACGCATATTGGTATGTGGTGAAGTGGTTTGTTGTTGTTAATGAAGGTGATCGGGTGTTGCAAAGGCAAAAGTGGGATGAAGCGAAGCCAAAGTGGGGAAAAGAGACACCCTTATATACCCGGACTGCTGACTACTGTAAGGAAGTACATGCATCTGACCTATGATTATACGAGGTAGATTGAGCGCATATTCTGACACAGACCTCTAGAACTACTACTGCAGCCCAAATGCCATCCTCGGTTGCCTGTCTGTGTGGGCAAGTGGTGCTGCCCATCACCCTGAAGTCGTCATCGAAACTGGATTTATGTCACTGTCACCGCTGTCGCGCCGCTTCGGGCCTGCTGTGCTCGGCCTATTACTTCATCCAGCAGAAACCGCCTGCCCTCACGGGTCTGCGCGAGTACCGACAGTCCGACCATGCCTCGCGATTCTTCTGTAGGACCTGTGGTGCTCACGTCTTCGCTCGTTCGGCGTCGGGGGAGTTTCTAGTTGCGGCGGGGGTTCTCGCAGTTGAGGATACACCACCCGTCTCGACAGTGCAGCACTGGCAGGTCGCTGACACTGGCGACGGAGGACTCAGCACGTTCCTGGCAGGCGCCATATCTCCTACCCCAGGCTGTCTGTTGAGCGCCGGGCAAAGCGACCCCCAAAGTCCAAGCTCTGACAACAACATTGACAAACTACAAGCGCGTTGCGACTGCGGCGGCATTGATTTCTACGTCACCCCACCAGATCCATCCTCCGTGGAAGCAGCATCCCCCTGGTCCGACCTGCTCGTGCCATTCCACTCGTCATCATCCGCCAACCCGGACGACGTCAAGTGGTGGCTGCGCGACGGGAACACCAAGTATCTCGCCGGCACCTGCGCCTGCACCTCCTGTCGCTTGGGGAGCGGGTTTCCCATCCAGACCTGGGCCTTTATCCCCAAGTCCAATCTGTGGAATGCAGACGGCTCGCCCCTCACTTTCACCCATGGATCCATGCAGCGGTATAACAGCTCACCAGGTGTATACAGGGAATTCTGCAGTCGCTGCGGCGCCAATGTCTTCTGGCATTGCGATGAGCGGCCGTCGCTGATCGATGTGAGTGTGGGTTTGCTCCGTTCGCGGAATGTCCGTGCCGAGGAGTTGTTGGATTGGGCTACGGGGCGAGTAAGTTTTGCAGAGATGGGAGTACAACAGGACCTGGTGTGGTTGTTGGAAGATGGCCTGAAGGAATATGGAGCGTCAAAGGAGTAGTTAGCTCGTTCGTAGTTTCCATATACAGGATGCATCTCCATCCTCATTGTCGTCCTGCTTAGCTTGTCCCTCACGGCTCGAGTCGATGGTAATATGAGCGCTGTCGGAACTGTAGCAGGAGGGCATCACGGAAACAGCTTCTTCGGCCAGGAAATGCTGCAGCGTCTCGATATATTCTGATAAAAATCTCGCGTTCCCATTTGAGCTGATTGCGCAGTCTTGGAAGATTTTTTATATATATCGTATATAAAAAGAGTAATGGATGGAGTGTTGTGGAAGAGAGCAACTATACCATAGAGCAGGACTCAACACAACAAAGTAGACACCGCCTTCCCGATCGGGTCCTTCCCTAAAATTTCCTGCGCATCCACTCCTGCATCTTCCTTTTCGTTTTTTCCGTTTGTAGCTCTTGTTTGTCGCCCTCGACGATGCCGCCCTTCGAGTTTCGAGGCAACGGCAAAGGCTCCGACCGTCGGTCACATCCCAGACAGAATTTCACCTTCCGCTACCCACGCCCTCACATTTCCGAACGCCCGTTGTTGTCGTCCAAAGCAGGCTCCACCAGCGAACAGTTTGTCGGAGAGCAGGAGAAGCAAACACCCAAGTTCACATCATGGGAGGACCTGAGTGATAGCGAAGAGGCGGAGATGGATCTGTCCACCGACGAAGACGCGGATGAAACGTCGCGGCCTCGCAAAAGGGTCGCTCTCGGTGTCGACGGTGCTGAATCCCCTGTGCCTGCACCGCCTGCACCTAAATGGTCGAATCCGGACCCGTACACGGTCTTGCCACCTCCCGATGAGAGCCGAGAGAGGCGGGTGGATGTGGTCAAGTTGATTCGCAAGGCGAAAATCGCTGCCAGCGCGACCAAACCCGATGTATCCAACGAGGTGACCACGAACCAGGACTTCATCTCTTTCGGTGCCATGGGCATTGAGGATGAGCTGCCAAACAATGCTCCAGAGAACGCACCAAGGGGGCCTAAGGGGATGGACCTGAGAGAGTCCGCGTTGGGTCGGAAACGCACCCGCGACGACGAGATCAAGGGCTACTCGAAGAAGACTGGGAAACCTGCGAGCAAATTCTACTATGACGCCTCCATTCTTGACCAGTGGAGGGCGCTGTCCCACCAGATCCCTGCGCCCTGGATGGAGCACACGGCTCCCGCGATGAATATGGGCACACGGTGAGTTTCGCCCGCATACGAGCTGGACAAGTCTAACATTTCCATTAGATTGCACAACGAAATCATCAGCTTCTACCACTGGGCCAAACCGAGAAAGTTTGAGCAGATTGTTCGCGCAGATCTGATCGCGCGGCTTCAAAGTGCGTTCCAGAACAGGTACCGAGGTGTGCAAATCCGAGCATTCGGCTCGTTTGCGTCGGGATTGTACTTGCCCACAGCAGATGTTGATCTTGTCCTTTTGTCAACCTCCTTTATGAGCAGCGGACGAAAGACGTTTGGCGAGAGAAAAGGGCAGATCTACGCATTTTCGGGGTTCCTGAAAAACCTGAACATCGTGGTCCCCAATTCGATTGAGGTCATTGCGCATGCTCGAGTGCCGATTCTCAAGTTCGTGGACAAGCTGACTGGACTGCGGGTCGATTTGTCCTTTGACAATGATAGCGGTCTGGTTGCCAACGAAACTTTCCAGATGTGGAAAGCCGAGTATCCGGTGATGCCCGTGGTGATATCGATTGTCAAGCAGTTCTTGCTGCTTCGCGGTCTCAATGAAGTGCCGACGGGCGGGTTGGGAGGATTCTCCATCACCTGTCTGGTTGTCAGTCTCCTTCAGCACATGCCACACGGCCATGTCCAGCAAAACCTCGGTAATATCCTGATGGACTTTTTCAATTTTTACGGTAATATTTTCAATTATGAGCGAATGGGTATCAGCATGAACCCACCCGGCTACTTCAACAAGCGTGTTTTTCAAGACAAAAACGATCGCATGACAATCGAGGACCCCAACAACCGGGATAATGACATCTCAGGTGGGACGAAAGAGATTGCCTTGATCTTGCGGGCCTTCTCGAAAGCGTACGACGTCATGAAAAAAGCGATGAATGACATGTCCATGACTGGTGCACCACACACAAGCATCTTGCAATACATTATCGGGGCAAACTACGACGAGTACACGGAACAGCGATTCCAGCTGCGTCAAGTCTTTGAAACATGTGACCGGTTTGACCATCATCGATCTCCGCCCCCGCCACCTCCGGGCCTTCCTCCTAGTGATAGGGGGACTCCTCCACCTCCACCTCCATCAGATCCTTCTCAAAGACCGCCTGCTGATAAAAGCGTCCCAAATGGTCCGAAGGCGAAACAAGCCAGTCAACAGAAACAAGGTGTTCAAAATGGTGCTGGTAAAGAGGCACCCGTCAAGGTTACTCCCTCAGCACCTACACCAGCGTCAAAGACGAAGACTTCACCGAAGGGGAAACAAAGCAGTCAACAGAAACAGGGTGCTCAAAATGGTGCTGGTCAACAGGCCTCTGTCAAGGGCACTCCCTCAGCGCCTGCACCAGCGCCAAAAACGAAGCCTGTCAGGCCATCCAAACAGCAAAAGCAATCCGTCCAGAAGAATGGTGCTCTTGATCAGGCCCCAGCCCCGGTCTCCTTATCGGCCCCGGCAACAGCCTGCGGCTCAAATGAAACATCTTCAGCGGAGTCGGAGAGTGGTTCCGAGCAGGAGCCGTCTGCCCCTCCGATGACAGCGAAAGCGAAAGCGACTCATCGTAGAAACGTGAAATGTCAGGAGCGTGCCGACCGGCTGCGGCGTCTACGACCCGATCTGAAGGTCAGGGCTAGTGTCAGTCTCCGACAGGCCCGTCTCCTTGCTGGGTATAAAGACAACGAGGAGATGGAGATGGACCTAGACGAACGGGAGAAGCAGATGGTTGCTGGCTAGAGCTCTGCATGGGCCCGAGTCTGCTGGTTGATTTTATGCCCTGTCACGAGTTTCCTTTCTTCTTGATCCTGTATTAGTATTTGGTCACTTGTGTCCGATGATACCCCTTTTTTTTTCCGTGGACAAATCGTGGAGTCCATACTTTCGATTGTTCGGTCTGTTTTCTCTCATGTGTGGACTTCCACCTCATCAGGAGGAGGGGAAGCCAGGCGGATCTGGTACGGGGGATGTGTTCTGATAGCTGCTGTGATGTGATGCTCACTTTCTAGGATCGTTTCTGTCGCCGCGGAGGCAAACTCGCCTTGGTACCTCCGGCATCTCAATGAGTTCTTGGTTGTCATTTTCGAACACAACCGTCAGCAGGAGCTCTACACAAGAAGCTGAAACGGTGAAGCCGACACGCGCTGACTCTTGTGAAGATGACAGTCGGTGATATCCCCCCTGTTCGTCAGATTGATGTCCCCTCTTCTAGGGACCTGAGCTAGTTCTTCAATGCAACAGGCCTAACGGCCGGTTTTATCGCCGGGCTGGCGGTCTTTACTGCTGCTCTTCCTTCCCGTGCCTCCCCTTCCGTTTCCATTCCTCCTTTCTCACCAAGCACTGCGCTATATGCGCATTCTTGGAGAGGATCGTGAAGCAATGGGTTGGGGCTGGTGTGTGCTGGCTGGAATGAGATCAGTCGTTCAATCGGTAAGGTGTGGATTGATCTGCTCATCTCATTAGGTCTATATACTTGCACGCATCACAAGGGCATGGGCAATATGTACATGATGCGCCCTATGTACCGTCTCCACCACCAACAAATGTTGATAAAGACAAGATCCATCGTCTATTGCAACCGTTTTTCCACATCCAAAGGCGGCGTGAGTATCCGATCCGGCCCGCCAGGGGTATAAGCGTCTTCCTCCGTCTTCTCCATTTCTGTTGCTAGTTGCTGCAAAGCAGCAATATGCTCATCAGGCAATGAATTCACGAAGTCCGCCGGCGGACTTGCCCATACATAGTCAATCCACTCCTCACCAATCACACCGCGGATCTCACGAGCCAGCCTCAGGATCTGAGCGCAGCGCGTGGAAGACCAAGCACGATCGGTGATGAGGTCTTCGGAGGGAGTAAGAATACTGGAGGCGTGTTCGGCAGACGAGGGAACAGGCCCCTTGGGGTTCGGTTCGTTATTGGGGGTGCTGCGGTTGGCAGAAAGCGCCTCCGTTTGAAGCACGTCGAGGTCCATCAGCTCGTCGTCATCGTCCAAGTTCTCCAGTCCGTGGAGGATACTGTTCCAGACTCGAAGCGTCTCGTCCAGCTCGGCGACATTGCTCACCCCCATCACGCTGACGCCTAGTCTGCGGCCCGTGCCGATGTTGGCGACGGACAAGAACCCCGGGTCTGCATCGGCCGCGCGCGCGAGTGGTGCACCCAGCGCGCCTACTTTGGCTCCCGCGCGGAGCCAGGACTCGAGCGCGAAGCGAATCGCAACGACCTCCAGTTTCTCGCCGTGGTCTGCCGCGCAGTCCGACGCACAATGGATCGCGCGACGCAGCGCATCCGGCGCCGGGTGGAAGTCGCCCATCGACCCGATAGGCACGCCGTCGCGGCGCAGCAGCCCCATGCCCAGCGGCGAGGCATTCGGGACCACATCCACGCCCGCAGCGAGGAGCCGCGGCAGCGCAGCAGATTGCAACCGGGTATTCTGCAGGGTGAAATTGGCATAACTCATCACCGCATCCAGCGGCTCGCCCGTCTCCCGCAGCACCATCTCCGCAAGCTCACTCAGTGTCTCAACCGGATAACCCGAGATCCCAATGTAGCGCACAACTCCCCCTTCCTCATCTCGCAACCTTCTTAACTCCCGCACCGCGGCCAGCACGTCGGCGGGAGGGACAAACTCCACATCATGACAATAGACCACATCCAGATAAGTTGTATGCAGGCGCTCCAAACTGCGCCGCACGGAGTGTCGGATCCATTCCGGCGAGTAATCAAACGCCGACGCAGCAACACGACCTACTTTCGTCAGGAGTCGGTATGTGTCTCGCGGGTAGTGGCGCTGGACATGTTCTGTTGCGAGAGCGCGGCCGAGCAGCTCTTCGGCGGGGCCGTAGTAAGGGGATGTGTCGAAGGCGCGGATACCGCGGGATAGTGCGCGCTGCACTAGTTCCGTCGTGGGGAGGGCGTATGGGTCGGCGTTGTATTGGGAGTTGAAGGTTGCGGTGCCCATTATCAGTGGCGGGAGGTCCGCCGATAGCGGAGTGGTGGAGGGCCGCATTGGAGGTAGTTCGAGTGGGAGTATATATATCGAGGAGGATGGGAGAGTGTTATTTGATGTCGGAGAGGAATTGTAGGATTGTAGAAACAGCGACAAGACACCTCGGTTGACAGAGCAGGGGATAGATTTTCTTATCAATCAATCGGGAGAAAAAATTCCGCAGCGAAATCCTCCGGCTCCGCTCCGGATGGCGCCATGGCGGGGGCCGATGAGGGACATGGCGGCGATGCCATGGGACGGTCGGGATGTGGGCATGGTTGTCTTTGTTGGACTGTGCATAGCTAATTGTCGACTGAAAATAAACCCGGTGTTGATGTGTTTGGCGGGTGCTGTTCCTGGATGCGATCAAGCGGTGGCAAAAAAGGAACCAAAGAAAGGCGGCCGATCACTACAGAAAAAAGAAAAAAAAAATTGAAGACATGATACATCTTGATGCAAAGTATACAGCTATATAGTACATGGTACATGGGTCTAATCTTTCTGGCACAGGACGGATGGAGTGGAGAGACAAGCGGGATGATGGTCGGGTGGTGTACAGTAACAGAAAGCAAAACGAGGAAGAGAAGACCTTTCGGTCTAAAGGGGCCAGAGGAATCACCCCGGTCTAGAGGGCCTCCCCGGTATGACCCAACAACAACAAAAAACGCCATGCTATGCCGCGGAAATCGAGAGAGGAAAAGGGCGGGTCGATCGGAGGGGCCACGGCGGTCGGTGGTCGAGCAGGTGGTCGAGTCGATGGTCGCGTCGTTGGCTCAGCGATCGAGAGAGAAGGAGAGATGGATGGAGACGGTAGTAAGAGGGTGAGGGCGAGAGCGAAGGAGCATCGCGATGCGATTCACCCACCTCACCGATCCTTGTACACCTTCGGCTTCCAACCCTCCTTCAACTCCTTCTCGCTTGCAGCCTTCCTCTCTGCCTCGCGCACCTCCATCTCTAATCGCTCTCTTGCGCGCAAGATCTTGCTCTGCAGATAGAAACTGCCTCCCTTCTGCGGATCATTGAGATCGAAGAGCTTCTTGAAGCGCTCCATGACCTGTTCTAGACCGGTCTCGCTGGCGCCGGCGTTGGGTGGCTTGACGTTCAGGATCTTGCAAGCCTCGTCAAGGGTCAGGCCCGAGGAGGTGAAGCCGCCGCCGTTCTTGCCCTTGTTCTGCGCGGCGTATTTGCCCGAGGCCTGGGCTTGTTTGTAGGCTTCGGCGAAGGCGCGGCCGAAGACGCGAGCGCCGGTGACGACGACTTGGGTGACGATGCGGTGGGCCTGGATATCGTGGCTGATTAGGTGGGAGTATTAATTAAGGTCAAGAGAGATACATACCATGACGCGGAGTGGACGGGCGGACGAGCACAGGGAGAAGCGCAGGTTGAGGTTGAGGCGAAGGGGAAAAATTCGGCGGCGGTCTGAGCTCGGGCCGTCGTTGATCAGCGGTGCCGTTCACTATGTATGGCCGACGCGATCTATACAAAGCACTGATATGATTATGATTGTATTATTCGGAGTAGTTGCAGTATTCTAATTTATTATTCCGATTTTGATTTTGGTAATAATTTTCTCTTCCCTCCAGTCTGTTAAACAAATGTATAGGAAAGACCGGCGCGGTTCTCATCATCCACGTAGAACCAGTCTTCCAACTGGCAGTTCCTGCACTGCCAGAAGCAAACCATGCACTGTGTGACCAGGTCTTTCCATGGAATCTGAAAATCAAGAGCCTTCGCCATCATATCACACCGAACCAGAAGTGTCCAGCAATACTTGAGATACTCGGCCAGTTCTTTTCGGTTGGAACGATGAAACGGATCGTGGGGCTTTTTGAGTCTGCGTCTCGGCTCATACTCGGCGAACTCCATGATATTGCATGCAAGTTCAGCGGGAAGACCCTTCCGACGCAGGAAACTGCGGACCAGGTTGACATCGGATAAGTGCGGTTGGTAACAAACCGACCCTTCCATGTGCAGAAATTCGTCAATGGGCACAATCCCGTAATACTCACGACGATAGTCGTCTCCTCTTGTAAAGGTTTGGAAAAACCTAGGGTTTCTGGATTGAAGGGAGGGGGTTGAGCCACGGAATTGGTCTTCGCTAATCCCAAAAAATTGTCGGTGTGGATATGCACTGACGTCGGATGTCTCCCCAGTCATCGTGCATTCTCGAAGCATGTACTGATAGAACCGCGTGTTGCGATAGTCTGTTTCGACGGGTTTGCCACGCGCAGCGTCCCACATCTGCGGGAAGCAGAATGTCACATTTAGCCCAATGTACGCGATTAAGGCCTTCCAAGCGAACCGGTCCCACCCGATATCTAAGTCCTGCAGGGATCAGTCAAAACGTGCCGTAGGTCAGTTTTTATCGATATGAACAGAGCCCAGAATCGTTAAAGGTGGCGCGGAAATCGGAAGTTCTATAGCTTACCATGCAGTCACATTGAGCTTTTGACCACCAACTCATCAGGTCCACCTCAGGATGTGCGCAAATCCTAAGAACAGGGTTCATCTCGCCATACAAAATCAATGTCTTGACTAGTTCAAGGTTGAAGAAGGCGTCGTTATTGTCCTCAACGAAACGGTAACAACGATTTTTGATATACCGTCGAAGGAACGAGGACGCGCTTCGCTCTTGGTCAGGCAGAGCAGGGCACTGGCAATATCCCAACCGATGGTCACGGCTTTCGCTGGCAACTCCGGGGCAAAGGAAGTCGTTTCTCCTACCATAGTGACGGTAGCGAAGGACGGTGGGCATAATCTTTTGGGCAACGCTCTCATCAATTATCACATCAGTCCGATCCGGTATATCATATTTTGCCCGAAATTTTGTACGCTCGTGATTCGAATGCTTGTCGATATTTCTCAAGAAAGCTTTGACGAAGTCATTAAGTGCCTTGGCTTGGTTCTTCCTCATGCGTGGGTGAAGATTTGTGGTGCCGCATTTACAAGAGTCGCCCGAGACCCAGTGGAGATTTGAGCCCAATACTTTCCATGGGATTTCTTGAGCTTGATGTGCCATTCCAGGATAAGCTATATTGAGATCGGAGGCAAATAAAAGCAACCGTAGTATTTATTCGTCCAAAGTGATGGGTGAAAATAAGTGTGGAAAACTGGGAATATGAGAAACAGAGTGAGAACTGGTCCAAAAGGGGTTGGATGTCAGACCGCACTGAGACAGCCACATGTCTCACCTCAAAGAATTGCGCAGGTCAACATAGCAGCGCTAGAACAAGTACACATGCCCGATTCTTCTCGGTAATCAGTAAACAGTAAGGAGTGAGCCTTCAAACGAAAAGAAAAGGCCATTAAGAGGTTCACAGTCATCAATATTCAAGAGAAACAAATTCCTAGAAGATAAGTCAAGGGTGCACGGCACAAGGTCTCCAGGGTTTAATGACCTGCATCACATAGAATGCTCTGTCCTGTGACGTTTCTAGCTTTCGAAATAGCTAATACTTCCGGTGTCTGCATAGGTATTGGAAAACCCCCAAAAAGGGTGGGACAGAGACTCGACCTGAGGCCGCTTCAGCGCGCTTCTTGCCTCAAGTGATTGTTGGAAGGCTACGCCCGCCTCTAAATTATTTTGCTCTGCGATGCTCGCATCGATCTCCTTCCACATCTAAGTACATCTTGGAGCTAAGAGGTTTGATGAAAATGTTGATGAAGAGCGTCGGGTAAACGAGTGCGTGGAAATGCAATAATTCCAAGGAGATATCTGCCAACCAGTGGAATTATGCCGATGCTGGTGTACGTAATGTTAGTGCCGTGGGGAACAGCCTGTTTAATCTTGAGGACTCCCAAATCTCTGTACCCCGCGTCTCCATTATCCAGCCGATAGCTTCAGTATTTAGTTTTCGACTTCAGATTCTTAAACAATGGAAAGGCCAACTCTGTTCAAGGTGCCACCTGGCGCTGTTGCCGATGTCAAAATTATCGACACAACGTCAAAGATCACCAACTTGGAAGCTGGATATCTTATGGAACCTCCGATCCCAGGTTTCAGTCACTTCCCAGAGTTGCCATCTTGGTCCTTTCTGATTGAGAGTGGCAATAGTCGCAAAGCCCTCTTTGATCTCGGAGTTCCTAAAGACTGGCGGAAAATGGCCCCCGCCAGTATTGGACATGTTGACCAGCTAGGGTGGCGCGTGGGGGTTGACCACAATGTTTCCGACATTCTGCAGCAAAATGATTACAAACTCGATTCGATTGATAGCATTATTTGGAGGTGAGCATTTTACACTTTTTCCTTGTCAGGACAATGGATTCAACTTCCTAACCCCAATAGCCATTGGCATTGGGATCATGTAGGTGATCCGTCGACTTTTCCCGCATCCACCGAACTAGTGGTAGGACCAGGATTCAAAAGGAACTTCATGCCAGGATACCCCACAAAGCCAGATGCACCGCTGCGGGATAGTGATTTTCGGTGAGTTACATGAGAAACGTTTGTTGGTTTACAGAGATTCACAATGTCGATAGCGATCGGGAAGTGAGGGAAATTGATTTTGAAAACCACGAAGACTTGCAAATTGGCGACTTCAGGGCAATCGATTTCTGGGGCGATGGTTCTTTCTACCTCCTAGATACGCCAGGTCACGCTATCGGTCATCTGTGTGGCTTGGTTAGAACCACGTCAAACCCAGATACATTTATATTCATGGGAGGAGATCTTTGCCATCACGGTGCCGAGATGCGACCATCGGAGTATGTCCAGATACCCAAGGATCTAACGCCGAATCCTTTTACACGAGCATTACAGCCTCCTTGCCCTGGAGCAACTTTTGAAAAAATTCAAAGAGCAAGAGGAATGGGTTTAACGGAGCCTTTTTGCAACCCGGCGATGGGTCTTGATATTCCAGAGGCTATTCAATCAATTCGCAAAGCTCAGAAAGCAGATGCAGAAGATACCGTTCTTTTTATTTATGCACATGACACCACAGTCCGAGGAGCTGTGGAGTTGTTTCCCAAGAAGGCCAATGATTGGCAGAATCGAGGTTGCCGGGAAAAGATGTTTTGGGCCTTTCTTGGAGATTTCGAAGAAGCATTCAACCAGCAGTCCTAGCTATTTTCACCTTGTTCAATTGAATTATTAAAGTATGTCATGTTGGATGACTGGCTCCGGTAACTAATGGAGGACTAGATCCTGGTATTTACCACTGATGTCATCGAAATCTAGCCGAACCGATAGCTTAGGTCTGCTAGTTACCAATGCTCTCAATCGCCCCGACTTTGTCTGCGATATCGAATACATAAAAGCTCCGACGGCTTCATCTCGCCCACATGTGTTGGTCACTGTGTAACTAATTTCTAGGCGATGACATACGCAGGCCGAGCAGTCACATGCCCCCCCGCAGATCTGCCGAACACCCATTTTTCGGTATAAGAACTCGACTCTCTCCACTACTGCCAGCGGGAGCCACTGCAACTGATGCATCGGCCATGATAGTTGTTGGATGGCAGCGCTCGGTGTGTACAGGTCCTGGCTCTCATTTCCATCGCTAACCGAGTGCCTTCCTGCCAGAAGATCTTCCGTGGATAGATTCCATGGCCGCCCCAACTCTCACCCAGGACGGCCAGTCGGACTCCCAGCCGCCGACTGTCGCTGCCTTCTCGCCATCCACCATCACGGGCTCGGCCTTGACCTCGCGCCAGCGCTCCAGTGTTATTGTGCATCGCAAATCCCCGCTGCTGGTGGCCACGCCGCCGCCCATCACCCGCGCCCTCGCCTACTCCCATCCATTCCTCCTACCCTTGAACAAACTTGTCGGCCTCCTCACATGGACGAGTGGGGACCCGTGGCAGGGCTTTTTGCTCGTTGCTTGCTTTTGGACGGTGGTGCTGTATAGCGATGCCATCATTCTCTGGGCAGGGCCGATCTTGGTTGTCCTCGGGCTGATCCTAGGCATGTACACGCGCCGCTACTCGCCCTTATCCTCGACCGCGGCAACGGGTGAAAAACACCACAAACGAGCGAACTCCTCGGAAAATAGCAGCCGTCACCACAAAAGCCTAGACGAGATCGTCGAGACCTTGCGCACATTTACCATCAGGTGCAATATGCTGTTGGAGCCTCTACTCGACCTCACCGACTTCCTCTCCACCCAACGCACGGCGACGTCAGCAACTACAAAGCCGGCGCTCACAGCTCTCTTCCTACGAATTCTTCTAATTACCCCGATCTGGGTCATACTCACTCTCCCGCCATTCTACATAATCACCACCCGTCGCGTCGTCATGACCGTCGGTACCCTCATCCTCACCTATCATTCCCGGCCTGCGCGCGTATCGCGCGTTATCCTCTGGCGCTCGCGGACTGTGCGGCGCATCGTCGCTATGCTCACAGGTCTTTCCGTCGCAGACAGCCCGGACAATTCGCAAAAAGCTCAGGCGCAGGGTCTAGGCCTAAACATCGCGACCCGTCGACGTGGAGGCGCAAACGGCGTGCGATTTACTTTTATTGTCTACGAGAACCAGCGTCGCTGGCTGGGGATCGGATGGACGTATTCGCTGTTCCCAGCGGAACGCGCAGCCTGGACCGACGAGCACCTGAACGCGGTTGCTCCCAAAGATAAGTTTGAGTTACCGGATGTACCAACCGGAGACTCCAAATGGCGATGGGTGGAGGGCAGTGAGTGGCGCGTCGAGGGGAAGGATGGTTCACCGAGCGAGAAATCTGACTCCAAGTCCCTCAGTGAGGGATGGATCTACTCTGATAACAAGGTAAACCACCCTCTTTCTTTCTAAGATAATGCTGATCAGCTATTCAGTGGAACGACGGCCGCCGCGGCCAAGACGGATGGGATCGGTATACCCGGCGGCGCAAGTGGTACCGCGACGCGGAACTCGTCGAAACCGGACACAAAGACAGCAGCAACAGCTCCGGGGAAACAACATCCAGCCTCACCGAGGCGTTGGAGCGCGAACAGAAAAACAATTCCTCGAGCACGGAAGCCGACCCCGATGCCGATGCGAAGAGCATCGCCCCTTCGACCGCCTCCACCAAATCTCGCCGACGGCGCTGGTTCGGGAGTACCAAACAGGATCGGGCCAGCAACGGCGGCGGGTCCTCATTTGACGCGGCTCGCGCCACGGGATCAAATGTTGCTACTTCCGAGCACACTCCCTCACGACCAGTTAGTATTCCGAATTCTCGCAAGTCGTCCCAGCTTGGTGTCGGTGGAACGAGCTCTGGAAGCGGCAAAAACAGCAGTGTGGTAACAAGTGATAGTGCTAGCATACGAGAGAAAGAAATGGCGAAGGTGCAGGACCACCATGATCAGTGGGGGTCGCGCGCGGCCGGTGGCACGGAGAGAGCGGAGAGGGAGTGGGGGTTGAGCGATGATTTGAATATGGGGTTGAGCTGAGGTTTTCCGTAGTATTTCCCCCCATAGCTGGGTGTGCATAAAATAGCTCGAGGTTATTCTCTCTATCATGGTACAGGATGGTTTGACTAATAAGAACCATTTATATTTACCACAATCTCTTTCCGCAAGTCAATTCTTTCTGATTATGCTGTCTTTCAGTCAGTCTAATAGAAAAACCGTCAACCCCGGTCATCTGACCGCAAATCAGGTCCGGGTGTGGACTTCCACGGCTATCCTCCCGGGCTGACTTACTTGAATTAGAGCTTCGATCCAGACTGCCAGTCACATGAGCGGAGCAGGCTCAAGTATATAGTGAACAGCAGCCCATACTCAGGATAAGAGGGCGAAGAATTAAGAAAGTAAGCCGGCAAAAGAAACAAAAGAAAATGGAACAGTACGATGTGGCAGTAATCGGCCTCGGCGTCCTAGGTAGCGCAGCCGCCTACCACGCCGCCCAAAAAGGCGCCAAAGTACTCGGCCTCGAGCAATTCGAGCTGGGACATACGCGCGGCGCCTCGCACGACACGTCCCGAATCGTGCGGACATCCAACTTCCTACCGGAGTACGTGTCTCTCGCCAAATCGGCCTACAAGGACTGGGCCGCGCTAGAGAAAGCCGTCGACCAACACCTTCTCAGCATCACGGGCGGTGTTGT